AATATGCATCGTACCGGACGTCGATCGTCGAGACGTACAGCGAGGAGGCGAGCAGATGGGCAAGAGAAAATCATCGCAGTTGTGCGATTTGGGGGTTGGGAAGACACTGATTTTGTAGTGGTGAAGTGCTCCAAGTGTGATTTCTATGGTGAGCGTATGAAGAGGTTTTGAACAGCACACTGTAGGATGAGATAGCTCGAGAAAGAAAGCGTCCATCTCGTCCATGGTTATAAGCCTTCTCACTATGCCAGACAGAATCCCATTCACGATCAGCTGGTCAAGTGCCACAGCACACCAAAAGGGAAAATGCTCGAGGTGACGAAATGAAATCCGAAAATGCGGTGAGGGTATTCGAACATCGCGACGAGTCTCTTGAGGAAGATATGGTGTTGGTTACAGGAATCTCTAAGCTTCAGTAGAGCCATACCAGTCAGCATGAAGGTCGTACGGGAGCCTCTTCCGATCGGCTATTACTACTTTTTCTGGCTCTTTGAGCCGATAGTGAGCGGTGGAGGTCGAATGTGCTCGCGGCGCGACTTGACAATGTGTCTCACAGGTGATCTCCCTGGGCGGTGCTTATCACGCCTTCATCAACACCGCCGATTATGCTTTCGATCTTGTGCCGTCAGGAGTGGAGCCTGTCACCGAGAGACTTGGTCACACTCTAAGAGGGAAGACAATCATCCATACTTTTGGAGTGTGTGAGTGCGCCAAGGAAGAAGCCAGTGCCGATGTCAATAGCGTGCCTTTGGTTCGGGTTACTGCCATTGACGCTATGGCCATTGATCAAGAATAAGCTAGCACATATGCCAGAGGTGCAAGAAAGCTTTGCATTCGCAATTGAAGCCTCACAGTTTGTAGTCGATGTGAGTCCATTGCGGTGCTTCAGGCGTGATCTGAGCGAGCTGCGATTCCCTAGATTGCCTTGTGAGTTCTTCGTCAACGCGTTTGATTTGTGATCGTTTGATTTGTGATCGTAAGGTTTGTATTCGATGCTAACTGGCGTACTCAGACTATACGTCAGCACTGCCCATCTTCCTCAGGATGTCCTTCTCGACCCAAGCCGATGGACCAAGCTGAACGCCGGTAATATTATCATTGTCTCCAGTCTGTTGGTGGTCAGGTATGTCGTGGCTGGAGCCTGATCAATCTGACAGCCTCCATCAGAGCTGCATGGTTGTTGGGGATAGGAAGGCGCGTTCTCCCCCAGATCCCCGCAGATAGGGCAGGCAACAAGCACATCAGGAGACTACGCGACCCGCGTTAAACGCCGCTTATGACGTTTTGACCGATGGTGCCGAAGTCTCAAATGGGCGCTCATGAGCCGCATGCATATTTGTGTTCTACTCGCTCTCCATACAAATACATCCTCCGAGTATCTAGTATCATGGCCGTTACGCATCCGCGCCGTCCGCTTCCAGGCCTGTATTACTACTTCTTCTGGCTCATTGAACCTGTACGTACCATCCTACGGCTACTTGCGAGTTCACGACGTCCACTTTCAATGTATGCTGACCTTGTCGACCGAAGGCTTTGACTCTGGCTGGAGCTTGGTCAGCAATTAGCAACTCACAGGGCTATGCTGCTGATCTCCTCCACAACGAAGAGCCAGGAACGGTCAACCTGGGCAAAACCATCCGAGGACAAATTGTGGTCGGCGGCCTCGGTAGCTGTGAGTAAGGGATGCGCTCGCCTGTGGGTTGGGCTCACTTCAAAGCCAGGCTTCTTGCTGTTCGCCATGATCTCTCTGTCCCTGTTTCCCATCATCAAACGTTCGTTACCGGATAGGCCAGACATTCAGGAGAGATTGGTCAAGGGGATCCTGATCCCTCTAGCCATTGCTGATGTGAGCCTAAGTACCGGTGTGTCTACCTACAACGATGCTGACCCAGCCGTCAGTTGACTCAGTGAGCTCATCAAGCGGAGGGCGGTCTAACCCCTCCAGTATATCCATGACGCTGCTGCCCTTACCAATGTCGCTGCTTCAGCAGCCGCTCAAGTGGACATACATGATTCATTGCAACGTCATGATCACAGCCTTCTTGTTCCTCGTCAGGTGAGAGACTCCAAGTCAGAGAGAAAAAGCTAAGTCGTGCCCAGGTCGATGTACCTACTAGGTGTTGGTCGAGGTAAAAGCGCAAAGAGAGCCTCCCGGAAAGATCTGTAAGGGGACCGACTGGAGGCAGCGAGCTCTTGTACGATACACGAGGCCTCTCTGAGTCATGTACTAAGCGGAGCCATGCATCTGTGTGATATTCGTCCAACCCATGATCGCAATATGTTTCTCAGCCTTGCAAGCGAGGCGAGAATTATTTCATAGTCACCGATGATTTCTCACCGGTCACGGCCATACCTGATATCTGAGCTTTTGGCTCTGTACCTTGATCGCTCTCTGTGCAGCATCGAGAGACTGCATCACAAGGAGCGATCCACTCGATATATGAGGTTAACGACCGTCCACGATCAGTGTTGCCACGTGCTCCTCCGCGTCTCGGTTTCAGAATGCGCATTTGTCTATAATCAACATGACTGCATCATACCTTCATACAGTATTCTAATTCAGAGTAAAGAAGGAGAGGTGATCGACCTGGAATTGTAGCTACTCTTACTCGTTCGCTCGTATTGTGTTCGCTCGTGTAATCCTGCTCCTCATACTTGATCATGGCAGACGAATTCGAGCCGCTTGAACCGACACTCCAAAATGTTCTCGACCAGAAGAGCTTAAAGTGGATCTTCTGTGGTGAGTCCATGCTTCGAAGAAGGCAATAGACTTCTTAAAAGTTACCACTCGTCACATAGGTGGAAAGGGAGGTGTCGGTAAGCTTTGCAGAGCGAGTCATCGTCAGGTTGCTTATATCACCTTCAGGAAAAACGACCACTTCGTGCTCTTTGGCTGTTCAATTAGCGCAATGTAGAGAATCGGTGCTGCTCATCGTGTGTTTTGCTTTGATGGCTCATGCAGTCTTATGAGGCTGTCTTGCTGATGCGCTGTAGTCCACCGACCCTGCGCACAATCTGTCAGACGCATTCTCACAAAAGTTCGGAAAAGATGCGACCAAAGTCAACGGGTTTGACAACCTGTATGCCATGGAGATCGATCCGAACGGGAGTTTGCAGGAAATGATTGAGGCGTGTGAGTCTGAATTCCACGCTCGCTGTGCAGTAATCTGACAATGAATGGATCCTCCAGCGGATCAAAGCGGCGGCATGGGATCCATGATGCAGGACCTCGCCTTCGCTATACCGGGAGTGGACGAGGCGATGGGCTTTGCGGAGATCATGAAGTGAGTAGGAGTGGATGAGTGCCCAACGGAACGATACTCACGTCATCCTCAGGCATGTCAAGTCTATGGAGTTCTCGGTCATTGTTTTTGACACCGCCCCGACTGGTCACACTTTGCGTTTCCTCTCTTTCCCGTCTGTGTTGGAAAAGGCTCTGGGCAAGCTCAGCACGCTGAGCGGCAGGTTCGGACCCATGCTGCAACAGGTGAGATTGAGCTGCCGCTGGAAGTCCAGAACTGAAGATAACCAGATGCAAGCCATGTTTGGTGGCGGCGCACCTCAAGAGGACATGTTCGCGAAACTCGATGATATGAGAGAGATCATAACGGAAGTCAACACCCAATTCAAGGACCCAGAGAAGACGACCTTTGTCTGTGTCTGTATCTCCGAGTTCCTGTCGCTCTACGAGACCGAGCGCTTGATACAAGAGTTGACGTCGTACGAGATCGACACACACAATATTGTGGTCAACCAGTTGCTTTTCCCGAAACCCAGTGAGTTCTAGCGATGTATGCTGCGGCACGTTCTGACAACCTCGGTACTCAGGTGACAACTGCGAACAGTGCAGTGTGCGTCATAAGATGCAGCAGAAGTACCTCAACGAGGCTTTCGACCTTTACGAAGATGGCTTCCATATTGTTCAGCTGCCATTATTGACCGAGGAAGTCCGGGGAGTCGAAAAGATCAAAGAGTTCAGCAAGGTCAGCCTGCTGTCTGCCTTAGTCTGTCTTCACAGCTAATTTGATCTCAGATGCTGGTGAAGCCGTACTCGCCACCTAAGTAGACGTGTTAGTCGTAGTATCTGAAGTGTATCACCGGTATTGGATCTGCATGCATCTTGCTGTCAGAGCCGCGTTTCATCGGCAAAAACGATCGCCGGCAAAAATCAATTCATGGTCATATGCTATGGTTCTTGACTTCTGACATTTTATCTCGATCTTGCAGGGAGTGACGAGCTTTCTCTGAAGGTAGTGATGTCCATCCAAAAGCTGCTGGTAGTAGGAGGGAACGGCTTCTTAGGTCTGTCGCCCTGATCCGCAACCCATCGACGATCTTTCCTCAATTTGCTGACTTGTCCCTGGTCCAGGCTCTGCGATATGCAAAGCAGCCGTTGGTCGAGGATGGGAGGTATCTAGTATGAGGTCAGTCATTCGCTGGGCTTCGATTCGAATAATCTGCCTGACAAGCTATATAGCTCCTCTGGTAAACCCTACGCAACGCCGGCTGGGCATGCTCCAAAGTGGGTGGACGCTGTACAATGGCACGCCGCCAATGCGTTCGAACCCTCCTCCTACTCTTCCCTGGTAGACTCATCCACAGCTGTCGTGCACACTCTCGGGATACTCCTTGAAGATGCTGGCTACAAGAAAGCAGTCCGCGATGGAAATGTCTTTGGCGTGCTGGGAGCCATAGCAAAGGGAGTGACTGGCGGACAGAGCTCAAATCCATTGAAGACGGGGACTGAGAGAAGGCTAGGATATGAAGGGATGAACCGAGACTCTGGTGAGGCGCAGACCAATTGTGAGGAAAACGCTCATCCTCCGAGCAGCGCTGCATGTTTTGGACACGATGATGGCTTCGTCATCCAAGAACAAGAGCCGGCCATTCGTTTACATTTCTGCAGCTGATGCTTTCCGACCTATCGTACCGGAAAGATACGTCGAGACCAAGAGGGAAGCAGAGCGAGAGATCTTCAGAAGATGTCAGGAGGATCCGGCCCGAGGCATTCGACCGGTGTTTATCCGGCCAGGTGAGCTCAAAAGGCCAACTTCATTAACGGTTCCAGGCCTGATGTACCACCCGCACGTTCGACCCATATCGACTCTGCCCGCATTCCTCTTATCTGTCTCTGCCTCTCTTCCTCTTCCCAACATCTTCGCGTCGCGCTCTTTATTGGGCTCTAGTGTCACCTCGCTCAAGACTCACCCCATACATGTTGATCACGTAGCGGAGGCTATACTACGATCCATAGACGATCCAGAAAGAGTTGGCGTAGTCGATGTGGAATTGATGAGATCATGGGCTGGTTTTCAGGACGCAGAGGAGGCTGTCAGACGGCGGAGTGGTCTGGAGAGCATACATTGATGGGTATACTCTGACATTATGCTTCATTCAAGATCCCTGCCTACGGCAGCTAGTTATAGGGTCTATGTGTAATTCGATTTGACGATGCGACATTATAAAGTGGATATCATCGAGAGTCTATGCTTTCGCCTTCCCTTTGTCTTTCCTCCTCCGCAGCTTCTGTGCCTTGCACTCGCTAACATGCTCCTCGATCGCAGTCGCGTCCGAACCTAGCCTCTCTTCCTCACCTGGGAGCTCCCGCCTGAGCCGACTCGGCCCGGGACTTGGTTGTCTGTCCCCGTTCAAAGTATCGTATAAGGAAGGATGGCCGAGATTGACGGGTGAGAGCTCCACTGGACAACCACCTGATGCAGACGCAGGACTGTCCCGAATGTCCACCCGCCTTGGCCAGTTCATTCCCGTCGAGCCCGCTTTCGGTCGCTTATTGCGTTTTCTCGCTTTTGAGCCTTCAAAAGTCCACGGATCGGGCTCTGGGGAGTGATCACTGAAGAGGCTCGAGCCCCGTACCCAAGACTCTTCCCGGAAGGAAGGTCGCTGTGCTGCATTGGCTCTCGCTTCCTTCCGCTCACGAAGTTCTTGGCGTCGTCGAGATGATACGGTCATCGCTCGGGTTTCACGGATAGAAGAGATCGGGTCCGACAAATGTGCAGCCCGTTGGGAGGACCTTCGAGGCTTTTTGTGCCTGCGACCCGATCCCGATAGGCCTTTCCCTTCACGCGCCCAATGTCTCCCCACCGCACAGAGCTTGCCGTTCACAGCTGCTCGGTTGGCCAAGAGGGTGTCTCTGAGGGTCCCACCTGTCCTCATCACAAGATTCCGGATCTTTGTCTCGATTTGAGCCTTCTCCTTCCGATGATTTTTGCGTATGGATATCCAATCGGCGGCCCATTCTTCATCAGTTGCGTCCGTGATGCGATTGATGAGCTGTATCTCTAGTTCGTGTCTTGCACGCTCCAAGCATCCAATCTGCGCCGGAACTCCTTGATCTCTGTCCCGATTCCCGCAGAAATAACCAGGTGTTTCGAGGATGATGGGAACTCTGGAGAATGATGGGTGGCGAAGGATCTCCCTAAACGCATCGCTTCCTATGTATCCGCTGGTCGCGAATGAGCGCTCGCCTGTTGTGTCAGAATCATACTTACAAATCGAGACTAAGCAAGTCAGCGAGATTACCCCTGAACCTTGTGCATCACTCACTTCGTGTGTGAGTCCTTCCTCGTCCCATGCTTCTCCAGCGAGTCACTGAGGTGTACTGCGGCTATAGCTTCCCTTCCCAATCCCTCTACCGCCCGCAAAAATTCTCCTCGAGCTTCAGTCTCTGCCAGGTCGAACTGCATGTATACATGGCAGAGGTCCATACAGAATTTGACTCTGCCGGGCATGTTGACCAGCGTGATGAAGCGCTGAATGGCGTCCAGACTGTGACTGGTCTCACCACAGCACCGGTCGGTCTGTCATTGTCAGAGCGATTCTTCCGAGAGTTCAGAGCAACTCACCATGGTCTCAACTGCGAGGTCCACCTCGGGAACTTTCTTGAGGAGCTTGCGTATTCGTTTCGCTGTGGCTGCCACCACGCGTTCGTGCTCTTCTGCGTCCACCTGGCCAGTGTTGCCGAGACTGCGCGTCGTAAATCGCACGCCCGGGAAGTTGTGTGGCGGCTGGAGTGATCTACCTAAGCGGTACTCACTGAAAGACCAGCAAACGAACCCCAAAGTCCCGCGCCTGCTGCATCTCTGACAATAGGCTCTCCACCGACTCCTTCACGACAGATCTGCATTTGTCAGTTTATGGCTCAAGCTGAGTGACCTACTTGTCAGAGCTTGCGATGTTGTTTGGGTGGACCGCATGAGCGATCAGAGCAAAGTCCTGAGCTGAAGCCTGCATTAGTGAAAGATAGCATGCCTTGACTCACGGAGGAGCCGACGAACCTCCCGAACCTTGCCAACCAGGTCACGGTGTTCGGGGATTTCGGTCACCCCGGCTTTCACCCTGCGACCAGGGCTGTTCAGGAAGATCGAAGCTCCAGAGAGCGACGTGTCTTGCCCGAAGCTTTCGGCTATGCGATTGAAACACGCCAGAATCCCACCCTCGCGCGATACAGGCAGCATGAGGCGCAACCGGTCGCGTGAGCTTTGCGCCTCATCTGATCCCACATCTTCTTCAGACTCCGCTCGAAGCAGTAATGGGTCCAGCAGACCACGAAAGTCAGCAGGGGTAAATACTGTCGAAGTAATTGGGGTTGTCGGAGCAATCTCAGCCGAATGAAACTCGTCATTACGAGCGCCATCGCTCTCGTCGGCCCCTTCAATATCCTCCTCCTTCTCGTCGTCCGTATCTGCTGTGAGATCGATGACATCTGCAGGGACAGTGCGTATGATAGTCACAGCCTGCGTTGCCGGAGGGGTGGGCAGAGCCGGCACAGCACGAGTACTGGATCCAGCTGTCTCGTAAGAAAGCGGACCTTTGCGACTCTTCTTGATCTGTTTGCCGATCGATGGACTTTGGGCCGGCGCCTTGCGTTTTCTTGAATGCGATATCGGCCCGATTGGTTCGGGAGATTGCGAACTGCTCATCGTCGACGATGATGAAGACCTCTGGTACATCATAGTCTTGGAGCTTTTGACGGTGTCCACGAGCTGATCCTCATTGTCCTCAGCTTGCCTTGCAATTTGTGGTGTCAGAGGAGCCTGACTCGGATCCATCTCTAGTTCCGGGGATAAGGGCATGCCCAGCGTCCTCCACGATGGCCCCAATCTCGCGGTAGGGTAAACAGGGGGGAGCATGGCGGTCGAAGGGTAGGATGATGCAGTCGCAAATGGCCCGCCAGCAACTATGGGTGTACGTGATCTTCGTCGCCGACCCAGTGGTGTAGTGTTTACGCCCGAAAGCGGTGGCCGGGACAGGCTTCGTTGCGCTGCTTGACGCGGCTGCGACGAAAGCCCACCTCGTGATCCTGCGATGGAGATCTCTCCCGCATGTCCAGTATCTTCCTGCTGCACTCATCAGACTTGGGACAGAGAAGGAAACACAGGCTAACTCACAGTCAAATCTCTTGATCTCCAGCTTTCTCTGGAATTTCGATCGTATGGTCGGTATCGAGGGGTTCGAGCAGGAGCCGCAGGTTGTGTTAAGACGCGATCTGCTCGTGGCTCAGTAAGAATGTGAGAGCGGCGAGGCATGATACGTGTGTATGTGTGTATGTCAAGATGTGATGGGTGACAGATGGAACGAGGAATAGACAAAAATAATTTCCCGCTCCCTCCAAAAGTTTCTGCAATGTATTTCGCGTCGCGCCCTCCAAAGGACATTAGGAAGTGCCTGTACCGCGTCTTTACCGGCGAGTCAGCGAGATTAGGCGAGACCTGGACCGAGCAAGGGTGAAAGCCAGAGGACATCAGCTCGGGACACTGTCGGAGATGTCAGGGACCCTGAGCTTGGCGTCCGTAGTCTTGCGCTTTGACCTCGACCTAGTCTAAGGTATTCTTGATACCTTTGTCAAGCAATCTGTGACCAGAAATGGAGCTCAGAATGGCAGATTTTCGTGTTCTGAGAGAGTTAGCAGTCTGTACAGGTACGAAAGTAGAGCCTGAAGACAGACTGCCACTTTTTACCGATCTGCCACCGTCGCTTACTGAATTTCCAGAATTCGGGCAAGCCCATGGGCTTATGATCGTCTGGTGGACCAAGTGGTACACCGTAGACCTATCCGAGGCGGCCATTATGGTATTTGTGCCCCGAATACACCTCGTATACCCCGGCAGAACCTGATTTGGACCCAAAGGTAGCATCCCGCAGGGTCCCTTTCAGTCAGGGTGGTCGATATGCCGGATCCGGTTGGGCCAAAGGATGAATTAGGAGCATCGCGACGAAGATATCCGTGCCGTCTGTCGACCAAAGCAGTTCGAGGTCGTAAAGTCACGGAGATTCATATGGCAAATCCTACAAAATACGGAAGTTCGACATCGGATCCTTTTCTCTCTAAGGTCTCATCATTGACCACCACGGAGCCGAAGCACCAAGTGCAAGGTAGACTCCTTTTGGATGTTGTAGTCACTGAGCGTGCGTCCATCTTCCAGCTGCTTTCCAGCGAAGATCAACCGCTGCTGGTCGGGTGGGATGCCTTCCTTGTCCTGGATCTTAGATTTGACATTGTCGATAGTATCTGAGGATTCGACTTCGAGGGTGATCGTCTTACCAGTGAGACTATCAAGTATCAGCACGATCGACATCTCGTTTCCGGTCACTCACGTCTTGACGAAGATCTGCATACCTCCTCGCAGACGCAAGACAAGATGCAAGGTGGACTCTTTTTGGATATTGTAGTCTGAGAGAGTTCGTCCATCTTCCAGCTGCTTTCCGGCGAAAATCAATCGTTGTTGATCAGGAGGGATGCCCTCTCTTTATAATAGTTAGCAGATCTCCAGTCTCCCAGCAACTTCACACACTTGTCCTGAATCTTGGACTTGACATTGTCAATTGTGTCAGACGACTCGACTTCAAGGGTGATGGTCTTTCCGGTGAGACTGCCCCGTCGTTAGTATGAACTCAGCTGGATCCAGTCGCACTCACGTCTTGACAAAAATCTGCATACCTCCTCGCAACCTGAGCACCAAATGCAACGTAGACTCCTTCTGGATGTTGTAGTCGGAGAGTGTACGTCCATCCTCGAGTTGTTTACCGGCGAAAATGAGTCGCTGTTGATCAGGAGGAATACCCTCCTTGTCCTGAATCTTGCTTTTCACATTGTCGATGGTGTCGGATGACTCAACTTCCAAAGTGATGGTCTTGCCAGTCAAGGTCTTCACAAAGATCTGCATACCACCACGGAGACGAAGAACGAGATGAAGGGTTGATTCCTTCTGGATGTTGTAGTCGGAGAGGGTTCGTCCGTCTTCGAGTTGTTTACCAGCGAAAATGAGTCGCTGTTGATCAGGAGGAATACCCTCCTTGTCCTGAATCTTGCTCTTCACGTTGTCAATGGTATCGGAGGACTCGACTTCGAGGGTGATGGTTTTGCCGGTCAAAGTCTTGACGAAGATTTGCATACCTCCACGAAGACGGAGGACAAGGTGGAGAGTGGACTCCTTTTGGATGTCTAGAGCAGCCTCAGCTTTGCGGAATTCTGGTACGAAAATGAAGCTCACTGTAATCGGACAGAGTTCGACCATCCTCAAGCTGCTTTCCCGCGAAAATCAAACGTTGTTGGTCAGGGGGAATTCCCTCCTTGTCCTGGATCTTCGACTTGACGTTGTCAATCGTATCAGATGATTCGACCTCAAGAGTAATAGTCTTCCCGGTGAGGCTGAGACATGGGTCAGGATTGTACAGAACTGATGACTCACGTCTTGACGAAAATCTGCATTCCTCCTCGGAGACGAAGGACCAAGTGTAGGGTGGACTCTTTCTGAATGTCTGGGGATGAGTCAGCACAGCCCCGCGTTTCCATCGATTGACGCACTGTAGTCGGACAGAGTTCGACCGTCCTCAAGCTGCTTTCCAGCAAAGATCAATCTTTGCTGATCAGGGGGAATGCCTTCTTTGTCTTGGATCTTGGATTTGACGTTGTCAATGGTATCCGAGGACTCGACCTCGAGGGTGATAGTCTTTCCGGTAAGGCTGAAATCAGACGTCAGCATCAATAGACGGCATGCGGGGGAATGCTACTCACGTCTTCACGAAGATCTGCATGGTGATGATGAGATACTACCGAAGAAAGTAGGGAAGGATCGATTATCAATATCTGTAGGTTGGAAGATGGCGGGATCGAGGGGCGATCGAATGGTGACGTATCCGTCAGCGACGTGTCCAATGTCCGAGATCAGGGAGAAGCAGAGGCACGATCGCCCAATTGAAAGGTTTGGGATACGAGGAAACGAGTGGAAGACCTCTAGACAACTACAATGTCTCTCGCACCAATACTCATCACGCATTGGGCGTGTTGAATGGGTGGCGATGCTTATACGGACACGGTCCGCGGACCGTCGTCAAGCTTGACTTGGAGAAGACACAGACAAGAGACTGGTGCGATCCCCTTCTATGCACCCAGTATCATGCAGACTCGCGCGCTCGACACTCACCTAAGCTAGAGTAAACAGACACGATAGTGATAGGTTGAAGAATGAACGATGGATGGGATGGGAATGAGTCATGGAAGCTGCGAGATAGGGGGGGTAAAGGGGGGTCCCGGGGGGGCGGGCGGGCCGGGCGTTATCATCGGCGTTTTATTTGATGTGGCACTATTTTTCGGTCAGTGGCGAGGACGCGTTGCTACTACTGTGGATACGTGAGTCATTGTTCACTACCTCTTGGATCGTTCATATCATAAACCTTGACTGCAATCCGACATCACTGCTGAGCAGAACACAGCGCCTAGCAATCGTACTCTGGGTCTTCTTTCTTATTAAACTGTCGTCGATTCCTCATTGTTGAACTACCCGCTAGCACACGACTCGGCACCCGACTCACGGATCACCACCTTCCTTACCTTCGACCTAAAGCTCGCATCGCATTCGACGCACTCCCTCCCAGCGATCATCCTCAGTTTCTTGTCTCCGATAACATTCACTTCTCGACTATATTCTACGCTGCATAATGTCCATATCGTTACCCAATGGCACGCTCCTCGCCGCTCCATCCTCTTCTCAAGCGCAAGTATCTGCCGCGGTCACAAGGATACTGCACCTCTCCAATTTCAGCCCCGAGTGAGTGCATGGGAGCGTCCTTCCGTCTGTTCTCCGGCACCAAGCTGACAACCCTGATAAGACTCAAAACTCGAGACATACAAGTGATATTCAAAGACTGGGAGAACGAGAAAGGAGGTTTTCGGATCAAGTGGCTAGACGATGTCAATGCCTTGGTAGTCTTTTTTGACGCTGGTATAGGTGAGTGATGGATCCTCAGAGGGGTCAAAATGGCTTGAAGTACTGTTCTGACCTCTGCACTCAGCCAAGCGCGCCTATCTTCACCTCTTGCTATACACACCACCTACCTTTCCTCCGCCCGCCAGTATTCGACCATACGATAGACCCGACGCAGGGCAAATCATTGCCTCGCTCGCCGCTCGCACAATGGGTCATCGATCCGGCATCTCCACAGCCAGCGCAATGAATGGCTCAATCTCCATACCTTCCGCCGATGGATCCTCACACCAAAGGACAGGCTCCTCCATGGCCTTGAACGGATTCACGATGCCTTTGAAAGGCACAAATTCTCGCGCAACAGGTCGTATGGGACATAGCCGAACAGGATCAGCCTCATCCTCTTGGGCTCGCGGGGGTGGGCCCGGCGCCCTAAACTTCACTATGCCATCTACCAACGCACCTCGTCTGCCGACTCACTCGGAAGGCACGACGCCAAGAGAAGGCATCAGTAGGCCATCCAGTACGAACAATGAGGGTAGCGATGGAGTTCATGTTCTCGAGAACTCGTATAATCGACCAGCCGCTAGAATTTCACCTGGCACCACTTCCAATCTGAGCAATCCATTCGATGCGTATGGACAGAGACGAGGCAGCATCACCGCGGACAGGGCCATGAGGCAAGTCGAGATGGCCCTTGCCAGCGTCGAGGCTCAGGGCTAGATCTCATACCCGATGTTTTCTTTGAGCCCCAGCGCTTGATGTACATGTGTAATAGGAGTCTTTTGTACCTGTCCAGCTCACGATCAAAACATACACTCTGTACATGTCAACACCATTGATGAATCATCCATCATGCAATGTCACCTAACTCTACCTCGTGGTTTGAACGATTTTGACCACGGACTCTCAACGTCATCCGTTGCATGCCCAAGGCGATGGGTGAAAAAGAGCTGTGGCGAGCCCGAACGCTTCTGCACAGAAGACCGAGGGTTGCCACCAGCGCTTTCTTTCTCTCATTGATTGACTACCTAGCCCAACCCAACGCTTTCTGATCCTGCACGATCATTCGCCTTTATGCTCCTCACGGATGGACTGACCGGTCAGTTGAGGCGAGAGCGGATTTACGGATTTCCCCGCAATTTGCGGACTGAGCAGTCCTCCCGTCGGACTATTCTGACCTCCGGTTCCACTGCCATTTGGCGGCGTCTCTCCCGTCAACATCCGCTTCAACATCTGATCCTGTCTCCTCTGTGTCTTTCTTTCTGTCTCCTCTGTCCCACCCGTTTTGCGGAGCTTCCTACCCTTGACGAATCCAGTAAGCTCTTGTTCAAACTCGTCCGTTTTGTTTGCTCTCTCCTTCTCCCTAGCCTTCTGTTGAGCCTCAATGGCTTTAAGCCTTTGGTTTGGATCCGACTCTTTCGTTCTAATCTCCATCAACAGGTTGGGTATCCCGCCATCAGGATCTGGGGTTGGTGGTCGGAACCCGCGAGATGGGTTGCGACCAGCTGAAGCTGCCCGTTGATTCACAAAGTCTTGTAAATTCTGGAGCATATTCTCTGCATCCTGAATGTCATTCTTGAGGTCCACAGTGAGCTTGCTTTGATGCGGCAGAAGGCGTTGCTCATCCATGACTCGGGAAAGTTCTTGATGCCACGTAGCTCGCCATGTCGGCTCGACGGTAGATACCTCCTTGGCAAACGAGTCGACCAATTCGTGAGCCTTCTGAAGGTCTGCGCGAATAGTAGCCATGCGTTGCGAGGATGGCGTGACGAAGCGACGGAACGCATCCTCTCTTGCCGAATCGATCGTGTCCGAAATCTCCTCCACCGCTTGGATGGTATCTGCGCACAGTGATTCTAACTTCGTCTTCGAATTGTCCAAGAGAGCTCTGCTGCCGCCCATCTTTGTCTTGACCAGATCGCGCATACTCGAGTTCTCTTTGCGCAGCTTGGACAGAGCTTCCTTGGACTCGGTGATGAAGTCCACATGAATCTGTCGAAGGACAGCGAGATCTTGACGTAGGCTCGAAATTTCATCTTGGTGAGCCTGGAGCTCGGCAGTACGTTCCGGTCCATTAATGGCGGGAACAGGAGAGACTGGTCGACGCGGCTCTGGAGAACGCGCAGCTGCGAAAGGCATGGCTCGGGGCGTGTGAGCAGACGGCGAAAGGGCTAGGAGGGCCGGATTCGGCACAGCAGACATTCTGCGTTGCTGATCCACAGACTTTTTCATCTCCTTGATTTCCTGCATCAGGTTGGCAAAAGTGACGTCGAAATGCTGCTTGACTTGATCCAGCGCTGATTCGCCCAGGTGAGCACGACGTTCGCGAGATATATACACCTGCTCACGTTCGATGTTCAGACTCAAAAGGCATCCTTCTTTCAGATCATCGATATCCTCCAGCTCATATTGCACTCCTGTCTGGCTATCTCTCAGGTACACATCTGGAAAATCCTCCATTCCTGGATCGTATTCAAATTTCTCCATGAATAGCAATCGAAGGGCGGACAGTGATACCGGCAGATCGAGGACAACCTTCTTGACTTGCCTGCCAACTTGAAGGAAGACGGTCAAGCTGTCAGGCGAGGGCTTTGGTGTGGCTGTTGGCTCAAAAACGCGAGGAGTGAGCTGAGGGCTTGGATCAAAGCTCGGGTCCGGGGTCCTGAAAGATCTGATAGATCCCTCCTGATCTGATGGAGACAGGTCTAAGGAGCCAGACATTGGACTGATTGAGTGATGTGAAGAAGCGCTCGAGGGATCAAGCTTGTCAACACTGTTGGATGAAGGAGTCTTTCCGCCCTCGCTGTACGCCGATTGGAGCGTTCTGGAAGCTGCAGACTCAGAAAGTGACGGCATGGGAGGAGGCTTATCCATTCTTCTTGGTGGACGCTGCTGGGGACTGCCAAGCATCGAAGATTTTTTTTGGGTGGGAGATCCAGGTAGCTTGTTGAAAGTGTAAGAGGAAAAGCGTTTGGATGCCCTTCTTTCCAGGGCATCTGACCGGGACAGTGCTGCAAGTGTCGCTCGAGACTCTGGTGGCACATCTGCAAGCTGAGGGGCGGGCTCCAGAGATGGCGCATCGGACAGATGAAGGGCCGAGGAAGGGAAGTTAAGTGTGGGTAGTGATGGAGGCAGAGACGGCTGAGTAGGTAGGGCTGATGATGGCGGTGGTGGTGGCGGCGGCGGGGCTGGCGCTGCTTCTCCAGCTTCACTCAAAGAGCTCATCCTCTTCTTTGGACTTTGCCTCGCTGGAGATCGGATAGGAGAAGCATTCGTGATATCTGAATCGGCAGAGAATCGGGATATCGCCCGAGGGTTTCCCATGCTATCCCGAGAGAATCGCTCAGGACGCGGAGGCGGAGTAGCCTTTGGCGGCGGTGTAGGTCCAGAACGCGGGGGAAGACTCTTGAGAGTATCCGGGGGCGGCGTAGAGACGGGGACAGGATTGTCACTTAGTTGATGGCGAATAAGCCCATCGGCCATAGTGTTGTTTGGGATCGAGGAATGAGTCGTCTTGACTGGAGACGGGTTCGGGGAGATACTACGCGTAGGGGGCTGACCTCCCTCTGGCGCACGCATTCGTGGCGGACGAAAAGCATCCGGAGGTGCAGGTCTCGTCTGAGGTACAGGTCTAGGTCGATCAGCTAGAGTCTTGCCAGCTGGTAGAGGCGATGTAATGGATGCTGGACTGGCTGATCCTTGCGACAACGATGCAGAGGTGTTAGACCGGGCTGAAAGTCGAGCTTCTGCCGATTCAGCCCTCGGTATTGGTCTGGCTAACTGCTGGGCAGACGTGCTTGAAGGTGGAGGTAGAGGTGGTGCCTGTTGAGCGAGGACCTGTCGTCGGACTGAAGGGACACTGTCACCTCCACCTCTCTCACTTGCCAAGCGCTTATAAACGGCTTGCTTCTGCTTCAAGCCATTCAAGAGACCGTAGATGATGTTCCTGACCTGAGGGAGATGAAGATTGAGCGTCTCCGAACATGGCTCCTCGTTCAGGCACGCCTCGAGGCAATGACGGAGGTCGGTGGGTATGGAGTCGAGCTCGCTGGTCGAGAAGTCAGCTCAAGTGCCTCATTTGAGACCAAATCTACTAACAGCGTGGATATGCCTGCATCTTGGAAAGCTGAGAGACATAGCTCAAATTGATTCCCCAATCTGACATAGATATCACTGACCTTAAAAGGGAGAGATCAGCTTGTGGAGGCTCTTTGAAACTCACTCCTTCCTCATCCAAGGATCCTTGTGACCAAGACTCCAGGCCTTGGAGCATGTGTTTTGTAGTGACCAATAGACGCGTGATATTGGAGTCAAGAGTACCGCCCTGAACGTTGTTCATTCTGTCAGTGTTCTGCACACTGGTATCTTTCCAGGCTCGGGAAGCTCAGCTCACAGGTGTTCGGCTGGACGAGCTGACGCTTCGAGCGCCTTGCGATGGTCCAGGATTCGGGGTAGTCATATTGTTGCCTCGTCTCTCACTGGTCGATGATGAGGCCAGGCTTGTATCTGCGTTGACGCTGCTGTAGGACGAAGATCCAGGCAGAGGTGTCGGGTAGGAAATGTTGGGTCGTGACATGATCGTGAAATGCTCGTACGGTCTGGACTACGGTCGTGAAACCCTCTCTGGGTCCCTCACAGGGACAAATGACCTCGCGTCTTGCGTCCTCGTGTCAGCAGTCGCGTCCACAGACGACGAGAAGATGGTAAATGATCACACGAGATTGAACTTTCATTACAGTATAGACGAGTCTGTGCGGGGTCTCCGCAAATGTCTAAAAAGTTGGTAAAGAACGGATGAAATGCCAGATGCCGAACGACAAGACCATCAACAGTAAAGAGTAGCGAGGATCGTGGACGAGCATTATGGGACCTGCTAGCGCGATTCAGAAGGATGTTCACCTCAATACGGCCCCTGGAAGTTCAGAGGATCAGCTCAAACTTGACCCATATCGTCCGATCGCCTCGACCCTTCAAGTGAGCCTTGTGTCCCGCAAAGGAGGCCCACTGACATCCTGCAGAGAAGCTTACAGCGTTTTCTCCCCGATGATTCAAGCTTGAGAACTCAATCATCTCTACCTATTCTCATGAATCTTGATGCTTCATCCTACGCCTCGCGCGTGTCCGGCAAGACGCTGATCCTGGATCCTCATCAAGCTTCTTCCAGCAGCAGTGAGCTTGTAAGCGGCAAGAAGAGGAATAGGGGGGATCCAGATGCGAAAGGCAAGGCAAGGGCAGAGCATGAGAGCCGGGCAGAGACTATGACAGACTTGGGTCTTGATGGTTTCAGAAAGGTCAAAACACGCCTTGGCGGAGGAGTAAAGAGAGGGATGAAAATGGAGTGAGCATATCAAGGAGCCCTCAGGCTGTGCCATTGCTCATCAATTGTTCAGCTACAACGCTCTGTTGCCACTTCATTACCTCCATACGCTATACCTTATCCAACTTTTCGCTCTGCTACCTGTACCGCGAAATCTGGTTCCTTATACGTCCACCTCGACTCAAGGCCGTTCTCGCCAAACACCTCGACTCCCAGAAGGTATGACAAACGACGGTATCACCACACTCCTGTCAAAGGCAGAGTTTACAGGGATGGAAATGTCTATCGTGTCCTCGAGGAATTCATCGCTCGTTGGCCTCAAGGGTATCGTGGTAGAAGAAACGGCCATGACGTTTGCCCTGGTAGCACCAGATTCAAAAGTCAGAATCATACCAAAAGAAGGGACATTGTTCCGCGTACATTTTCCAGCGTACGCTCCGGAGTCGTCTGGGATCGTTCCACCTCCGCCAGCTCAGACCGAGTCCAGTATCAGACGTCAAAACAAAATCAACGATCAGACTGCAGCCAATTTGGAAGCCGAGCGTCTGAATGATGGCACCTTTCATACCCTCTCACAGCATCTGGCGATATGTCCAAGAATACAGATCGACATTCTCGGTTCTTCTTTCCTATACCGATCTGCTGAGAGAGCTGGTCGCAAGTTCAGGCCGGCGCAAGGTCGTGGCGGAGGCAGCGGGTGGGGAGAAAATTGGGTCAAAGCAGAATGGAGCGAGGTCCTTCAGGCTATGGAGCAGGCTAGTAAGGGTGCTCGACAAGGCACTACGGAAACGCTTGTATCGAACGAGTGTGAGATGGACGTCGCGAGCGGAGAGAAAGGGGTCGGCGCGACTGGTAGGAAGAAGCGCAACAAGAGCAGACGGAAAGATCCGCCCGCAGGTGGCTCTCATCAAGTGCATTTTTAGAACTGCGAAGGAGGTGATCATGACCAATGCATATATGCCAAATGTATCGCTCTCCTGATTGTTCATGTCGTCAATCGTGCCATAAAATTCGTGATGTTTCGTCATGCCTGTGCTATTTCCGACTCGCTCATATCTCCACAATCTTATCACTCGCCGCTCTTACCATATCCATCTCAAATTGAGCCTGCTCGGCGTTTCCGGTCTGTGTCTCGCTGTCATTCAATGCGAGCTTGATCAACCATGCGATGTCGGATCGAGCTTCGACAGACAAAGAAGATTGACGTCTCGTTGCCAATTTCGCCTTGAAAGCTTCGAAGAACTCAGCAGAGACCTGGTCCGCGCGAGAGACGACAGCCGAAGGCACGCCAGCCATTGTGGCAACATCTGAAATCGACTTTAGTTGGTCCGTCTGCCGATCAGCGGTGAACTCACGGGTTCCATGTGATGATTCCGCTACCCCAGGCACTAATTTGTACAAGAAAACAACTTGATGTTGCTCGTCATCGACGTGAGTCTTCATGTGCATCCTGCGGATGTTCGGATGGTAGGTGTAGTCGTCAGTCAAAGATCCGTAGTGCGTCTGAATGCGAGTGAGCCGTGCGAGTTGTTGAAAGATAGATGGACCTACCGCAAAGAAGCCCAGAGGCAGAGTATGCGTTGCGAGATGATGCAACACTGCTCCCGCGATCGCCATTCCGTCGAATGTAGAGGTTCCTCGACCAAGTTCTAGACGATATCAGCACACTTCAAGGACTCGTTTTGAGATTATGCGCACCGTCAAGTATCACGAATGATCTAGGACCAGCTTCCCGAAGGATCCGAGCGCATTCGTCCAGCTCTACTTTGAAAGTACTCGCGGCTGCGAACATGTCTAGATAGCTGTCAGATAGGCAAGCATTTAAGGCACTCACTGTCGTACGCTCCCATCCTAGTCTGTATCTTGTCGACTGGCGATAGGACGGCCTTGCTGGCCGGGACGTAACAGCCCATCTGGGCCATGATAATTCCAGCGGCTGTCATCCTCAGAAGAGTACTTTTTCCAGCCATATTTGGTCCCGTTAAGAGCGTCGTCCGAGGCACATTGCCCCCGAGCTGGACATTGTTAGGTATGAAGTCACTCCGGAGACACATGGAAGGGTGCCGCAGATCTTCGAAATCTATGAACGCGACTGGCGAGTCAACGAAGGTGGGTCGGCATTTTGGTTCGTCCATGTTATGAGATGCCCTTGCGAGGGAAATAAGACAATCGAGCTCTGCAAGCAGCCTGCGGGTACCATCAGGCTCAGAGACACTCCAGGATGCCTAATTGCACCCACTTGATAGCCTTGAGCCACAGGTCTCGATCCTGATCGAACTCAGCCATGAGCCGACCATAGAAGCCTTGTTTTGCAGTCGAGAGCTTCTCCTGAGCTTCAAGCAGTTCTCGAACCAATCTTTTCAGGTCTTCGGAATAATAGCGGGAGACTTTCTGATCACACCTTCAGTATCGGTGGGAAAAAGGAAACGGAGATTACACACCTGTGTACCGCTCTGCTTGATCCATCTGTCACTTGACATCTTGGTCGAGGAAGGAACTTCAAGCTGATAGATTTCCCTTCCGCCTTGAGCGCTGTGCCAGAACTTGATTGCATCAGAAGAGAGACTAAGCAAGATCATCAGCAAGTGGCCCACTCTCGGATCGAGTTCGCTCACCCTAAAGACCTCCGAGTCTTCTCTCTGAACTCTTCGAGGTCGGTCTTGATCGTGTCAATCTCATCTTGAGCAGCGCTGCAGTCTTCGTCGGCACGCTCCTGAGGTATGATCTCGAAAGTGGATTCTGGAGTAAGACTCAGCGGGGTTATCTTTATTGGCTAGGACATGCGACTCACTCTCGGTCTTCACAGTGTACTTTTTTTCAAGCTTCCTCACGTGCGGTCCAATGTCTGGGAAAGCACGCAATATACCATGAACAGTTCTGGCGTCCTGCGGTGTGATAGTGGTGGACAGCCGATCCATAGCTTCTTTGATGTTGCTGAAGGCCTGCAGAACGGCATAAGCAAAGATTCAGCCTGCTGTGGCCTAGACTGACAGCTACGACTTTGTCAAAATCTCGCTGCTTCAGTGCACCAGCATGAATCCTAGACACCATTCTCTGCAACATCCATGAGTCAATAGCACCATGGCATCAAGCTTGATTCTCACCTCGAGATCAGGCAATTTCTTCGCAAAGAGCGTGAAATCACCCATTACGCCTGGATTTGCGAGCAGCTCGTCCACTGCATCAAGCCTATGGGTGGGTCAGCAATGAGGACTTGCGTCAGTATCACCTGTCATTAATCATCTTAACATCACGCAATGGCGCGATGAGCCAGTGTCGGAATAAGCGTTTACCTGAGTCGAGATCTCAGCTTGGTCGCATCGAATGAAACGAAGTCACGAACCGAAGGGAGAGGAGCACTGCTGGAGCAACGCCAATAAAGTGCCCTCTTCGCCACCTTCATTATTCGTGAGAACCTGGAGTTATCTTAGCTGATGACCTTGCAGTCCTCCGGACTGGACTCACCTCCATGTGATTGAGTGTATGACCATCCAAGATCATGCTTTTCCCTTGACGAATTGGATCATACACGTTGAAGTTCTTCTGAGTGAGCAAGTCATTGCCCAGGTTCATCGTCTCGATGTAATACATCATGCCCCCGAATGCTTCCATCGCTAACGGGCGATGGCTCATGGCTTGAATGGCTTCCGGGAGGATGGGCTTGCCGCTGTTGTCTGGATCTGAGGCTAGCTGATAGGTTTCGGCCAATCGCCTCAATGTTTCGTCCCTGGTATAGAATTGATCGACGTTTTGAAAGGACTCCCACAGAGTCGAAGCGGGCAGAATGGCACGCAGTAGTCGTTGTGTATTGACGGAAAGGTTGCTCTGCGCGCCGTCAATCAAGCGAGCACGGCTTGGGACGCACCTTTGCATAAAGAAGCTCTTTTGGACGGATCTGGCGGAAGAGGGTTTCCAAGTTGGTATTGACGATGTCGTCTTCGAGATATGCCAAATCAAACACCCCCGTCGATGCGTCCAAGATGCAAACACCAAAGTTGCTGAGACCCGTGCTGGGATCTACAGACTCCTGGCGGTCATTGCGTGTCAGTGAGGCGTCAGTCATACAAGCGAGACTCGCACCTTCAGAGCGACGCAGTGATTCGATTCATCCGAAGCGAGATAAGCCCCATCCACGATGGTCCCGTTCGTGAAAACTTCGGATAGTTCACGTTGCACGATCTTGACGCCATCCAGGTGATGATTAGGTCCTCGAAGAAGATCCCTGCCGGTCACCTCTTTGCCCTTGACAGCTTTAGCGTTCGTTTCGGTGGATGCGGTTTTCTTGCTTGCGTCCTTCTGTGTCCGCATGTCCATTCTGGGTGATTGGTCAGCTTGACAGAGAAAACGATAACAACGCGCTCACCCAATGGCAGTCTCCTTCTGGTCGACCCTACCAACCTTGTACCCGGCGGCAAGGAATTTTGCAGCCCAAATCTCAAATTGCTGTTCTGGAACTCCGACCTGAGAGGAGCGATGTCTTAGTGGGCCATCAACATGTGAGTTCGTGCTCACCATCTTCATTTTGACCCGACTGGTCAGCTTGAGATCGAATTCTCTGTGCCCGATCTCCGCGTCGTTCTCGTAGAGCTCGTAAAAGTAACCCTTTTGAAAGAAAAGGACAGTGTCGTAGTACCATCTTTTGATCCACCAGAATTGCTTCTCAAACGGGGTCATGTCCTTGAAGTGATGCTCTTCGATCAGCAGGGTTCGTTTGTCGTAATCTGGGTCATCCTCGTATCGACCCTGTGCGTCTCGAGGCTTCTTCAAGAAGGGGAAAACTTCTCCACCTTCTTTTTTTGCGTCTTTATCCTCCTCCTTGCGCAACTCAGCCAATGTGAGGAACACGTCGGATCCGGCACGGGAGTCTGACCGATCAGACGCGGCTCGGGAACCGCCTTTGGAGCTAGAGGCAAATGGGCGAGGGGGTGGACGGGATAGGGATGTTGAGGGTTTTGGCGCTGATTTGGCAGGTTGAGCGAAGCCTTTCGATCGCTTGACCGATTTCGCAAGGGGAGGACCTGGAGAGTCGGACATGACGGAAGCTTCATACTCATCTGCAGCCTCTGCGGGGGCGTGTCAGATCTAAAGATTGAGGGGAACCGGGTACCCACCCATCATGACATCGTCATCTAGATCCAGCATGAAATCGTCCGAGTCCGAATCGTTTTGCAAGCTCTTCCGCTTCGCAGGCACTGATATGGCTCATGTCAGTCTACGCTGACCGGCTTTTCATGCGGACTCACGCTTGCTCTGTAATGGTTTCTGGGAGATCATGCCGACATCAGAGTCAGAATCTGATTCTGCGTAGACAACCTTGCGTTTGGCTCGGCGAGACTGTAAGGAGAGATGTCAGGTTGGTATCTTGCAACGGGAAATTGAAGGTGGAAATGAACGTAACATCAAGGTGGGATCTCAATTGGATACACCAGGCATATGATTAATCTGCGCACGGACCACCAGCTCACCAGTACAATTGGCGAATCCTCTCCACCGTGGTTCATCACAATGTCCTCCTTGACTGTTTCCTCTTTCTCTACCACGACAGACCTGCTCTTCCTAGCTTCGAGAGGTGGAGGGGTGAGATCATCCGAGAGATCATCGTCGTGATTCATCACATTTTTCAGTGGACTGGTAGATCTGACACGGGACCTGGCGATGACGGTAGATGGGGAGCTGCCGAGTGCGGAGGATGGTGTACGGAGAGCCGTAGACGCAGGAGAGGATGTCGAAGGACCTGCTGCGACAGGAGCTGATGCTGGGACCGGCACATCCTTGTTACTCAGAGGTCGAGCAGATGAGCTTGGAGCCGCTGGACCTGGCTTTGGTTTTCCGAAGAATCCTAGGAGAGTCGATTGTCTGGGTCTAGGATGTGGAATTCAGCACGTATCTCAGGAATATAGGTCTATCAGCTTACACCTTCGCAGGATCAGTCTGAGTCTTGCCCGCCATGATCTGTATCGTCTGTGTCCGCGCACCAGACTGATGACACGGTCTCTACAGGCTCCCTTCGCTCAAGATACTGAGAGACCTCATGGTCGACCACATGGCTTGATTTTGTAAATGACACGCTTCCTGAACCTCCACTTACGCGGTTCTTTCGTGTGTCTCTTTTGACAGGGGAACATTGCGACCGCCATCGACGTGTCTGGATGTGGCTTGTGTGTGAGTCGTGTCTCTTTCCCGCGGAATACATGGTAACTTTACTAATCAAGCTAATAGACGCGTTCCCTTTCTTATTACTAATCTGAGGAGTATGGTAATACACTCGTCATCGGCCGAAGTTTCATCACGTGATGTTTGCATCGAGACGCGTTTCTGAACATTAAGAAAGAAAAAAAACTTTGCCGGTTGACTGGACTGGAAGCAACGCGTTCATATATATATGGGCCAGCCCTCCGAGACTCCTTCTCTTTCACTCTGTCTCTTTCTGATTCTCTCTCTCTCTCTCTCTCTCTGTCTCTACATCCCATTTCACTTGAAGCACTCTCGCCCTCAGCCTTTTCATTCATTTAGCTCTCCCTAACCATCCCTCCCTCATTATGGCTGAAGTCACTCCCTCCAAGGTCGCAGCTGCCGCTCTCTCTCACATCAACCTCAACACCACCAACCCCGCCAATAAGCCAGCCGAGCACACGCTCATGGCCAAGCTCAAGGCTGCAGCTGCCGAGGTCCAGGCCAAGGCAGAGGTCAAATCTGTCGCTGCGACGGCTACGGCTGTGAATGTGACTGAGACCGAAGGGTCTGAGGAGGTCGAGGAGTACCGTACACGTTTCGTCGGTGATCTCGAGTGCGAAGAGAAGGATGAGCCCCTCCTGCAAGAGACTACATCCCGATTCGTCCTTTTCCCTATCAAATACCGCGAGGTGAGTAAACAGGCCAGGCTCTTCCTCTCACTTAGAGACTGACTCCTTTGACTCTAGATTTGGCAAATGTACAAGAAGGCTCAGGCGAGCTTCTGGACCGCCGAGGAAATCAACCTCGCCCCTGATCTTCACGACTGGGAAACCAAGCTCAACGACAATGAGCGTTACTTTGTCGAGCGCGTCTTGGCCTTTTTCGCCGCTGTAAGTGGATTTCTGAACCATAACAATCATAGCTCATCCCTTCTTTCAGTCCGACGGAATCGTCAACGAGAACTTGGTCGAGAGATTCTCTTCCGAAGTCCAATGCGCCGAGGCCAAGTGCTTCTACGGATTCCAGATCATGATGTGAGTATGCAGATGCCCTGTCGCGGCTCTTGCTGATTCGCTCTAGGGAGAACATCCACTCTGAAACCTACTCCCTCCTCATCGACACCTACATCAAAGACGCCAACCACCGCACATTCCTCTTCGAAGCCATTGACACCATCCCTTGTATCCAAAAGAAGGCTCAATGGGCACTCAAATGGATCACTGACAAACGATCGACCTTCGCCGAGCGATTGATCGCCTTCGCCGCCGTTGAAGGTATTTTCTTCTCTGGTTCGTTTGCCTCCATCTTCTGGCTTAAGAAGAGGGGTCTCATGCCTGGTCTCACATTCTCCAACGAACTCATCTCTAGGGATGAGGGACTCCACACCGACTTCGCTTGCCTCCTGTTCACCCACCTGAGGAGGAGACCGCACCCTGAGACTGTCGAGCGGATCATCCGAGAGGCCGTCAAGATTGAGCAGGAGTTCCTGACAGGTGAGTCTCGCATAGCCTGCTCTTTGAATATCGCTGATGCTCGTGCACAGACGCTCTTCCATGTTCCCTCATCGGCATGAACTCAAAACTCATGTGTCAATACATCGAGTTTGTTGCCGACCGTCTACTCGTTGCTTTGGGTAACGAAAAGGTTTGGAACGCCACCAACCCATTCGGTGAGCAACCCGCTCGTCTTCTCTTTTTAAGGATTTATGCTGACTCCACGTCCAGACTTCATGGAGATGATTTCCCTCCAGGGCAAGGCCAACTTTTTCGAGTCTCGAGTGTCTGCCTACTCCAAATCCGGTGTCAACCAATCTGTCGGGGCCGACGGAGACCACCAAGCCGTCAAAAAGGGCTTCTCTCTGGACGAAGACTTTTAGGCTGGCCCCATTGTCTCTAATACGTCCCGAGCACTCCTAGTTTTTATCCCCTTATTCTGCTCGCCTCTCTATTGTATCTTTTCATGTTGTTCCTTGTGGGTCAGATCCGTCTCTTAGATTAAACAGAGACACCTATACAAATCTCGTCACAGTAACAAAATGCTCTGCTCTTGCCCATAACGATCATGCAACGACTTGCAACGCACAGACGCATCAGACGCTTCTCACGACCAAGATGTGCATGCCACGCAATATAACCTAAAAATCCCCATTCGCTTCTTCCCCAGTCGTGGCCGTGCTACGTCTCGTAGTTGGTGCCCTATTCAGTGGTTTTGTACCGGTGGCTGCTCGAGTATTCAAGCGCGGACTGGCCAAGATACGGTCTGATCTCAGACTCGGCGAACGACCATCAATCCTTGGCGACTTGGTCATTCGCTCATCATCTTCCTCCTGATCGACGACTGATGCCATTCTCTTGCTGGATCGGCCTATTGGGGTTAAGAGTTGATCCATGACTTGTGACGGAACGGCGGCAACAGTTAGATCTGATGGGATCTGGTCCGGTGGAGTGTTCGAACGCACTCGGTATTCTGGCGTCTTTGGCGGTGGAGAAGGTTCAGGTGGAGGTTGCGATGGAACGCGTCTGACGGCCTTCGTGGAGATCGTGCTTGGCTGATGCGCCGAAGAAGTGGTGTGTTCAGGACCCTCAGGCGCTGGTGAATGGGACTTGGAGTGATGTCGAAATGAGGAGAAAATCCCATGATGGCCTCCTTGATCCTTTGGCGGTGTCGTGTCTCGCTCTTCAGAATCACCATGACCATGTTTGCGTCGGAAAATCCCGCCTACAAAATGTTTGAAAGAGTGAGACGAGTGGTGATCTGGATGATCGTGTGAATTGCTCTGGATAGGGTCTGGAATAGGTCGAGGTGCAGAGGGCACAGAAGGCGCGGAGAAGATTGTAGTCACTTCAGGTCTAATAGAGGATGAAGCTGATGATACGGCCTGGTTCTGGCCAGGGGTACTGGAAGCGGCCGATGTCGGGGCAGTGGCAGATGCCTTATCCAAACGTGGTTCAGCGAGCTTCGGAGCAGAGCTGATAGAGAAGGCGCGACCCCTCTGCGATCGAGTCGTACGTAGCGAAGAGCGAGAAGAGGATGGCACTGACGACGAGGCCATTGAGCGAGGCGAATCCAGCGTGGCATCTCGAGAGTCTTCCACTGGATCCACGTCCATATCTCCCATTTGAGACTGTCGAAGTTGCATTTGACTGCCCTGAGGGTCTCTGGATGACTGCGGGCGATCGTCCGCCATAGAAACATCCTCATTGCCAGCCCCGCTCGCGTCTGCCTCTGCGTTGCCACCTTGAGAAGATGACGGCAATGTTGGCTCGGGTTCGGCCGTCTTGTCTCTGGACTGGGTACCGGTCGCGACCATGTCCGCCGATAGCTCTTCGTAACCCGTGGATTTCATCTCCGCATCCAGGTCATCATCAGCTGCCTCCTTGTTCTGGGCCGGATCGAACGACATGAAAGGTGAAGAAGTCGGCTCGGAGGCTTGCTTATAGCCTCCGTGGGATCGGATGAGAGAGGTGTAGTATCGTTGAAGGAGCTCAGCATTGCACTGAATGGTCTGTGTGAGCGGGACCAATCTTTTTGTTCCGTCACATTGAGCTCACCGTCAATGTCCACTGGGTGAGTTTGAGGAATTCCCGCTCGAGAGCATTGAGCTCGTTCGTTTTGATACCTCCCACTTTCGCATAGTGGGCATTCGTACAGAAGACATCACACTGAGCTTTCGAGCCGACGCAAACTCCAGCAATCAGGAATCGATGGACGGTGAGTGAGGAGAGGGTGAAGGTGGGTAGGTTTTGGCATGTGGTGTCGATATAGGCAAGGAGTGACAGGAGGGGTATCGTCTAGAGGAAGCGTCAGCGCACCGATGAAAACTCAATTCAGGCGCCTCTCGCATGCAGAAGACAGCTTCCGGGCTTGGACGGGGTACGAAACAGCCGCCTTAGACTTGGCAAACGTGCTCGCCGTATCTGGCTCCTCTCTCAGGCAAGAATAGCATGAACCGCGGCATCGCCTGCCAGTTTCTTTCCCTCCGCCGCGTGTCTGCCTTAAGTCTCCGTTGTGACTCACCTCCATGTTCGTGTACCTCACGATACGCTTCAGGTATTCCTCCACGCTGATCCCCGGCGCCGCCCTTGAATGGAATCTTGTCAAGGCATCAGGTGTCAGAACGACTTGATCATTGTGCTGGATCAGCATATTGAGCATATGCGTGATCAGAACAATCAACGTCTCCTGCGGACAATCAATGAATGCCCATGGCAGTTCGGGTCGAGTATCGGTACTATCGGAACCGGGTATTGTTTTTGTCTTTGATGTGGATCCTAATGGCTGGCCTCTGGTAGAGGAAGGTCCAGCGCTGGCATTTTGACCTTTGAGGGACGTAGATACCGCCATGCTCTATAAAACACTGCTCCTTGTGATCTGAATGAACCTGGTGGACGATGGTGACCTCATCCCATGAGGATGTCCAGAGATGATTATCGAGAACAACAGAATCGATCAGTCGGACGCTGCTTCGAGCTCGTCCAGAGTTCCGCGCGAGTTCTGGTCCGCGATGGGCTGTGCTTGCGCTAAGACACCGGTATGCCACTGCGAGACTTTTGCCTTGATAACACAGTCGATGACAGAAGGACGCTTTAACGAGCAGCGGTTGGATGAAGAGGGAGAGAGAGAGAGAGAGAGAGAGAGAGAAGTGATGCAAAAATAGCCCTCAATCCTTCAAAATCAAAACGCATGTCGCCGCCGCGCCCTGGATTAGGAATTGGCTTATTAGGGTGCTTTTTGTGGGAATTCTGGGATAATACACCCATGGGGGAGGGGGGCACACGTGCGAAGTCTATTTCATCCAACGGATATGGTAGAGATATGCATGCGTGATGAGGAGCAGGTACGGTACGCAGACAGATGGCATCATCATCATCATCACGTCCTGACCAGGCTAGCCTCAAAACTCAAAGCCCGCCTCTTTGAACAACCTCAAGCTGGTCCCCGGCAGAGCCTTGCCCGCTAGATCATCCAGGTGCTACAGCTCATATATTAGCTCAAGGCATTGATTGCGACGGCATTCGCGGTATTTGGACTGACCATGGCTATCAGTGCCCTTCTCAGCACCATCCACAGGCCCATGGAGTCTGCACCTTCACTGCCTTCAGCTGCGGACCCATCTCCGTGAAGGGCTAAGGCCGCCAAAAAGTGCTCAGCGGCTTCTTTGTGGACGCCAATATTGAGACCTGGTTGTCGGAGTCAATCGTGACGCGTCCGATCAGGAAATCTGGACTCACACGCAACACCGAGATTGAATATCGCTCGAGTGAATGTGGGTCGCAATTCCAGTGCTCGACGGTATGCATCGACAGCTTCCTCTGAGTTGCCGCCATTGGCGAGTGTCGCTCCGAGTCGATTCCACAGAAGGTAATCCTGGATCAGTTTCCAGTCAGCTAAGATGCAGATCACACGTAGCAATTACGGTCTCACATCAGGACGTTCCTCCAGAGCTGCAACCCAGCAGTTTCTAGCCTCTCCATACTGCCCCATCATGTAGTAGAGTGTTCCGAGGCCGACTTGAACATTGGCCTCCACCTGGCCTTCCCTCGTGAATTGCTCTCGCGCGAGAGACAGGTACGCATCAAGGACTTGATGGTGAAGGAACCACGGAGATCCATCATCAGGTACAGCTGATCGCTTAGGAGCTGGTCCTGCTTGAGCGGGAAAGGAAGTGGAAAGGTATTGGTGTAACGTCGTCAATGCGGCCAAGTCTAGATTCTCATTGACATAGGATATGGCTAGGTTCTGACGAATTTGATGAGCTTCTCATTCTGAACTGGCTACCGTTGAAAGCTCACAGTATAAGTCTCGCCGATGCCTCGCACAGAATTGAGGTCTGCGCTTTCAATCGCCCGCCGTGCTTCTTCAAATGCGGATAGTGCCTTTTCCTCCTTCTCGTTCATGGCGTGAGTTCGGCCCAGCAATGACCACGCTTCGACCACAGATGCGTTCACCTCGGCATAGTCCTCGGCAGAAGCTCGATGTATGAAACTCTCTAGCAGAGTCGTTGCTTCTGACAAGGATCCTCCGACAGACAACAGTCGTTTTGCTTCATGCCAGGCCTCGGCGACATTTGAAAGTTGTGTCTCTTCGTTCGGAGCTGAATGCGAACATTAATCGAACTTGTCTCTGCTGGCGGCCCGCCTCTCACCAAAGTCGTACTCCCTATGCCTAGGTATTCCATCGTCCGCGCTCATGTCATCAACAAAGCCTGGCCCAAAGGGACCCGAACTGAACCGCTCGGCATCAAAGTCAGTCCCATCAAAGTCATTATGATGTAGACTGTGATTGAGCGTTTCGAAAAGATCGTCTTCGCCATCGACGAACTACGGTCATGAGAATGCGCTTCTTCTCTGCGCGGGGGCAACTCCTCTCTCACCTGTGAGTATTCCTTCTCCCACTCGGCCAATTTATTCAGCCTCTCAGCTTCTGGCCTCAGGCTCTGCCAGACAGCCTCGAAATCCCCTTTCTCTTCATCTTCCTTGTCCCGCACCATCTCTTGGACATCTTCTTCCGTCTGATTCTCATTCACGGCCTCGCTATGTCTGGCATCTTCTAGAGCCCTCTCGAAAGCATCTTCCATGGCTTTTTGATCTTCTATAGATCGCTGTTGGAATGCAGAGCCATATGATTGATCCAGTTGCGGCAATTGTCCGGCCAACGACAGGGGCATGGGTTGGTAGCCTATTTGAGGTCGATATGGCTGGAAAGAAGGCGCAGAGTAACCTTGGCGGGAGGAATGATAATGCACCTCTTGAGCACGTGCTTTGCCTTTACTGTCGTTCGAGAACGCCTGAGCCCAGTCTGATTGTCCGGACGGGCCTGTGCCCATACGAGCACGTTCAGATGCAAAGACAGGACCGGGTGCAGCTAGGCTTTGACCATTGCTACGGAGCTGTCGCGACGAGGACCACGAAGAGTCGAAATGCGCATTTTCGTGATGCGAGATGGAGCCCTGAGGAGTGTAGCTGGGTCCTGATAGGGCAGAAGACAGCGTGGAGAGGTTGAAAGCTTGGCGCTGAGGTACGGATGACTGGCCAGATTGTCCTGGAACTGGGCGTGATATTGCCGCACCGGGCTTCGATACAAAGCGATCCTGAGAGGTGCATTAGTACTCAGAGTATCTCGACGTCCACTACATGACCCTTTTGCGAGCTCTGATCGCCACGACTCACTCTGAACAGTGAGGTATCCACCGTCTCTTTCTGAGCGACTTGCTTCAGAGGATTCGAGCCGGAGCCTTTGTCACCGCCGATGATCAGAGACTGCATCGTGTCTGATAAATCAACCAGACTGATGAAGAGGCTGAGACACTCCAGACGACTGATCTGAATACTTCCAGTGCACCTTGCGCTGGTATCGAAAGAGAAGTTGGTATGAGAGGAAAGGATTGCCTGGCACGCGAGCCCATCAAAACATTTTGTCCGGCCAAAATCGTATTTAGCGAATAACCGGAAAACGAGCTATGCCATATAGCAGTACACTTGAAGAAGAAATGCATGTAGATGCTTGGAATGCTGTAGGGGATGTCAAGATGAAGATGATGCTCTATGTCCTGTTTGCCTGCTTGGAGACCTTCCTGCACACTCCTTATGACCTCTTTCTTGACTCAAGGCCATAATCCCTCAAGACGTCAGCCGCCACTACGGAAGGAGATTTGAAGACTGGATCTGACCCAGCCTGAGTCTTGGGGAACGCGATGACTTCCCGGATAGACTTGGCGCCACACAGTATAGCTACGAGACGGTCAAGTCCTGTTATGATAGTCAGAGCTCGTCACTGCCATTGACCTCACCAAGGGCCATCCCGCCGTGAGGAGGAGCTCCGAATCGCAGGGCCTGGAGTAGGTGCGAGAATCTCGCAATCTCATCTTGCTCCAGCTATAAGACATGTCAGCAGAGTCACACCAATCAGAGTGATACGTTCACCTACCTTGAGGACATCTCGCATGACGTACTCTTGCAAATTGGCATCGTGGATTCTCACTGAGCCGCCGCCAATCTCTTGACCGTCAAGCACGAGATCGTAGTGCTGACCTCGGACCTGCCGTCATCAGTGAGAAATATTCGTAAATCTGTGACTTGCCTTTTCCACATTACCTCCTTTCAAGTCCTCCAGATCCTCAAACATCGGCGCGGTGAATGGATGATGGGTACTAGCCCATCGGCCTTTAGAGAGGAACGCCTTGTCCTCATCTGCCCGTGTGAACAATGGGAACTGGGTGATCCAGAGGAAATTGGGCTGGTCAGAGAGTTTTAAAGCGCCTGGGTCGAGATCAGCTTTGGCTGCACCCAGAGATTAGACGCGAATCTTACCCTGACGGACGAGCTCGTCCAGCATCTGAACCCTCAGTCTGCCAAGTTGGGTCCATCCGCCCTGAGAAGGAATCAGGCTATGATGGTGGATGGTTGGGTGCACGCACCTCTGCAACCTTCTTTCGCTGAGCCAACCAGATGATATCTCCCGGCTGGACCCCACCGCCAGTCACGGCCCCATCACCCGTCATGGTGAGGCCCAGCTTCTGGGTAAATGGGGACTCGGTGTGCCACGACTTGACGTTATCCTCTCGGATGTGAATAGCTTGGACCTGGAGGATTCGATCAGCATCTCCGGGCTTGGTGCCCGTCAGACCTCACATGGTCATTTCGGAGGTCATCCATATTCAAATACTTCGCATGCTCTGATCGAGTGATCATCCATTCCACAGTGTACTGGCTTTGGTCCAGTAAGACCTTGTCGAGGTCCGCGTCCGAGAGATCGGGATAGTAGCCCAAAGGCAGGGTCTACGTCTGGTTAGTTGGGCCCAGACTCGGCATGACAGACTCTCTCCGTTACGCACAAACATTTCAAAACGTGTATCAGGCTTGTCGGATCCGTACTGCTTGCGTCAGCGCACCGGATAAGGTCCGCCGCGGTGACCTACCACATCCATGGCCACCTGATATGGCATACACCTAAATTCTCCCAGCTCGATACCTTTGATCTCCTTCCAGATCTTCCGGATGAGGCCCTCAACGACCTGCTTGACTTGCTGACCCCCCATGCTCCAAGTATCTAGCTCGTTCCCTAGGCGTTCACGAATAAGCAAGGTCCGGAACTCCGAGCACTCCCAGCTCTCACCTTGCTCCCCCGTGCCCTCTACGAAGCCCATCTCCAGATCGACCTGGGTGAATTCAGGTTGACGATCCTTTCTCCCGTCCTCGTCCCTGAAACACCTCGCGATTTGAAAATATCTCGACGTGGCTCCGGATGCGATCAAGAGCTGTTTGGGCTGCTGTGGTGATTGCTGAAGGGCGTAAAAGGTGGGCTGAAGCGAAGTATCATTGGGGATTTGAGAGGGTTTAAGGGTCCGCGTCGGGACTACAAACTCGCGCGCGCCTTCTGGCGAAGAGTTCAACAAGACCGGTGTCTCCACTTCATCGAATTCTACAAGAATGATCAGCGATCTATCCAAACATGGCATCGGGAGACCCTCACTCTGATCATGTAGGTGACACCTTATGATGTGGGCGACTTTGCTACGGAGTTTCAGGTTCGCAGCGAGCTCCGAACGCCTGAGGTCAAGATATCGATGCTCCGCTCTGATTTCCTCGCTCGCCTTTGAGACATAAGCTAGGTGTACCTATGCATACCCTCACCATCTCCTGTCTGCTAGCGTAGAATGGCAATGGATCCGCAGCATTCAGCAAGATACAGCCGGTGACCTCGACTTCGACTTCATCGGCTGTCTGTTGAACTTTAGCAGTTTGTCACCCCGTTGCAGTCGCCGCTGGACGTACACTGAGGGTCGCACTCGATGGCCCAGCCTTTGCCTTCTGCTTCCTTGCCCGGACTATCCCTTGAATCGATACCACAGATTCGAGAGGAAAGTCCATGAGCTTCTGAGAGATCTCAGAATCCTTGCAGACTAGCTGGACGGATGCTGAGGTGTCACGAAGCGTGAAGAAGTGGAGACTAGCTGAGGCTCGTCTGAAGCCCAGTTAGCAGCTTATTCATTGAAGCCCTCTTTCCGGGCGGCTGCGAAGGCCCACGTACCTCTGGGAAAAGATCCATCCGCCGAGAGACACTGACTGGCCTTCGAGCGTTGCAGACAGCTGCGCGATCTCATGTGTGAGCGGGGGACGATGGCCTGGACGAAGTCAATGGGAGAGGATCGGAGGAGTGCCGTGTACTACTGCTCACCATGATGAGGTTCAAGCCCATCCTCACGGGGTCTGTATATCGGCAGGTTACTGGACGCAGAGCTCGTTTCAGACGACAGCGAGGAAGTTACATTATATGGCCTATGCTGTTGATTCGGCAGGCCCACTCGGAAACGGAGCCGGGCCATGCGAGATCTCGATCGCACTGGTAAATCACGACATGCTCCTCTTATCACGCTGTGCATGGTGAGCGGGGATGATCAGACAATAACAATGCATAATTTGGGTAGCATTTCGGGTGAGGAAATTTCTGCGACTCTCGGACCGTGCGGCGGAACGGCGTCGGGGCTTGAGAGGACCCCCCTGTGATAGCAGCGAAAGGGTTCGGATGCGCAGGAGATGGTCTGATGGACACGCTGATTAATACCTGGAAGTGCTAGGGTACAATGTGGCCAGCATGCAGGCTCATCGGCCGTACGAAAGGCACTATGAATGCCTGGGGATCGCCTAAGGGCTTCTCGCGGCTTGACCCCGGGCTAGACAATCCAGCAATAAGATGCCCAACTTCAATCCGGCTGCGAGATGTCCACCCTTCACAATCCTCGACTTCTGAGCAGCCCTATCATGCCTCTGCCAAAGAACTCGAGCATGCTCCCAACATCCTTCAGACCAGATTCCGAGCTCTGTACAATTTCGCGGGCTCCGTCGTACCTTTTCAGATGGGTCCGCAAAGCCCTCTTGGCTGCGGAGAGGTGATGCGCTGCGTCTTCAATAGCCACAGGGTGAGAAGCTTGAGGTTGAAGAAGTTGAGATTCAGCCGCTAGGTACGCGAGCGCAATGCTCATTCTGGAAGTATACCATTCCGGCTGATAGCCGGTCAACGGCTGCATTGTACAGGGCCAGAACTTGGAGAGGATGACTCACACCAGCACCCGTGGGCTCATTCATCATCCCTCTTGTCTGGCCCGATCGCGTCTCATCGATACGCAGGGCATGATCAGCAATGTCCCAGGCGTAACCGAGAGGACCAAGAGGGTTGAAGCGGAGGAAGGGAATTCGTCCACCTGTCAGACTTTCCAGCTTGTCAAGAAGGGTTATGCTGTCCCATTCAGACGCAGCACCGACTCTGCTCGTGGCTGGAGGATCCAGGCGGGCATGACTGCTCGTCGACGCAGTGCCAGGCGGTTGATATAGTGGAGGAAAATCGAATCTGGGCAAATGATCTAGGACACTGCGTGGCACGGGGACGGAAGGTGTGCTCCCAGGTGCAGAAAGCAGTGCGTAAGCCTGCCCAAGAATATCAGCATGAGCCGGTCACAGCATCGCATGTTCAAGCAGTGACTCACCTCAACGAGATGCTCTCCTACCCCAGAGGAATATTCCAGTCTCCTTTCCAATCTTTCGGTCAGACTCGCTCGATCATGTCCGCTGTCCACCGATTTAAGCCCTTCCACCTGCCAAGATTCTACGAGAGCTTTAGCTGGAGACGTTGTGCCAGTCCCGAACAGGGTGTCGATAATGTTTTCTCGACCGATTGAGTCAAGTTGAGATGTGTGTGCGAAATCTCTGGATACAGCCCGTGACGGAGCGAGGGGCTGTTCTACAGATCGGATCTGTTGGAGCGCGAGAGACAGGGTATCTCGCGTGAACGAGTATTTGGGCAGTAAAGGCAGCGCATACTGCAGAATGGTAGTCTTGAGAGACATGCTGGCGCAAATATAACAAAGCTGTCGGAGGAGATGCGAGCAAGGAAACTCGGACGGCCAATTTTCGGACTTTCGGGTTACATCTCTAAGCCTTGCAAGCAGCACCAATCGCACCCTGATGCCTCAGCATCGCACTGCCGTTGGGGACCCCAGTGAGGTCAAGGAGAGGCAAAATACCCAGCAAAAGTACCAGAATATGCATACGCAAAAGAATGGTCTCCCGGTTTCTTTTAACGCACTCCATCTACACGCCTGTAACATTTTCCTCCGTCTCGGAGACTCTTAGGACGCTCCGCAGCTTATTGCTCCTGGGCCCACATTTTCTTGTCAGAGAACTCCTCTGACTTCTCCTGGTAGATGTCGTAGTGGGGGTCGTACACTGTGTCATATGTAAGCGTCATCCATTAAAGAGGCTCCATGGACTCACAGGTGGATTGGTCACAGACTCGGTTAGGAGGGTGGGATTCGGCGAGCTTCTCGATGGCCTGGAAGTCCTCTTCGGAGAGATCGACGGCTGACCAGCGTGTCAGTGCTGTCCACGTCACAGTCCCTTTTCCACTCACTCTTCAAGTTGCTCTCAATTCGGGAAGGAGTAACAGACTTGGGCAAGACACAGATTCCTCGCTTGAGCAACCAAGAAATGAGGACAGTGGCACCTTGGACGTTGTGCTTCTCGGCAATCTTGACAACGGTCTCGTTCTCCCGAAGCTTTTGTCCATCGGTTCCTCCCAAAGGCGAGTAGGCGCAGGGAAGGATGTCGTTCTTCTGGAGCCAAGAGACGAGCTCGGGTTGAGGGCATTGGATGGAAAGTTCGACTTGGTCTGGAGGTAGAGAGTTCAGAAACGGAATCTCAGAGAAAGAAAGATAGCTCGGCTCACTGGCAACGGGCTTGATCTTGGCGATCTTGAGGACCTGCTTGGTTCGGTTGATGTTCAAGTTGGAAACACCAATGGCTTTGGTGAGACCTTTCTCGACACACTAAAAACCAGGGTCATGAGCATTCTATCCAGCATCCTCCAGAGATCGAAACTCACGGCCTCGAGAGCTTGCCAAGTGGGGGTAACATCGTCACTGAGTGGAACGTTGAGCTTGACGGTTCCCTCGTCGTTCTTGACGAGGTGTTCCTTCAAGGGAAGCTCGCCCTCAGGAGCGTCGACCTGAAAGCAGATCTGGATGACGACGTCAATCGGCAATTCCTCGGGGGATTCTCAGTAGCTCACGTTCCAGTGCATGAGATACAAGTCGAGGTAGTCGACTCCGAGCTTCTTGAGGGTGTCCTTCAAGGCCATCTCGACGTACTTGGGCTCGTGGTGGTATTCAAAGAGCTTGGAAGTGATCCAGATCTCCTCTCGGGGGACACCAGAGGCCTTGATACCCTCACCGACCTCATTCTCGTTTCCGTATCCCCAGGCACAGCTGGGCGCGGGATGTCAGCAAAATTATGTCAAGTGGCTACGAGCGTCCTTTGACTCACTCGATGTGTCGGTATCCGCTCTGATGGTGAGTGTCAGCTCTGGAATCGGACAGTAGCGTGGCGATTCTACTCACCTTGAGGGCAGCCTCGACGGCGGCCTTGACCTCACCGGGCCTTGAAGGGTATGTGAGTAAGGGTCTGAGAGCCTCTCAAATGCTTCGCTTACTTGGATTGCCACTGCGTGGAGCGGAAAGGACATTGGGGTGAGAAAATGGTGCAGATGATGTCACGATTCACAGGAATGAGATACAAGAGACGGAATCGACGAGCAGAGAGCGCTTTTCAGCATTCGTGACTGAAATGAGAGCATAGTATCACTCACGGTTCCGAGACCGATGGAAGGGATCTTCTTTCCGTTGCTCAAAGTGAAGTGAGAAGGAACCATTTTGGATCTAGCAGCTGCTCTTGCGATGGACGCGAATATGTTGGGCCTGGTGAGAGAGTGAGTAGGAGTGTCAGAACCTTCAGGCGTGGTGATACACTCAGAGGGTGATGTTCCCACTGACTCACAGGTTTTGATGCTTGAGTTGAACACTCAGTAGAAAAGTGAGATGTAGAGAAGAGAAAGGGGAGGAAAGAAAGGGAAAGTGGAGGGGGCGGGTGGAAGAAGAAGAAGGGCGTGTGTCACCGATGTCGGCGAGATTTGGGACACTCAATCGAACCGCTTGACCCTCGTGGCACATTTACGTAATTCTCCTATTACACCGAAGAGAACCGCCGATGACATTCCGGGTGTGGCGTGACGTATTGTTTGGAAAAAAAGACAACAGCAGGATGCATTCTTGTAGGCATTTTTGACCAATGTCTACAGTCTCTAACTTCCTAACCCATCGTGTGGAATGTCCCAAGGAAACAACAAAGAGCCATAAGGAAAATATATGCTGACAATGCTGGAATGAAATAAAGAACTGGATGCGATGTCGAGGCCGTCGGGGTATTCTCGGTAGGAAAAGTCTCTCCACGATGTGGCACGCACAGTGGCAGAAGATGCTGGAAATCTAGGCGAGTGTGTCGAGAGTTTCCAGGTCTCGGTGGACGACGCCAGTAACTCCGGTCCAGAGGTTGGCATTGGCTTGAATGAGGGCCCAGATTCCAGCGTGTTCAAGCTCAGCTCGCTGTCGCGCCCCGAATCAGTCAGGTGGTAACAATGCTGACGACCTTGATATGTACTCACCAGCGAGGCGTAGACACTGGCATCGATGTTGGCGTAGGCGTTGAAGAAACCAGTCCACTGAGGACACGATCAGTTCTTGTCCGACACTCTCGCCAATGCCACTAACCTGGGTACCAATGGCCTTGCACTTGTCTTGAGGGCATCCCTGGTACTTGCAGAGACCTCCCAAGAGTGCTTGCCATCGAGTGACGTAGTCGACACCGAGGCAGGCGAAAAAGTCGGCTCCGGTCCAGCCTTGGTTCCAAGCATAGACGGTGGCAGTGAGGTAGGCACTGAGCTCAGTGCAGAGACCGTGGTCACCTGTCAGGGGGAGCAGATCAGATCAGATACCATCAATTGAGGCACGTCGTCACACACCATACTTGGCAAAGCACTTTCCGCCGACCCAAGTGTTCAAGTCGGTGCAGGTGGAAGTGAGAAGCTGCAGCGAGAGTCAACTCTGTACCGTAGTCATACGCCCGCACTCACGTTGAGGTTGACATCCAAGTCGAGGTTGAGTCCCAACAGACCAGTCAAAGGGAACCCACCGAGGTTCTTGCAAGTGTTATATTGACCACCAGTGTACGAGCTGACGAAGGCCGACGCAAAGACGTCAATGTCGGCGTGAGCATTGGCTTTAGCGGAGCCAGTAAGAACGCTGGTGATACTTGTGAGTCCAGAGAGGGCCCCGAGTCCATTACCGAGGGGAGCGGCCGCAGCGAGAGGGAGCAACAGGAGAGAAGCGAGCATTGTAAGTGAAGAGCTTGATTGAACGAGTGTGAGGTAGTTTGAGGAGTCTCTAGACAGAAAGATTGGGAAAGATATGAAAGTGAGAGAAAGAAGTAGTGAAGACTGATAGGGGATGAGGAGACCTCCTCAGTCGCTCTTATATACATCTCTGGAGGGGTCAGCAAGTCTCTCAAATTGTGAGATTGCAGTGGGATCTAAACAATATACGACAAACATTCGACCTCCTTGATCTCTTCGTTTCATCACATTGGTCTCCTGTACCGGTACTACCACCAATTAATCGTGACTGGTGCAAATACATGATCAGCTGTCAAACAAGGTCTAGGGAGTGTTATCTTCCAGTTGATGCCAAAGAAAATTCATCCGAAAAGTCGAGACTTGCGAAGCGAGGTCACAGCGCGAGCGATATTGCGAGACATGATGCAATGGCAAGGCATACGCGCCTCCCACTGTGTCACTGGCAGTCTTTGTATGCAGCACTTCACGAGATCCCGTATATGCGATGCGGGATGAAAACGTCAGTAGTCAGCTGATGATAGAATGAATGTACAGTAAAAGGTAACCAGGCGGCCCTAACTCGATATAGTGCAATCGCGCAGGCGATCGATCAAAGTACCATCAGACGCGCTTCCAGATGAATGCTTGGCATGCAAGATTCAGCTGACATCTAGTGATTGAGATGAGACTTCAGCTGCAGCAGAACGAGCAAAACATGATGTATGTCCATGGTTCATGTGACCCGGTACATGCGGGTGCCACAAATCCCAGACTGTCGCGTCTCGGGATGACTACTCACTCACGCGTCTGTTCGTATCCCTTTTTCCCATTCCTGTCGCTGTTTTGAGGTGAGCGAGACAGCCGTCAGGAATGAAACCGATGCAAGCGTATGCACCCAGCTGGAGTCCACATTGGAAATAATCGATCATCATTACTATACATTCAGACGATGGAAGAAAGAGTGGGTCGTGATGTACGTATCCGCGTCACCGCCGGGGATAGGCCGTAAATGAGATTTGAATCAATCAAGGGGGGTTTAAGGACAAGGGGAAAAGGGGGAGAATATACCAGTCAGTCTTGTCTCTGTATCTCGCTGTCGTGTTTCTGTGTCTTGTCGAATCGATCGATCTAGGGTCCCTTCCCATGGCATCTGCCTGAAGACCAAGGGACTCTGTCCAAAGTCTAACTCTCCTCTTGGAACGCTCTCTCGTCGCCGGAGACAAGCTCTCGGCGCGTCCATTATCCTCCTATCTCCGCCTAAATGCCAGCTGCCTGTCTTCTGACTCTGCTCCTAGAGTGTCGCTTCTTCAGATCACCAGAAGACATCGGCGAATAGACCTGTCTCTTCAGCGCACTGCTCTCGTCCTTCTTCAAGAGTCCCCCGAGAAGATCGCCAACGGGTAAAGCCTCGAGCAAATTCCCTTGCCGTGCATCCAAGTCGTCGCGTCTCAACAGTCCGCCAAGGAGATCTCCAACGGGAAGCGCTTCCAAGAGATTTCCCTGTCGTTCCTCGACAGCATTCTCCGTTCGACTCTGGAGTGCTTTGAGAGTAGCATCGGTGGCCGCAGATGCTCCAAACGAGCTCGATCCATCTCCAATGATCTCTTGCATGTCTCCGAGCTGGTAACCAGCCATTCCTCCTGCTGCGACGCCAGAGATAGATCCGAGCTCGTTGGTGATGTCATCACGTTCAACAGGGAGAGGAGCTTCGTTTCGCTTGAAACCAAGCGAGTTCACAGCGTCCTGACCTGCTTGAGATCCTCGCTGGAGTGTCGAATTGGGCAGAGAGATACTGTATGAAGCGCCTCCAGGTGCCGCCTCGGTCGTCAGGTTGAGATCCGGCGAAGTGACAGAGAATGTATCGTCGCCTGATCCATCATCATTATATGAAATGGTGAAGTTGTGGACTGTAAATGTTGTTCGCTTTTCTGATTCAGAAGTTGATGATGGGAACCTTTTCGATGTTTCCGCATCTCTTCGGTTGTAGATTGTGGATGGCATGAATCCAGGTCTGCCCCAGACTATGTTGGCGCCTTGTCCATCATTCCCGTTGGTGTGTACGTAATTTCCAACAACAGTGCTTCCTTCGCCGCCGACGGAGACGTCAACGTTGGTCTTGGCTCTTTTCTCGACGCCAAGATTCAAACCGGCATCGAGACCGAGTCTGACATTGGCGGCTGCGTTGGCTCCAAGACCGATGTGAGATCGAGTGCCGAGTTCAGCATCGAGATCGAGGTCGACATTGACATTGGCGTCTAGCCCTAGACCTGCTCCGACTCGCTTCTCAAGACCCAACATGTTGCTGATATGGGCGGGGCCGACTGCGTCACCGGTTCCGATTCCACCTGGGGTGATGTGGGCGATGCGGGATTCGCCAGCCTCACCAGCCTTGATTGCACCTTGGGACCCAGGCGCAAAGGAGACGAGCTCAAGCAAGTTTTCGTTCAAAAGATCTCGGCGTGCCATGCCGGTCGTGGCGCCGTCAACGAGGTCAAGAATGGCCACTTGAGAGAATTGGTCGGTAAAAGGACCAGCGTTGACCGAGGTGTATTGAGCGGCAAAGGTGTGGAACTGAGTAGGGATGTCAGATATCGCATCCTGTGGGTGAGAGGGTGCTACTCACGCCATTGCCAAGGTAAGAGCAGCCAAGGCCGTATCCAAATCCATTGGATCCGCAGAAGTCCTGAATCACAGTGTTCATGTTGTTGACTCGTTGCGCTGAAGGGAGATTCAGCGATGTCGAGTGGTTCCCCAGGATGCTCACCACCAAGAGCAGCAAAGACATCTGCTCCACTCATGCCTCTGTCATAGCCAAAGACAGCGGCAGTAGCATACGCACTGACACCCTTACATTGGGCTTCCATGGCTGCACCTATCAGCGCTGATCATATGCGGATCAAGCTCACAAGAGTAGGAGGCATTGCATACTTGGAACAGGTCGGCATACAAAGTTCGAGTTCGATCGTGGCATGTCTGGATGATCATTGTCAGCGTAACTGACACCGTATGATACTCACAGTCGGATCAACATTGCTTCCTACTGCAAAAGACGGTCCGAGTTGCTGGACTCCCCAGAGTTGATTCTTCGTCGCTATCTCCAACATGGCAGAGGCAAAGTTCTGCATGTTGGTATCACGAGGTTGGAACCGGTGTACGGGTGCGGCCCCGACGAGCCCAAATGGAGCCAAGAGAAGAACAGCGGCAGCAAGCATGATGGATGAGGATGAGGAGATTGAGAAGTGTGGCAGGTAGAGAGGACTGATATTAGGGTTTGTCTTAAAGAGCGACGAATAAGTTGGATCTGAAGGCGGAGAGAGCTCGACGGGTGACGAGGGTCTCCAGTCAAGAGGAGGAGATGTCGCTCGAGGTCGAGCAAAAGGGAAGGGGAGAGCGAGAAGGGGGGGAAAGAATGTGATAGACCTGCGAGTCACAAAGACGTTGGTCTTTTAGCAGAGATCAGCGATAGGCTTGAACGATTACCTTGTTGACACTTACTTGACAAGACCGAAAACTAAAGTTTGGGTTGAGTTCGAGCGGGGATCAACTATATGCTTCCTTTGCGTTGAGACGGAGCCGGCGTAAGACTGCTCAGCGTGTTGATTCTCTGTGATAATGACACAAGGATGAGGACGGTGTATTTCGTATCAAGAAGCTTTAGATGAAGGCGTAGAGCAGCAGGCTAGAGGGTATGACTTGCGGTACGGAATCGAGTAGTCGGGCGGACAAGTCGGTGAGACGCAGAGAGAGAGAGAGAGCGAGAGAGAGAGAGAGGCGTAGAAAGGATACACTACTCCGACTGGGGAGAGGACAGTCTTTCAGATAGACCACAAACACACCGATACCGGGGGTGCGGGACGGAAACGGGAAAGAACGTAGACACGAGAGAGGAGGACCGGACGGGGAAGGAGAAAAGCCTCCAGAGCTGAAAGACATCGTCATGTTTAAGTATTGTTCTTCTGCGGACACTTGTTTGGTTGCCGATGTCGGACGGGAGGTGTTTATGCTCTTGAGCGATAGTCTTGGTCTTGGACGATCTTCTATGGTATCTGTACGGCTTTGAACCCTCCGAGATGCTTTGTGCCTTTTCTTTTACAGGGATCCAAGGGGGTACTTTGACTTGACGAAAGGCTAAAGAGCGGGAAGAGAAAGGGTTCAATCAGTTCAAAGAAGGTCATCATACTCTGTGGACCCATCCAGGAATAGTGTACTAGCTCAAGCGCATGCTTCGCCCTGTAGATCAGTATCCTGAGTACCGTTGTCTCTCTCCCAGTCAACAAGAGCATGCCAGTAGACCCATAGACGAGCGGAAGCAAGTACGGTCGAATCGGTCCATTAGAGAGGTGCGGAAAGAATTATTAGTGGACGTACTGGGGCTAAAAGGTGCGGAAAGGAGTAGGGTCTCAGGAACGAGACTGCTGAGATGTAAACAGAGGTCTGGCAGAGGTGGAGGGCAGCGTGTAGTGACGGAGTCTCCGGGATCATGGCCATTGAGGGTCTTACGAATCAGCATTTTGTTTTGGCAAGCTTTGAGTTCTGGTGGGTCGTCATGGGTATCAGAATTCCTTGCTTGTCTATTTGTGGGTTGGGATAGGACTGACTTGGCAGGTTCTGATTGCACCTTGCGGCAAGCTGCGACCTGATATGCTGTTCATCGGTGGACACTGAGCGAATTTCACCTAAGACAAAGGGGAAGGATGCGTAAGATTTTGAACAGTGATGCGATCCTCGGTCTTTCTATCCGGCTTCGGACCAGGGAACCTATAGTCGTGTCTGACATGTCGTACGTCAGCTTCGACCCGCAAATACTGCCCCATCTTTCCTGGAAAGCGATCTTTGAGATCACAGTACGACGGACAGAGGAAGCCAGGACACCGACTTTTATTCAGCTCGTGGTATGGTGAAACAACAAAATGATCACCGACGACCTCGCTGAGGTTCTGATCCGAGACACTGTGCCTGAGGACACTTGTTTTGACTTGTTGCATGTTGTTCATTCTGGTGTCTCTCTGTCTGTCTCTCCGTTTTCCTACAATGCCTTGATCATGCTCTACACCATCTACGAAAGAACTGTGCTGTGTCTCTGTTACAGCTTTCGAATGAAAAGCCATTTTTTTTATCAATCCTCATCACTACTCTCATCTTCACTGCTCTCGCTTTCATCCCCACCGTCCCAGCCCGTCCCTCCACGACCAGCATCAAAGCTCTGAAGTTGAGCTTCCATCCGCCGGATCCGTTCTTCTTCCGCTTGCTCATTGACTGTCTTCCTAGCGCCGCCAGCCTTCTTGCCAGTAGAGCTTCGTTTCCCTTGTCCAGGTTTGGCACGGGCCGCTTTGCGACCGCCTCGGCAGACGAGATTGTACAGTCGATAGATTGTACGAGGGGGTAGAAGCTCAATGTCCAATTCTATTTCTTGCTCCTGAACGTTTGTGTCAGCTTTGCATCCCAGAGCACGGAGTCATCTCACAGATGACAGCTGCATGGTCTCCTTGATGATGTCGACCGCCTTTGTCAACACCGACTCATCCACCTGATTGATCTTCTCCGCCAACTCTTGCTTTTGGCTCATAGTGAGATTCTTCGCTTCCTCCTCGGAATCAGGCTCCTCTTCGTCCTTAAACACCATATCCCGGTTCTTCTTCGACTTTTTCGGGCCGCCGTGCCCATTTGCACCTGGTGAGCTCTTCGAGAAGGATTTCCGCCCGCCGGATGGCTTGGTCTTCTTTTTCGGTTTGGAAGCCTTTCGGGCGGCCTGTCGAGCCTTGATGTCGGTGATTTCGGCCTGTAGTTTGCCAATTTGGCTTTCGAGCTTCGCAAGGCGAGCAGCTGAAGTTTCATCAGTATGACCTCTACACCAAATCTCAAATGAATTCACTGTCTTCCGCATCCGAAGCGGTCTCTTCATCACCAGCAAGCGGGTCCTCGCTTTCATCTCTCATCTCTACTTTCGCAGGTAGCTGTTTCCATTTCTCATCCCAAATCTGCTTGAATCCCTGAGCTGCATCGTTGACTGGGTCACCAGGCGGGTTGAACGCAAGAGCATTCTTGAACATGAGACGCATGTCGGCATCGACCTGGTGTACTTCGTCATAGGTTCCATCGCTGAGGCGCTGCTTGATGTGATTGAGATCGATGGGTTGCTTGACAACCTGAGAGTATTGAGGGAAAGCTTCCACAATCTTTTCCACCTCGTACAGGAATGGAGAGACTATGTTGTAGTTCTTCGCGGCCTTCTCAATCTTGGCAAGTTCTCTTTCTGCCCAGCGAAGCTGCGAGTCGTTTCTTCGACGTGGCTTGGCATCGGCATATGGCAACTCTTTGGATGGCGGCGCGTGAATCTCCCGCTTTGGCCTGTCGGGTCCGACTGAAGAACGTCTGATAGTCGGGACTTGGGAAACGGATGGACGACGGGTGTGTGACGAGGGTCCAGCATCAGCAGGTTGAGGGGCAGGAGCAGGCGGGGGCGCTGGTGCGGGCGCCGCGGAAGGCTGGTGAGGGCAGATAAGCACGAATGCCCGACTACCCAGGGGATCCCACTTACCTCTGGCGGAATGTTATTCAGAGACTTTTCGAACGTCGTCTCGAGCTTTGAGGCAGCCTCCGACACAACATGCGTCGGTCCGTTGAATTTTCTCGTATTCTCCCAGATCTGCCTCACATCCTGAACGACGTCACTGACATTGCCATAACGGCCTTTGCTCTCGTCCCATTTGCTCATTTTGCTCTTGTCCTTCGGTGGTCCTCGAGGATCGCTGACAATGAGCTTGGTCTCGACTGTGCCGAGGTCCATGGGTCTGTCGATGATTTGAGCATAATGCGGAATTCCGAATCGGACCACGTCGACGGGTTCGAGGAAGTTGATTGCAGAAGCGTTCTTCTTCAGGTTGCGGATAGCGTTGAGGAGATGCTTGTGTTGATTTGGAGTGAGAGGAGTGGTCGGTCCGGCAGGCTTTGAAGGCGGAGGCGTGTAAGTGAGCCAAGGGGGAGGAGGAGCGTTGGGATCGACTGGAGGAAGAGCCGGTGCTGGGGCATCTGTAGGGGCAGCGGGAGTAGCGGTGGGTGCAAGTGGAGCTTCCTCCTTGACCCGCTTCTCCTCTCGCCCCTCGAGATCGTCTCCCGAGCGTTTGAGGGCTCCATTGGATGAGGAAGCCGAGATTGGTTCGGAGGAGGGAGGTGCAGTGACATCAACATCCATTGCGTCTGACGCAGTGGGGGGCACCCCTGAAGTCTGAGACTGCATTGGATTGGGGACTGGAGGAGTGTCCTCAGGCGGCGTGGGAGGAGCACCCGAGACGGCTGAAAGGGGTTGCACAGGAGCGACAGCATTTGGCTGAGAATCGGCGGGAGCTGAATGCTGAGATGGCCCAGCTTGAGACTCGGATGACATGGGAAACGATGTCTCTGGCGGTGGTGCAGCTGATCTCAATGGCCCTTCGGATGCCTCTGTGGTGATGGCCGTGGGGGCGGGAACCACAGGAGGGATGAGACCAGAATGAAGCACGGGAGCAGGCTCGTCTCTAGGTTCTGGCGTCGGTGGCATCGGTGCATCTCGAGGGAGGGATGAAGGTGATTGGATAGGAGGAGGAACAGGTGAAGGCGATGGAATCACGGCTGCTGAGCTGGATTGACCCGCTATTGGGAGGAGAGTGCTAGACGTGAGAACGGGCTCGGTAGCTGCTGACTCTAATGGCCTCTCCACAGAGATCGATGGTGGGACAACGGCCGGTCCAACGACGCTTGCTGAAGCGCTGGGAACGTCGAGCTCGACATTATTGCCTTTGTCATCAATCGCTGCGTTGGCTGGATTTGGACTGCGAGGAGGTTCAACTTCTGTTGAGGGCATCGGGGAGTTTCCAGTCTGAAGAGGGTTCAGTAATGGCTTGAGAGGAGCAGCTGCACCGTCCATGGGTTGAGATGGCTCGAGTGGAGGGGCAACGAGCAGCGGTTCGGCGGGATATGATGGGCCTGCCGGAGCTGAGTTCACTCCATCCATGTTGAGAGGGGGAGGCCCGTTATCCGGAGCAGCAGGAACGAGAGGGGGAGGGGCATACGAATCGACCGGCGGCTGGGCAGCGGCGAGCGGTGGAGGGGGAAGAGGCTCGTCAGACATGCTGTGTATGGGAGAGTGTGTAGAGAAGTCTAAAGACAAAACGTCAGTAGGGTGCAATCGCGTAACCGATTGGGTAAAGGAATGAGGATAGGCTGACGAGATAGACGGTGTTCGGATGGATGATTCACCTATCGACAGGGATGCCTTTGAACCTCTATACTTTGGATGAAGCTCTTCGCCAACCGTACGAGGAATGCAGAGCTGTCTGTTGATCGTCCTGCTCGCTGCTTTTGTTGATACTGGACACCACACCACTGAGCTTCAGCTTCCTTCAGCTTCTCTCTCCGATACGACGGACGACGGTGAGTGAGGGTGGAGGTTTGAAAACAATAATAATGAAATAATGAAAAAAAAAATAGAAAGGTTCAGGGGGGGAAAAAGTGGCGATCGTGGCATTTCAGCTGTAACCTCTTTATATATTCTGCAAACTGCAGACAACGTCAGGGAGGAGATGCCGTAATCAAATTGGCTGAAAACGCCGCAAATAGCTACACGATATCGAAAACGCCGAGTGTGGCACCCGGTGCCTGGTGCTTGCTATTCTGATACGTCCTCGTCCTCCTCCTCCTCGAGCTCAACCTCGATACCATCCTCCTCCTCCTCCTCCTGATCGTCGTCTGATGCTTGGTCATACATGTCTTCCTCTTCTTCTTCCTCCTCCTCGCCATCGTCATCATCATCCTCATCCTCATCAGGACCAATGTTCTGCTTGACTTCGCTCTCTCCCAATCCGGTCGCACCCTTTCGTCCCTCCGCAAGGAAGACACAAGTCAGACGCGTCCCTTTGGTGTCGTGACTCGCAACGGGATCATGGGTGGATATCTCCGCCGTCGCAGAACCTTTGTGCTGCTCGATCAGATTGTTTAGATTGTAGCTGCCAAGGTCGTATAGGTTGATCTTGCCATCGGATGAGACGGAAGTGAGGAGGACTGTCGGCCGCGGCACATCGTGCTGATTTGGGACCATGAAACGGAGTGAGGATATCGCTTTGATGCTGCGGATCGAAGTTTTGAGCATATGTATCGATGTGTAGGCAGATCTCAACTCACCGGTTCGAATGACCCGTCAGGGTGACAATGTGACGTAAATCGACATTGATACTGCCACTTCCACCCTCTTCTTGGTCTTGGTCTCCGTCTTCGTCCTCTTCCTCCGAATCATCCTCAACATCGCCCAGATCCACCCAGTACCCTTCAGTGGATCCCTTCTCATTCCCCACAAATAGCATCTCCATCTCTTCCTCATCGGGATCCTCGAAGTACGCTGCACGGGGCAGTGAGGCGAAGAGAAGTGTATTGAATCGGCTCTTTGTCTCGAGAGTATGCAGTAGTTTCATTGTAAGGGAGTACAGCTCGATCTTCCGAGGGTACAAGACAGCAAAGTGTGTCCCACGCGGAGAGAATCTGACGAGCTCAGCCTCTGCCAGACGGACCAATTAGTGCCGTCGAGCCGCCCACGAAATCACTCACCCTCGCCTAGTGGCAAGCTCGAAGCGCCTCGTCCACGCATCAGATCCCACATTTTTAAGGTCTTGTCCTTTCCGACGCTCAAAGCGACTCGACCGGTAGGATGCACGTCGACGTGATTGACTCTACCGCTGTGACCTTTCAAAGATTTGAGCAAGGCCCAATCCGAAGTCCGAAAGAGAGACAAGGTCGAGTCAGTCGAAGTCGTCAAGAGATGCGCGGATGTAGGAAAGTGTAGGGATGTGATGGAGCCTGGAATGACCAAGTTTTAAGCCCCGCGGTGTCTGTAGAATCACTCACCCTGATGTTGCGACAGACTCCCAACCTCTTTTCTCCGCCTCAAATCCCAAACCTTGACAAACTCATCTTCACTGCCCGTCGCGAGCCATTTTCCCCCTGGACTAGCGGCAACCGCTTTGACGCAGGCCAAATGCGCCGGAAATATGAAGATGGGCTTGAGCTCGGCCTCACGTGTCGAGCTTGAATAGCTGCCTTCGATCCCATACAAGAGCTTTTCGTAGGAGCCAGCGACGATGATGAACGTGCTAGGTCCGGCGGCCTGTGAGCCATTCTGTGGAGTTTGCAGCTCGATCTCTGGTGCTGCCGCCTTCTCTTTCCCTTTTCCGTTGCTTTTGGCAACATGCTTGTCTCCCTGCGTCGCTTCAGACTTTACTGCTATGCTTGTCTTGTGTGATTTCGATCCTGCTGAATCGAATGACACCTTGACTTGCGGCTTGCCGTATGGGAGGACACGGCCCTTGGACTGGCGAGGGTGCTTCGATTTTGCCATGCTGTGAGCTGGTCAGGTTTGGGCTATCGTGTTCCGCAGCAACGTCTTGAGACTATGGCAAGTAAGTGCTGATCTGACATTTTGTAGCTTCTGTCGAAGACTCGTTGAAATTTTGCAACCTTGAACAGCGGAATCAAATTTTATGTCGTAATGTGTCGCGACCCGACGGAGGGTATGGCACACGCTCAGCATCGTTAACTCATATAGACAGCTCCGACAGATGTCTTCAGCGGCTGCTCCTGCTACGATCATGTCTTGTGATAGCTAGTATCAGCCTCTTTCTCGTTAACAGATCTCGACTGTCACTATCTTCACCATCCCAACATGTCCTCCTCCTCTGCCTCGGCAGCAGTAGCCGAGGTCCTTCGACAGCCAGACGACCTGGTCAAGATAGCAGCGTTTCGGAAAAAGCTCTTGAAAGAGAAGGCTGCGCTTGATGCAAAGCTATCTGCTGGAGTGAAAGCTCAGCTCGAAGCGACTCGTGATGCTTTGCTCAAGCTTCAAGCTAGCCGAGCGGCCGTCAGCTTGATCAGGGAGGAGATGCTGGCAGTGGAAAAGCTCAAGGGGGATGAGGAGTCTAACGAGGCCTTTGACAAGATAACGAGGGTAAGTGTAGACGAGACTGCACAAATGAGAGTTGGCCAATATGGGTCTTACGGCGTGTCTGAACGCCAAAATCCTATTCGAGAGCCTAAGTTGACGCCTTCTTTCCTAGGTCTCCACTGTTCATCGCAACTTTCAGCAGACGGCCAAGATGGTGAACAACCTACGATCCATGGCAGAGAAAGTCCAGTACATTGCGACCCTACTAGCCGACGATCAGTCTCAACCCGGTGGTCCTGTGGGGCCATCACCCAATCTCCTACCTATTCATTTCCAACTCCAACAACTGGAAGCGTTTCGGAACGAGACCATGCATCAAGCGCGTAAAGGTGACGCGGGGGAGATGAAGACTCTGAGTGGAATGTTTGAGAATCTTGACATGGTCGGTCAAGAATTTGAAAAGTGGTTATGGGAGATCAGCGGGAGGGTCGTGGATCTCGCTAGGAAGGGCAATGGAGGGGTCGTTGTGAGATTGTTGAAGATTGTCGAGTTTGAGGGCAAGGAGGATGAAAAGGTTGGTCGGAATGACGCAGAGGAGAAGTACCGCTGACTTAGACGACCTCTTTTGTTACGTCTACCTCGCTGTCTTGACTGCCACCTCTGCCGTGACTCCCATCCTACCCCCTTCAGGCCGTGGCAATGCGTCTCGTCCGCAAAGTAGCGACGGCCGATGCTGCGTCCAAATTCAAGTCCATGCAAGCCAACGCCCGAGTGATCAAGAACTATCGACACAAGCTCCTTGACGCCATGACCGCATCGATACGCCAGACATTCGATCGACATTTTGAAGCGAACGAGGAGGACATGCTTGGCTTCATTGAAGGACTTGGATTCATCTACAAGGATGTCATTCGTATACACGATGATGTGGTACCTCTCTTCCCGGAAGACTACGAGATCGAGAAGTATCTGGTCAAAGCTTATCACAAAGCATTGAACGACACGCTAGTCAAGGTCGTCGCTTCAGCACCAGAGGCCAAGGTCTTGTTGGAACTTCACGCATGGATCAAAGAGTACAGAGGAAGTATGAAAGAGCTCGACGTCCCGCAGGAATGGCTTCAACCACCCTTGCTCGACGGCAAGAGCCAAGATCTTATCGAAGATTATGTCAAGCTGATCGTGACTAAATTGGACGAATGGACCGTGAATCTCATGGCTCAAGAGACTGGAAAATTCCAGTGGAGGACGCAGGAACCGGAGCAAGGGGACGATGGGCAATTTGGAATGGAGGGTGTTGTCGACTTTTTCGCCTTGGTCAATCAACAATGCGATCTCGCTCTCGACTCGAACCAAGGAGCTGTCCTGGCTCGAGTCGTCACTGAATGTGCGAATGTCATGCGGAAGTGTCAAGCCGAGTGGTTGAAAATTGTAGCGGATGAAGCTCGATTCCAAGTGGAGAAGAAGCCAGAGGAAGTGCCTGGTGGATTGGTCGAATACGTGGTCGCTCTTGCCAATGATCAGCTCAAATCGGCCGATTACGTCGAAGCCATGATCAATCGCTTGGAACCATTAGTGTCGGCGAAATACAAGCAAGTCATCAGTGAACAATTGAACGGAGCCATCGATGGATACCTCGATGTGGCAAAGAAATGTACGTCCGCGTTGGTTGATTTTGTTTTCAACGATCTTCGACCCGCTACGAGCGCTTTGATCACGCCGAAATGGTATAGCGAAGGATTGATTCAACAGATTATCGAGACAATGCGAGATTATATGGGAGACTATCAAGCGCATCTAAACCCTTCGATATTCGACATTCTCGTAGAAGATCTTCTCGACGCATTCCTCATCGCATACCTGTCGGCTTTGAGGCGATCATCCAACAATGCCATCAAGATGCCATCAGGCGTGCAAAAGATCAAGTCGGATATATCCGCCGCGTTTGATTTCTTCTCGACGTTCAAACAACCTCAAGATCTCGAAAATAACTTTGAGGTGGTTGATCTCACCATCAGCATGCTCGAGGCCTCATCCCAGATGGTGTTTATGGATTACTGGAATTTCGCCAAGAAGCATGGCCCACAATTACCATTCGTCGAGAGTCTCATGAGGGCCAGGGAGGATTTCGACAGAAATACAGTCAGCGACGTCATGGAGACGTTGAGGAGAAAGGTCAGAGAGGAAGATATCAGGGATCCTGAGGAGCCTACCATCATGGTGAGTCCCCCCCCCCATTGACGTGATAGGTTAGCGTAGACTCACACGCGTCTACTCAGATCAAGGTCACTGCCAAAGGCACCAGTCTTCTGTCGTCCCTTCCGACTATCCCGAACCTATCAGGTCTGAGAGAAGTGGCTGGAACATATGCAGACAGGATACGAGACCTGAGAGATGGTCTCCAGTAGTGACCGCGAGCTCGCGCAAAGCGGACTGCAGACTGGGACGACCAATACTCTTCTTCATCATACTTTACAGTAACACTGCTAGGCGGCATGTTGTAGCATCATGACATTGACTTTCAAATGCCAAAGAAATGATAATAAGGCAGTCACGCTCATACGTACATCTCTAGTCGACCTTGGTCTTCTCTGAGCCTGGCTGCGTGGCTCGATTCGGCAATTGAGCAGCAAGGGTGTCTATACGGTGGAATTGATGATCGAATCGCGCAGGGTAGAGGAAAGGTCGCAAGTCGAACCGATTATCGTCTGGACTATAGGACTCCATATGAACAGCCGGAGTGATGGTGGTCCTATGATGCTGTCAGCGAATGGTAGAGTGTTCTGTCGAATCCGACTGACATTTTGTGTCTGTTAATGGCGTGTGTGAAGAAAAAGTGCTTGACCTTTTCGGCGATCTGAAAGTCAAAAGGACCGTCTCAGCACTGTGCTCGTCTCTTCCGTGAAAGCAAACTGTACCTGGGTGGGCGACAAGAATGTTCCCCACTCCTGGACCAGCTTTCCAAACATGCTATACGGTCCACACTTTTCGACCTTTCGTAATCGACCAAAAACGGACAATTCGTCGTACGTCATGCCCATCTCCACTTCGTCAGATTGGACCGCGTTGTCAGCACCGATCGGGATGAGTTCAGCCGAGGGAATGGCATCGAGAAAGCTGAGATGACAACAGCCTTTCAGTCCAGCTTTAGGTAGATGACTCGGATCAAAGCTTACCTCTGCAGTATGGGCAAATCGAAAGCTTTCTCGGCGTACGAGATGAAACGCTTCAAATCGGTCTTACTGATCCCGCCAATGGGATTGACATCGGCACTCGAGCAGCTATTGGCCAGAGTCAGGAGTGAACCGAAGCGCTTTAGGCCTCTTCAACTCACTCGTACTTGGTCAGGTATCCTCTCAGACTCTCATCCACATTCGCACTACCCAACACCAGCAATCCCCCAGACTTGCCCCTAGCCCAGGGAAGGAGCTGGGCAAACATGTATCCGACAACCATGCGTAGTCGGGCCTATAGTCTGTCAGCGTATCATTGGCGAGAAGCACTCCACACGCACCTGGATATTTTGCAACGCAAGATTCTCAGCATTCGATCCGCCATGTACTTTGAATCTCGGCGTCTTGCCCATGACGATACTGAAGATGCCCTTGACGGCAGTGACGGCTGTATCCATGTTCAGATCAACATGATACCTGTAATCGCGCGTCAGACGATCTGCTCGAGAGTCCGCTATACACCTACGCTCCAATAGCCTCTGCGAGGTCCTTTGCGCGTTTCCTGGTATCTGGGCTAGAGTTCTCGGTACCCATATAACAAGTATGGAATATCCTACCACAGAACTCTTTCGGATCTGAAGGGATGTATGTCGAATTGGGCTCTCCGACGATCCTCCTGACGTCTTCTAGTACTTGAGAGTCTGCCACGGGGCGTCAGCCCAATGCTCGAGCAGGAGCTCGACTTACCTCCAGCAAGCGCAGCTTCAGAGACTAGACGACACATGCTGTACACGATTGTGGCCGTTGCACAGCTATCTATCCCTCCTGATAAAGGGATAAAGTACCCCTGGGTTCGTGACCGTCGAAGATAGTCCCACAGATAACACGCTGGGCCGAGTCTGCCGCAAGCCAGATGAGACTGAGGTAGACGTGAGGACTTGCTCAACTCACGCAATCTCCTCTTCAGGCGTGTGATACTTGAACTCTCCCGCTCTCGTCTCCTCTTCGCCTATCCTCAGAGCAGCTCCTCCATCCAATCTCGTATCGAGCCAGACTCGCTCATAGGGATCTGATTGAGCAGATTGCATCCTCCTACTACTGGTCGTCCGATGAGCTCGGACAGCTTCGAGATCGATAGTGGCAGAGATAACTTCCACGTCTGAAAGGGAGAATTGGGAACCTTGCGCGAGTATCTGGCCGTTCATGGCGATCATGGCTGCTCCGTCGTAATACAGTCGATCGCCATCGCACCCTTGCTGATTTGCATACAGGTAGATCCCACCGAGCTAGTGGGAAGTGTCAGGGGTTGTACCGGGGAATTGCCTCAGACAGACCTTTGAAGTCGCTTCCTTGATCAGGTCGACACGCTTGTTCAGTTTCCGCAGCTCATGATGACTTGCTGACGAGTTCGTGAAAATCTCCACACCATCCAGACCCATGTCAATGTGCGGCCTATTTAGTGCAGCGACAGTACATGCCCATCAGCGGATTATCCGCAGGGCACCGGAGGTGACCTACGAGGCCGGTGTAAATAGCTCCTCGCACAATTCGACGCCGATGACCGTATCTTCGGTAGCCACCACAGCATCTCCAAAGGGTACAGTCGTCTGATGAAAGGCATCAACACCGAGGATCCCGGGCGGCTCACCTGGCCCGTGATGGCTCTGACCATCGCTGGCAGAGGATGCTGTTCGACTTGTCGATGCTTTGACCAAGGCGTGAAGAATCTCAGCTCCCGCTGAGCTCGACGTCAGTGGAGTGTCATGAGTGGGAACAGTCTTTGTGCCGACTCACATAGTTGCCATCGTTGGCCATCCACATTTTAGGTCTGATCATCACGATCTTGCCATTGTGGATGATGACTCGGCAATTGTAAGTCGAGCTTTTGTGGACGATTGGCCTGAAGAAAGTCGCTCGTGTGAACTCGAGATGATTCGTCGGATCCTACATAGTCTTATTCACTCACATTCCGACATCGCACACGATGTCCTTGGTAGTCTCACTTTGTAGCAGCTCACACAGCACCTCCCATGAATGTAAGACGGTATCACCTGCGAGTTATCAGTACGGCATCCTATTCCCAAGCTGACAGCCTCACCCTCAAGGAAATGGTCAAGACATCCGTAACCTGGTATCTCTAATTCTGGTCCGACTCGAAGGCTCGCACCTCTCGCCTTGGCGATAGCTATGGACTTCAAGATCCGTTCGCAGTTCCCCTAAATTGGTCGCATGAGCTTCAAGTCTCCATAGACTGGATCGCAGCGCACGCTAAAATCAAGTGCCCATTGATGCAGCTGACTGTTCCAGCCTAGTCAGATACATAGGGAGTCAGGATAGCTGCCAGCTTACCATCTAGGCATTCAGGGTCAGCGTCATGCCTGCGTTCGAGAAGCTTCTGCGAAGATACTCACGTAGCTACCGTGACCAGATGCATCTCTGCCAATTGGACTCTGAGCCTCTGAGGGTCACCAAGGCAGGATGTCGCTGGAGAAACGAAGTCCGGATTCAAAGGTGGAGGTCGCTGTTACGTGTTTTGGCGGTCGAAAGCCAAGATTAATTTCTGCTCTCATCATACAACTGCTTTCATCCGGAGCAGCACGTTACACCAGACGTTCGCCAAAAGATGGCGGAGCAGCAGGTGAACTTGGCGGACCTGAACCTCGAGCAATTGCAAGAGGTCAAGAAGCAATTAGATCAGGTATGTGCAGAGTCGAGAATTTGGACCTTTTGGTGCTTCAGTGCTGATGCCGTTGTGTAGGAGATAGAACATCTGACGAGCTCGTATTCCCAGCTCAAGTCTGCTCAGGCGAAGTTTAAGTCTTGTGCGAGTGACGTCGAGGAGTTGAAACCGAGTTCGAAGGGTGGGTCCGGGAGCCGTCTCAAATAGACCAAGGTCGTCCATCTGACTCGCAGCTCAGGAAAGCAGATCCTAGTCCCCCTAACTTCGTCCCTGTATGTACCTGGAAGACTAGCAGATGTGGAGAACGTCATCGTGGATGTGGGCACGGGATACTACGTGAAGAAGGTGAATTCCACTCGACATGATGAAGCGTCTCACTGATTCTCTCTCTTTCCCTTCTGCAGAACAAGAAAGAGGCTCTTGCGCACTACAACGGTAAAACAACGTTCGTTCAGGGCAATCTTGAGACGCTGCAGAAGACCATCGAGCGAAAACAGGAGAATGCTCAAATTGTGGTTCAGGTCCTACAGATGAAGGTGCAGGAAGGGGGAGCTCGGCCCGCTCAATGATCGGTCAACATATCGACTTTGTGTATATCATGCATTATAGATACCCGCCAGGTGGACGGAGCGACTACATGGGTACTGCGACCTCTAATCGCCTGCGGAGTCGCCAGCATATCTCAAAGAACTGAGGTTCGTTCTCTGGCGTGACGATCCCGTGTCGGATGAGAAATTCAATGAGGATGAGCGCACAATTCGGTTTGAATGATTTGGCATGTAATGCCGTCATGACCTCTGGAATGGTCATAAGCTTGAGAAGATCAGCAACACTACTCGGACGAATCCTCGTGCCGATTCTCACCTTGAACAAATCGACCTCGTCATCTCCAGGTTTCATTCCTAAGAACCCGTCCTGACCCACCGGCGGGACTTTTAGGTCATAAAGATACTCTAGCTCTGGCTGGAGCCAACCACTATCCGCGACGTAAAAGTATGTCGATACCCCAACGCTTTTTAAGCGAGACTTGACAAAGTCTTCCGAAAGAGATGCTTCCTCTTCGCACTCTTTTATCATCGACTCCAGGGGTGTCAAGTGGGAGGGGATACCGCCTGCGACGGTCTACACGGTATCAGCTGAGAGTGTGCGGCCATAGCGAGTGATCTAATAACGCCGAGACCCACCTGGTCCAACAGGCCGGGAAATCTGATTCACGGGTCAACAAGGTTCTCACTCGTGGTGACATACGTTGCTTTCGTCTTTGCTCTCCTCGGAACCCATATCCTCATGCTCTCGCCATCGCTCTCGTACGCTGAAGGGTCAGATCAAGCAGATGCAAAGGATGTCGAAGCTCACCTGTCATGTGTACCCCGAACGTCGCCATTCCAAATACCGCACAGGCTGATCTCTCAAGGGTGAAAGCTTTGTTGGCGAATGACCCAGATAACGGCACATCATGCATCGCGAAGAAATGCGACTGGGGAGAAGCATACACGGCGTACTGCTCGTTGCGCCAGCCTACGAGTCTGAGTTGGACGATGCCACAATGACATGATACTCACCTCCCAGGGTCGACTTGAACTTGCCCTCATCTCGCCAGCGAGAAACGATGTTATTCATCACTGAGCTCAACCGCTCACTCCCACCTTGCAGAACCCAGTCCGCAAAGAAGACGCACTGAGGTGAGAGCTCATACGTTGGCTGCTCGTCATCGTCGTCATCATCATTATTGCTCGGGGTCTTAAGCGAGCGAAGGGTTGAGGGCACAAGTCGAGTCGAATGGTAGAATTGCCAAGGTGATTGAGAGGTACTGGGCTCGTCTGCGACTGTCTCCGTGCCCTCGTGATTTTCATCCTGAGACGAATGCTCCTCCTGCATGGCCTGAACCACTTGGTCCCTCAACAAGCCTACTGGCGGGAGATTGTTCAGATAATCTGCGAACGAGAGATGGAGTGGTATGTGATTTCGAGCCGAAGGCGAGGTCTTATAACTTGGATCATGGCTTGATGTGCTGATAGATGGTAGCGATGGTGGATAAGGATAATTGTCCGCTCGCTCAACGATGTGCAAGAGTGACCGTGGCGGCATCTTGAGGGCTATAGTTCAATGTCTGTCTATGCTACTTACTGCCTGAAACGTGGTTGTTGCAAGATCGGTAATCGGGGCAAACAGGGGGCCGATTACCGAAGAGCGGAAGCAATTGGGTCTGTGTGACGTGGCTTTTGAGCAGTGCAGATTCTTGATGATATCAAGTCGCGACTGATATTCATTGCAATATCAACATGTAAACAAGTTGATTGATTTTCCGTCGCACTTGGAAGTATCCAACTGATTCATCTTGGCCGTGAGGGGGTCAAGAGTACAATCGAAGAGATCCTCTGCGGCACATCTGCACCCATTCGCCATGGCCGAGAGCAGCCAACAAGAGCCAGCCGCTGCCGCCCCTGCTCAAGGTACTCTGGGCACTCTGTTCCTTGTGGGCAGAAAGACAGGGTTGAACGTGCAAGGATTCCCCATCGACTCGCAGAGGGTTACTATTGGACGGTGAGCTACGAAAAAATTGTCCATACGTAGCTGACACCACATCTCAGTGACTATGACTGCGATGTGAGCCGATTGACATGGATCGGCTTTGATGCAGCTGCTGATTTCTTCCTCAGATTCGTCTGTACTTTTCTGATGTCTCAAAATTCCATGCGGAGATCACTTTCGATCTGCTCACGGGTCAGGTGAGCCGATTCAATGGTTAGCCGCTCATAATGAAGGCCTCGCTGCACGTCCACGGCGGCAATGGGGTCCATTTCGCCCACGATGGCGATGACCTCACAGTGCTCAAACCTCCATCCGTGGTGCCTCTGTCTAATGGCGACACGTTGATCATTCGAAAGAAGATGTTCAAGTTTGAGTACCCTTCCATCGACTCGGTAGAATCAGTCGCTCCTGACTCGCCCCTCAAGACCGCCATCCCCTTCCCTTCTCCCGCCAAACCCGTTCGAAGACGAGCTTCTCATCGTTTATCCCTCGTTCCCGCCGGGCGAGAATTTGTACCTCATTCCCCGGCCAAGGCGACTCGTCGTAACACACTCGGAGCCGCGGTCAACAAGGGAGGATCTCAACCTTTCCCAACGATGGAAAGTACGACACCGGTCGCAGAAGAGGATGAACCGGAGGAAGTGGTGGATGTCGTAGATGGGGATGAGGGAGACAAAGTCTACCTCGAAGCAGCCCCAGCTGCCATCACTCAGCCTGCAGAGGTACGTTATGAGATCAGATTCGTAGCTCATCGGCAGAATGTCCCTGGCAACCCGTTCATGACAATGCAGACCGAAGCCAAATCAATCCTGCAAGCTCCCTCTATGCCAAAAGCTCGCAAATCCATCTCCTTTGGTGTCTCTCAGGCGCCCAAGCCAGATCCCCAATTAACGCCTGTCCGACCGCCTGGTCCCACTCGATCAGTATCTGCGCCTTCACTTGCTATACCCGAGGTGACCCCTCAGCTTGTACGACTCACCCCTAAGGGATCGCCTTCGTTGAGAAAGTCGCTCCTCGTGCGCTCCGCTCGAAAAGCATGGGAGCAGACTCGATCTCCAGGCGTTCAAGGCGCAGTGGACAAGGGTTTGGTGGCGACTAGACGGAAGAGCAGTGGCCTGAGCCCCAAGAAGGTCTCGCCTACCAAAGAGGCCAAGGCTGTGGTGGCCAGAGAGCCCGTCTCTCTCGAGCAAGAGATGAAAACGCAGGAAGCCCCACGAGTCCCGTTGCAGGAGATCCAGTGGATTGCCGAGGATGGAGTCTCAAACATTTCAATCTCAGACTCTGATTCGGACAAGGACAGCCTCGAAGCGGACGTCTCGCTGGATATTGTGAGTGGAACAGTCTTCGCATGACGCTGAGACCTCTGCAGCCTGGTCAGTCAGTCTTCTCATTGAATCCCAAAGCTCTGTCCGACGAGGCTTTGGAAGGCAGCGAAGCTGCTGAAGAGGATCAGCCCGTACTCTCTCAAAATGTACAGATGGATGGAGTGGAAGAGGATGAAAGTGAAGATGACAATGATGACGATGATGATGAGAACGACGACGAGGCTGAAGAGGAAGACGACGTTGACGCCGAGGAGGAAGTCGAAGAGCAAGTGGAGCAAATCAACGAATCCTTCGAGGAAGAAGAGGAGCCCGTTGAGAACTCTTACCGTATCATCGAGACCGAGCTCAGTCCAAATGATCACTGCGACCAAGATGTTGATGACAGCGTGCCGGATTCCAACTTCGCTTTGCCCGGAACTCCAGCAGCTGTGAGTAGGATGAGACTTATTCCACTTCAACTAACGTGGCGGCAGCGCCAAGCAATGAGCCAGTTCTATACCCCTCAGCCCCGACGAGGGCTAGGTACCCCTCACAGGCCACTAGCGACGATCGGTGGACCAGCGACACGTCGCACGGTGAGCGGGTCCGGAAACCCCAGAGCGGTCCCTGGCTCTTTGGGCAGACCGCAGAGGATGGTATCTGGTGGTCAAGCGCCGCAACTCATGTCGACGCCAGTGCAGAGTGTCGCGGTGAAACCGCTTGCTTCTGAGGTGAGGCGCTCACATGGCCGACATTCTCCGCTGACGATGAAACCACACAGCGCCGCTACCGACAATCCATGGCGACTCCACGTCCTCTACCTCCTCCTCCACCCAGCTTCAAAGCTCCCGTCAGAGAACCGATTTCTCTCACCAAGCTCGCCGCACATACTCATCCTGCCCTCGAAGTTTCGAAAGAGTATATCGAGGATGGCACTGCACCCCGTACTCCCATTGGGGACCTCCGTCGTCGACTCGGACTCTTGCGCAAACAAGGCATGGTATCAGCCTCTCAGCTTGAACGTCGGGCGTTGGCATCACCTCAACCCATGTCTACTCCTGCTCCTCGGACAACGTTGACAAGTACCTTGAGTTTGACGACTATCAAGCCTCGTCCAGGCTCTTCTGCCATTCAGTTCGGCCTACCTCGTACGCCCGCGGTGGCTCCTCAGCCCGGATCAACTGCTTCTTCGAGAGCTTCAGCGGCTTCACGAGCGGGACTAGCTCAACGATCCGCCAGGCCAGTGTCAAAGAAGAAGGAAGATGCGAGTCCCGTAGTGGCTGTTGGGGAGTTCGGCAATGACTCGGGCGATGTGGAAGATGTGAATGAAGCACCTCGAAGTCGCTCATCCTCCCCTTCGATCCCTCCCAGCCTGTCGTTCACTGGACTTCGAGAGATGCTGAAACCACTGTCATCGCCCAAAACACCTTCCTTCATCGGAATGAGAGATCTTTTTGGACCAGTTGTCGCTACGAATCAAGCCACGCCCACGTACACAGGGATGAAGCAAATGATGGAGCTCCCAAAGGTGGCTGCGACACCGAGCTTCACTGGTGTGAGGAAAATGCTTACGACTCCATTGGAGCCTCCTACACCGAAGTATGAGGGACTTGGAGCCATGCTCGAAATCGATGAAGATGGATATGATGCGTTCGAAGGCGAGGAAAGTGCGAATGAGAGTTATGAGGCTCCTCCACCGACACGAGGCGCAGCTGCGACGAGAGGGCGGAAGCCCGCCGCCCGTGCTACGCGCGCAGCAAAGGCTACAGGCACGAACAAAGCCGTTGGACCGTCTAAAGGTCGCCAAGGCCCTTCGTCTAAAGCGGCGGTTGAGGATGATGGTAATGGTGCCCCACCATCACCTGCGAAATCGACTCGCTCGACAAAGTCGAAATCCAGTGCAAAGTCCAAGGCGAGCGGTCCGTCTTCAAAATCCGGCAAGAGCACGGCTGCAAAACGTACCGTTCAAGCCGACAGCCGATCGACAGTGGAGATCATCAGATCGTCCCCAACACGGCCAGAAACCGAACCTGTTGCCGATCTGACTTCCCCGACTAAACCGAAGGCCAAATCTGCCAAATCACGCACCGCTCAACCTCTAAAGGATCTAGACGATCAGACGACGGATGTGCCTGTCAAACCGACAAAGGGGACAAAATCAAAGACTGCTACGGCTGCCGCACCGAAGAAAGCGGCCAAGGGTAAATCCGTCAGGATAGAAGTGGAAGAAGAGGATAAGGAGAACGGAGGGGCTGACGAGACTGCAGCGGCTCAAAAATCTCAAAAGGCGACAATGAAGAAGGCTAGGCAGTCGACCGTGGCTAGCAGGACAAGGAGTAGAGTGTAAGGTGGCGTCAGCGGGCATGGGGATGTGACCCAGCCAGGTATCTTTTCATCTTTCTTGTACGAATCTTAATGAGTGGTATGCTCGATGTCTGATGCTATATACGAGTGCTTGAGTTGAGATTGGCATGGCCTAGCAATCGACATGACTCGTCCCTGTTGCCTCCGGATCCGAGCTTTGCACGGGTCCGAGGTGGGCTGACTCGGTCAGTAACCAGATAGTGGAGATGTGCTCAACGCATTCCGCCTCATGATCTTGCAAGCTACGTGACCATCGCACCAGTGATGGGTATGTCAAGTCTTATATCCTCTCATATCGAGGACGTGACGCGCAAGCACGACATCCAGATAGAATATAGCCTCTCGCCCATGCCCAAGCTGTAAGAAGCTGTTTCTCCTCGGCCGCGATACACTGGTCAGAACTCAAGATGGGAACGGACCAAGGGGATTTGAGAATCGAACAGTAAGTCGCTCTTCTGCATATCCATCCTGTCCCTTCGACTCACTGCATGACGCATAACATGTTCACTCGCCGGTCTGAACAATGCTTGATATGAGCGACACTATTACAATATACCATCTGAAGGATTCATTCCGTCTGTGCTCCATTTTGTTCAGATTTCACCTATGTCGATCGACCGCTGACTGCTCTCGGACCTCTCGTACCGACCCATTGTGACCTGGAGTCTGCCTCGACAACCACAGGCCAACCTATGCCGCAAAGGTGAAGTCAGTCAGTAACTGCCACATTTGCGGGATCATTTAAAAAGGGCCGCTGAAATTTCATCCTCTTTCAGCAAAGCACATCTCATTTGGTTCGCTCTCGCTACTCGCTGCAGTACGACCAGCACGTCGACTTTAGACTCTAGAGCCGGTGAGTACCCCATTCAAAATTCATTCTTCGTCCTGTCCTCTTCCGGATGTGCAATAGTTGTTCCTTCAGACGCAGACGAAAATCTGCTCAGACGACACACAACAAGGGAAAAAAATAATTTCTGACATTTTCACTTCTTCATCGACTCGATGACTGTGACCCATAAGCCAGTTGACAGCACTGACGCTATATGATCCCAGGATACGAGTACGTGTATGACTGCTAGGAGGTTAGGCTAGAGCGCCGATATCGTTCTCAAGAAGAATTGAATTATGGTTCGGCATGTATCCGGTGAAATCAGATCCACATGCCAGTGAGGGCTTCGTTTCGGGCTTTCTGTGCGCCTCCTAATCCCAAGGTACGTTGACCGAGCACTGGCTGCTGCTGCTGCGACTGCGGTGGCGAACATGCGTGATCCACATTCTCTTCGGTTTACCGGTCATCTCGCCTTGAGAGCCTCTTGGACCCCGAAGTGCAACTTTGAGGGTGGTGACAGGTCTCTCTCTCTCTCTCTCTCTCCCCTTACGGGATCGAGTTACGCAGCGCCGCAGCTGCCCCGTGACACCAAAAATCCCCCTTAGCTGATCCAAATTGCCCGAATGCCCGGAGACTCATTTGATTCGATCGAAAGTGTCGTCATTTTGGATTAAAAACAAGGTCTATCGGGTTCCGGGCTATCGGCGCCGGAGTTGTCCTCGCTGCTGGGAAGTAGGGAAGGGATCTGACCTTATGCCTGGGTGGTTGAGGGAGGGGATTGTAGAGAGACAAGTGGGGAATGAGGCCTTTTTGGGTGCTCCTCTGTGATCGAGTGGTATCGACGTTAAAATCTGCACATCATCTCTCTCTCTCTTCCTGACATCCTTCTTCTCTGATCGACTGTGCGATAGTCATGAGACTCTCTCACATCCTGTTCACTCTGGCTGTAGCCGCTAACACTGTTCTGGCATGGCAGCCAGACTATATTCTCCGGATCAGCAATCAAACCATTGCGAGCGACTGTCAACCTAGATCCAGTGTGGTGGTAAATGGTGCGTGAGAGTGATGGCAGTTTCAGAACCTACCTCTGAAGTGGCTGACCACTGTGGATCTAAAGGCACGGCACCCGGACCCCTCTTGACATTCCAAGAAGGACAACATTACTGGGTACGAGTATTCAATGATCTCCCGGATCAGAATACGACAATCCATTTCCATGGATTCACTCAATATACAACACCGTTCTCTGATGGCACACCTCTCACGAGCCAGTGGCCAATTCCTCCCGGACACTTTTACGACTACGAGTTCAATCTCGAGGATGGCTTCCACGGAACATACTGGTGAGCCTGTGCTGAGCTTCATGACGACATAGAAAAGGCTCATAAGAAATTTTCAGGTACCACTCACACGTCAACATGCAAGTTCTCACTGCTCAAGGTCCAGTCATTGTAGAGCCAAAGAACAAGACGGCTCCGATTGATTATGATGAAGACATCGTCATGATGCTAAGTGATGATTATCATGTGAGGAGGCTTGGAAGTGTCCCAGGGACGGTCACGCTGACCCAGAATCAGGCTTCGGACGAGACAATCGTTGCTGGACTTCTGAACACTTCAGTGTTCGGATGGCTCGGCGAGCCTCAAAACTTACTGGTCAACGGTCACGCGCCTGGAGAATGTAATGAGACGGCCTTGTCTGCAGGGCAGGTAGGTCTACCTGACACATGGGTTGAGTTCCTACTCACGAGGTTCCCATGTCAGACCTGCAACGTCACTTGTGGCAACAATCTGCAGAAAGTTTTGCCTGGAAAAAAGTACAGAGTCCGAGTGATCGGCGCCACTGTTCTTAGTTACATCGGCCTTGCTCTGGAGGGCCACAACATGACGGTTATCGAAGTGGACGTGAGTGCCGCTACGTTTGTAGTCTGACACGCTCGTCAGGGCACATACGTTGAGCCTTATCCCGTTGTAGATCTGGAGCTTGGAGCAGGGCAGAGGTACTCAGTCATCATCGAGACCATGCAGAATCCGCCGAAACACGAGTGCGTCAACTTACGCGATGGGCCTTGCGGCGCTGACTTTTCCGCAGCTATCACTGGCGTTTAAGGACCATGTGGAGACCTACACGAGTCAATGGTTCTGCTTTGTGGCAGTACGATGATGATGCGCCGTCCAATTGCCCATATGACAATCACGGTCCAGTCTCTTCTGCTGCCACACCGACAAATCTCAACGAGACCGTATATTTGCCAGAGGAAAAGTTTGGATGGTACTCTGAGTGCGTTCTGACCTTTCTCTCGCGGGTCGATTCTCCTGACACGGTGCCAGTGACTTTGTACAGTGGAACTCGACGGAATATCCGCCTACAGATGATGAGGTCACTCGTGTCATCGTCCTCAATGGTCAACAGCTCGTCGCCGGGGTGAGCAGTCTTTGTCACGTCAATAGACGCCTGCTCATCATGGACCACATTCGCAGAAATCTGGATTCAGATGGTCTGTCAACAACCACCTGTACAACGGCACCACGCCTCATGTGCCGTACCTCGTCGGCTTGTACTCCGAGAACCCCACAGAGAGGATGCCAAACTGTGAGTGTTTAATCCGCTTGACGCGAGGAGTGGCTCTGATGACTATAGACTCGATTGCTCTCCAACACGGCGGGTATGATCCGTTGTCAAACACATATCCTGCTAAACTCGGAGAGGTCCTAGACATCGTGTAGGTGCTAACGTATGCGCCTGTGTTATCCCTGACACCCCAAACACAGTATTGAGAATCACGCTGGTCCCACGTCCGGTATGGCGGAAGCTCACCCGTGGCACTCGCATGGGAGAAAGGTGAGTCGTGATGTCATCGTGCCCACTGACCCCAAAGTACTGGGACATGGGCTCCGGAACCGGAAACTTCTCCTATGCCGCCCTGAACGCATCCCGAGCAGCAGCAAAGGGTTTACCCTACCTCCGAGACACGTCTGTTGTGTACCCAAGCCCTGGCGCGGCGTACAACGGCAGTGTGACTGGTAATTACAGCGATGCGGGGTGGAGACTGTTCAGAATCAAGGTGGAGGATCCGTGAGTCTGTGGAGGAAGAGCAACTCTCCGCTGACGCGTCTCAAAACAGCGGCACCTGGCTCGTTCACTGCCATATCACACCTCATCAAGTCATGGGAATGATGACGGTCTTCATGTACGGCGTGAGTCTTTGCGCCAAGAGATAAGGAGGGAAGAGAAAGAGAGAGAGAGAGAGAGGTCGGAACCCTCACTGACACGTTTACACCAGGCGGAAGATCTCGCTCCGATTCCCGAGTCGTTGGTCCATGAATTCCTGACGTATGGCGGAGGCGCATACGGTGAACGGACCTATTCATACTCTACGATCCCTCGATCCTTCTTCTCAGAGATGAAGAGAGCGGCAGAGGAGCTGAGAATGTTGGAGAGAATCCGACGTTCCGCGAAAGGTCTCAGGGAATACGTGGGTGGAGGAAGAAGCGCTGTCAGCGCGGATCGGAAGGGCTGAAGTTGGGTGTTGACGCGAGTAGAGCGTGGATCGGAGTGCTTCCGCTCTCTGATTCAATTAAACATTGTCCTGTAGCTGTTCAGACTAGATTGGCTTGCATAATCGAGATGCAAATTGAAAGCGTACCTGTCCATAAGATCTCATGCCATGCGAGATGTCACCACCTAGCGGAGATGTCCGTCACCTTCGCCCCGGATCCTGCCATCCGGGGTCAGCCGCCGGATTTTTGTTCTGGAAAGTCCGGCGGTACAGTTCCATCTTCATGGTACAGGCACAGACTCACCTTGTTCATGCTCAATCATCGACTGATATCTTCAACTAGCAGATTGTTCATTATCAAATATACAAAAGGTTGCAGGAATTACTGTCGACTCACCCTCCCTCTCACCCGTCAGACTGTGAAGCCACCTCTATCTCTCGCTCCCATCAGATCCACGCGAGCACTTCCGCAAATAGCATCAACAACACCGTTCCTTGTCATTACTCACAGCACCATGTCGACCAAATCTGCGAATGACAAGCTATCCGCTCTGAGGAGCTTGATGCAAGAGCACAACGTCGGTGCTTAGTGAGTCTGCTCGGGTGCTGGCGAGCTACACCCAGCAGGATGTAGTATTGAGTGTCGATACTGACGTGTGTGTGCGTGGCAGTGTGGTACCTTCTGAAGATGCTCGTGAGTACAGTGCAAGACAAGGTTGTTGCATTCACTGAACATGCGCACTCAGATATGTCCGAGTACACTGCCCCGGTCGATCAAAGACGAGAGTACCTCACTTCGTTCACTGGTTCTGCCGGTACCGCAATCGTGACCAAAGATGAGGCTAGGTTCTGGACCGATGGTCGATACTTTCTCCAAGCCGAGAAACAGCTTGGAAAAGAGTGAGCCTCCCGGCCGAGCCTGTAGACCTATCAAAAACTGACTCGGTGCCCGCATAGGTGGATCCTGATGAAGTCGGGCATGACAGGCGTGCCGACTTGGCAACAATGGCTGAAGAATGTATGCTTGACAAGAGAAGGTTGCGCTGGATATACGAGATACTGACTCTGCTCCAGGACCTCCCAGCGAAATCCCGGATTGGCATGGACCCGACCATTCTCGCCCACGCTGAACACAGTTCCCTCACTAAATCCCTCTCGGAAGGCAACAAGTCTTACATCGTGGCGATTGATGACAACCTTGTAGACGACGTTTGGGGAACTGAGAGACATCCTCGGCCTTCTAACCCTGTCATACAATTAGAGGACAAATACGCCGGGGCGAGCGTCGGATCTAAATTGACAAAGTTGAGGGAACTCCTCAACCAGGTCGGATCTCCTGGAATCGTCGTGACACAGTTGGACGAAGTCGCTTGGATGTTCAACTTGAGGGGAAGTGATATCGCATACAACCCTGTGCGTGGTGCCTTGCACAATTTCCCCTTTGGGGCCCGGCCCTTTTTGGAACGAGTAACGCTGACCCATGCCCAGGTCTTCTTTGCCTACGCCATACTCACACCCGACGATTGCAACCTATTTGTCAATGCAAAATGTCTTTCCGAGCCCATCCGGGACTACCTTCACAAGAACAATGTGTCCATCCTCGATTACGAGAAGGTTTGGCCTCACCTCAAGACACTGGGAGAGCGGACGAAGGAATCTAGAGCACAAAAGGCCAAGGAGGAGGAAGAGAAAGGCTCTACAGGACCTAAGGAGATTACACTGCCGGACGGAGAAAAGATTATCAAGACTGACAAGGTGTTGGTTGGAAAAAAGACGAGTTGGGCGGTCGTTCGGGTTCTCGGCGAGGTGAGTGGCCGGACGAATGACTAAGATCATAGCTGAGTGCATTTGCACAGGAAAATGTTGAAGTGCGACGATCGTTTGTGGAGGATGAAAAGGCGAAGAAGAATGCTGTGAGCTTGGCATGCCTTCCTGACTCAACGCCGAGGCATTGCTGACAGCTTGTAGACCGAGATTGAGGGATTCAGACAGTGCAACATCCGGGATGGAGCGGCCTTGTGTCGATACTTTGCATGGCTAGAAGAAGAGCTCAGTAAAGGTGCAAAGTTGACAGAATACTCGGCCGCAAAGGAGTTGGAGAATTTTAGGAAGTGAGTGGGCTCCTGCCGAGGACCGATCCATGCTGACGCCCGGGGTGTCTAGGCAGAACGAAAAGTTCATGGGATTGTCATTCAGCACCATCTCATCTACCGGACCCAATGCTGGTGAGCCTCAAGTCCTGCGACATGGAATCAGTTTGACGCAGGAATAGCCGTCATCCACTACGAAGCTACCGAAAATGACACGGCGGTGATTGATCCTAACCAGATCTACCTGTGCGACTCTGGAGCGCAGTACCTTGATGGTACCACTGATACCACTCGGACGATGGTGAGGGAGTCTGCGTTGTCCAGTGAGCACTCTGCTCACTTGTGACATAGCACTTTGGCACACCGACAGAAGAGGAGAAGTTGGCCAACACGCGAGTCGTGTGTCACTTGTGATCTGTCCGTGCAGCGCTTGCTGATTTCGCTCAGCTACAAGGGCACATTGCGCTCGACCGAGCAGTCTTCCCGAAGGGCACGTCAGGTAAGTAAGCCATCCGTCTCCTGAGAGCAGGCTACTGACGCTCCTATAAGGCTTCGTTCTGTGAGCATTCCTCACGCTTCAAGCTCCATATGCTGCTGACAACCCGAAAGCGACGCTATAGCCCGTATACCTTTGTGGCAGGATGGTTTAGACTTCCGGTTAGCTGGCTATATCCGAGTTTTCGCAAAAGCTTACGGACAATCCCTAGACATGGCACTGGACACGGCGTCGGTCATTTCCTTAATGTCCACGAAGGACCTCAGGGTATTTCACCCCGGCCAACAACCCTCGACATTGCCCTCAAGGAAGGCATGGTCATCTCGAATGAACCTGGATACTACGCCGATGGCAAATTTGGAATCCGAATCGAGAATGTCTTTGCGGTAAAGCGGGCCAATACCAGAGAGAACTTTGGTGGCAAGGGCTACTTGGAGTTTGAGCACTTCACAATGGTATGGATTTTCGTTGTTGGAGCAGGAGTATTCCCCTAACCATCCCTCAGGTCCCGATGCAGACTAAGCTCGTCCAGCACGACTTATTAGCCCCCATCGAGAAGAAGTGGTTGAACGATTACCATGCGGAGGTCTTGGAAAAGGTTACTCCTGTTCTCAAGTCTTTCGGCGATGACCGGGCGCTCAAGTGGCTGGAGAGGGAGTGTAAGGCGATCTGAGGCGAGGAAAAAGAATGAGAGGCGATCGACGCCCCACAAAAAGGTCGTAAGTTATGCATCTTCAGACCCCGCCAGTCGGCGAAAAGCGATGCAGAGAAACAAAATTGCCATTGTGCTCCAGTGACACTGACTCAATCTCGGCTGACCGCCTCAACTTTGCTCTGATGATCTTCGAAGGCCAAACGGCCTTGCATCGCGAAAAAACCCACAGCAGCTGGCCTATTGCGTCACAGACAATCCTCTCCTAATCCGACACACGCAAGTCGACTGGTTCGTAGGTTCCTTTCACAGCCGTCTCCCTAGACTTTGCCAGACCCGAATCATGGTCGTATTCTGATAGTTTGTCAGTTTGTCTGTCTTACACTTCTTTCAGGACTTCTCTCATATTTGCTGACGACCCCATTTCACCACTGATTAACACCTTTTGGAACATTGCAGATCTGGCACTGAACGAGTCAGCATGACAGACGCTCGCTCGACAGGCATCAGCATTGGTGGCTTCACTAAGATACCGAGTGAGTTCTGGGTAGTGTGAGTCACCACTCACTGGCAGTCAACGCGGATCAATCCGAGTATTACGAAGAGCTTCGGCAAGCATGTGAGAAGCTATCTCAGCATCCAGAGATCCAAAGAGTTTTACGGGGCACGCTAGACGGCGATACCGCAGATTCCGCCCCAAAGACAGACACGATTCCTGGTTGGACAACCGCAGCGGGAGCAGACGATATCCCAACATACGTCTTAGACGGGTACCGGAATAATCTTGAAATAGCGGGCACGCTGCGTGCTACCGGCCAAGCAGTCGACCTCGACGATGAGTCTTCTTCGGAGACCAGCAACGCGGATACATGGGCTCGGGTCAGAACCAGTGACTTTCTGAAGGCGTACAGTCACTTTCACTTATTGGGTTTGAAACAAGAGCCTAGACCAGACTGGGAGAACTTTTTGCGTTCATTAAACGCACAGCCTCAGACGGATTCTGCGGAAGACCGTACAGGACAAGATGGTTCGAATGATGAAACCGGCAAGCAACCTTCAGTGCCCACGCGCGTATTCGACGAAAGCACTAGACTTCAAATGGAGCGACTGTGAGTGATTGAAGCTTCGCGTCATACCGGTGGCGCATTCTGTACTACTGTCTGTGCCGCTGATCCAGTCGTAGACAGAAGGATTTCATGGACATCGAGACTGGCTTGAATCAAAGTGCCAGTCTTCGAAGTCAGGTCGAACTTCGAGGCACTCTGGAGCAGAGTGCAAGGCGGATCAACCTTCTGCTCGCTGCATGTTCCGTAGGCACAATTGTTGCCCTTGTGACTGCAGCGCTCTCAAACCAATCCAATTAGTCCGGTCCCGTAGAGGGCTGAGACGCCTATGCGAAGCGTCCGAATCGCAGGCGTCGAGCACTGAAACGGAAGCAGTCAGGACCGGCCGGCGCTCATGATTACGGTAGATCAGTCAAACACGAGCATGACATGCTATATACTCATTCATGCCCAGTCCCATGACAATGCTCATGATGTTCTGCAAAGGGTTTAGCATACTCTGATATGAGCATTCGGTCCCGTCCATGGCCAAGGCTCGAATGTGATCGCTTGTCCGCGTATCTTCCCATCCTCATCGAGACACGTCGGATGAGCAGACAGGATAAGGCCGATGAGACGTCTTGCCGTTGTTGCCCCTACAGCGGAATCCCATGGTTCACACATGAAGCCCTGCATTGATTGACGATATTGGGCATCCAGTTTCAACGGACTGGTCCCGTTTCGTGCTGGTCTCCTTCGTCCGCTTTGGCGCTACCACTGGCCAGCCAGAAGAAGCCTGCGAAGCAAGTGACGACAAGAAGCCCTAGGATCCCATTCGGCGAGGGTCGACTTTCGTTCTCTGAAGATCCAGTTGTGAATCGACCCGTCTTGGCTTGATCAAACCATACGTCTTTGAGAGCTTGATATTTAGAGTTCCAGGGATCTCTAATGGCTGCGGATCGTAGCTGATCCAAGTCTGCCGCTTCGTCCTGCCTGGATTCAGCATTTTTCCGACGTTTGCCCTTTTTGGATGACTGGTTCGTCGAGGCAGAAGGATCCATATCGCTGTACAGTGATTCTCCATAATCTCCAGCTGTAGAGTATCGTGAATCGTACTTCCTATAAGGTTGGTATCCTTTTCCAAAGAGTGGAGCACCGTATTCCCCCGGTTCAGGCGATGGGGATCCGAATGGATCACGAGACCCTGAAGGTCGATACAGAAAGCTGGAAGACGAGGAGGAGGAGGAAGAAGAAGAAGACGACGAGTTGGGCTTTGATGAGCGACCTGATCCTGACCATGCCATGTGGGGTCCGGCCGGTCGACGAGTGTATGAAGTTTGTTGAGAATATGAAGAAGAAGAAGATGGGTGTTGATAAGATGTGTACTTGGGTTGAATCAATGTTTGATCGTATTCTCGTCTGCATCGAGGTTAGTCCAACCAACAGGAGAGAAAAACAGAGAACGTCGCTCTGCCGGCGACTTTAGCCAGAAGAACACTCGCCTCTTGAGTTCATCCCCGAGAACCTCATAAGCTTCTCCAATGGCATGAAACTTTTCCACACTTCCACCAGAAGCATCCGGATGGAATCGTTTGGATAGCTGTGCCATACATCCTCGCTTCAGCATCTCCCATTTCCCAGTTCCAAACGGTATTGTGAATGGCTTACCTCGTAAAACTTTGCCTTGATTTGCTGTTTCGTAGCTCCCCTAGACACTTTGAGCACGGTATAATAGTCACCCCTGACGGCGGCACTACTAGCGTAGGTCCTGTGCTGTTTCAGAGATGGGGCGGTAATATGAGCTTGATGACCATTGTGCGCCATGTGCAAGGTGGAGTAGCGTCGGAGTGGTGTGCAGCTCGTATGCCCACGTGAGCTATGCCAAAGAGCCAGGTCTGACGTCGAGGAGGGATCTCGGATGAAGTAGACTGAATCGGGATACCTTGAGTCCGTCGAGAAGCCAAGTCGGAAGCTGGAGCTGGAGCTGGAGCTGCTGGATGATCCACTGAACGGTATGACCTCATTCAATGTCCACCGATTCGACGCCCCTCCTTCCGGTCTGACTACTTCTCGCGAAGTACGACAGAGACTGTATAGTCTCCGAGGTGCCAGCGAGGTCATCAGCACACAGGCCCGAGAAAGACCGAGAACCTGAAGTGAGCAGACCAGAAATGGAGAATGAATACAGTGACGATATCGATCGGGATCTTCCCTGACCGGCTTGTACCGTACGGTTGAATTTTTTTGCTTTGGTCAGAGACACGACAGATCTTTCAAATCATCGTCCACGCCAGCAGACCGAACTTCAAACGCTTTCATCCACCTGAATGTTGTTGCTGCATTCTCTTCATACAGACATTCTTTGTATTATTCTTTTTCTCACCCTGTTCCTGAGTCTCTCTCTCTCTAGTAAGGGTTCCCTGCCAGTTCTAAGACTACTCCTACTCGGCCATACGCTGAGACGAAGGAGCAGCCTACTCAAGTTTGAGCCTCTCAACTTTTCGTAGCTGAGCCCTCCGCATCCATTTTGACAGTTTCAGCTTCGGCCGATTTCCGATCCGATCCCTTGTCATCATCTGCAGGCATCACCTCTTCTTTCGCTGCGTTCTCGCCGTCCCCAGCTTCGGCCTCCCTGGCTGCAGGCTTGCTCATGTCGACATCGCCATCCGCATCCGCATCTGCGTCTGCATCCGCGTCCGTAGTACTGACCGTTGGCAAAGGGGGCGTATCGGGTCGAGACGTTTCGCCTGAAGGCTCCACAGGCTCACTTGCAGCAGCCGCAGATACGTCCTTGGCAGCCGCGGTAGACTCCTTCGGCTCTGCGGGCGCATCGCCACCATTGGCTTCAGAGGTGGTTGGGAGCGAAGGCGTCGCTGGTCGCTCAGGATCCTCTGCATCATTCTTCTCCGCCTGTTGCTGATTTTTGCTAGCCTCTTGACCTTCATCCGCCTTGTCACCCGGCGAACCCTCTCCCACCTTTGATCCCCCATCGACCGACATGGCGCTGGTTGGTCTGACGGCTGGCGAGCTGATCCTCTCAGCATTCAAGACTTCAATCACGGTGGTTCGCTTGTTGTTGTTATTGTTGTTGTTGCCCTGACTTGAAGAGGGTTTAGGGCTGACCGGAAGACCTGCAGCATCCGCTCGAGGCTTTTTCGACGTGTTCGAAGGCGAGTCGTGAGGAGATGTAGGGGCCGGTCGCTTGCCACCTGTTGCAGTGGATTGTGACGGAGAAGCGGCAGACTTGGAGGGCGAAGGCTGAGTTGGACGGTCTCCGTGCAGACTCATTAGAGCGTCGAGCGCACCGCCCTCATCGTATTCTGGTGCACCTGTCAGCATGCTCGGCCCCAGTGACACGAGTGACACGGGCAAAAGTGTTCTCGCTCACCCTCATCCACGGCTCGATCCGGCCTGACGCTGCCTCTCTCACTACCTCTTTCACTTCCTTCTTCTCGTCCTCTGACGCTCGGAGGACTGTTCGTCCCTTTGCGTTTCTTGTCACCTCCTGGCGCTCCCGAGCGCTTCGATGTCGACCTGTTCCTCTTCTTGCTTCCACTGGCAGTCGACATGATGGAGAGCGAAGGTGATGGAGCGTTCGTCGTGAGTCGAGGGTCTTCCTTGGACAAAGACGGATGACGAGCATGACCTGCCGATGCGTACCCATTCCCGTTGATAGGCGGAGGCAATGGATGCTCTTCGTAACGTCCACCACCGTTGTTGTAAGGATACTCTCCGTGAGGACGATCCCTCGGCGATGGTCGGCGATCTGGAACCCGGGGAGACGGTCCAAGACTGCTCTTACCGGCCCTGTCTCGCTCACGTCTCTCCCATTCATCTCGATCAGCGGGATGAGCGAACGAACCACCGCTTGGAGGTCCAGGATTGGGGTAGTGTGCTCGTCGACGAGGCGACGCAGGAGAAGCGGCGTGTCGACGATCAGGACCTGGCTCGTACATTCTATGATCTCGATGACCGTTGCCAGGGCGTTCCGTCTCCATAGGTGCAAGCGGAGCGTGTCGAGACATGCTGCCGCGAGATTCATCCACGTGCTGCAAGGGTGGGGGAGCACCACCGCCACCTCGGAAGGGTCCAGGTGATTGTCCGCGACCCATCTCTGAGCCAGGAGGCGGAGGCGGAAGGGCTCGACCGCCGTCGGGGCCGGAAGCATGAGCATGGCCAGGAGGCCCATCCATACCGGGATGCTGGGGTCCGGGTCCACGAGGAGACCCACCGGGCGATGTCCCTGGAGGATATGGTCCTTGGGGTTGCGCAGTGTACTGAGATGGATGAACATCGACGGGTCCAGGCGCAGGCGGTAATGGCTGGTTGCCTGCGTTCTGGAGAATGTCAAGACGCTGTTTGATTGTCGCATTGTTTGGATCGAGGTCGGCAGCGCGAGAGTACGCGTCAATCGCATCGGTGATCTGATTGTTGCACGATTCGTACAAGCTTCCGAGATTGTACCAGACTTCCGAGATGTAAGGGTTGAGTCGGATCGCTCGAGAGTAAGCGTCCAGCGCATCTCGGTATTGGTTGATTTGGTAGTAGAGTACACCGATAGAGCACCAGAATGTTGGGTTTCGGCCGTCTCGGTAGACAGCCTGTTGGTATGCTTCGTAGGCCTTGTTGTATCGTTGACCGGCCATGAATGCTCGACCGAGGAGGTACCAGCTCTGGGCGTCACTTCCATCTGCGCGATGTCAGGCCCCGTCTTCAGATCTGGACAGGCACACTCACCGGTCTCGAGACTCTTGGTGAGGTAATTGACAGCTTGCTCTTGATCCGCAAATGAGGCTCCGGGTTGGTGGTGAAGCCACCCGAGCTGTTGGAGGACCTTGGCATGATCAGGCTGATGAGTCAAGACACGCATATAAGCATCTCGAGCATTGTCAAACTATACGTCAGCGTGTGTGACCATAGTCCCGACTCACGTCTCGGTCCTGTTCGTACACGTGCCCCAGCTGGAACCAAATGTCCCAGGAGGTGAGCGGACGGGGAGGGTTGTTGAGGATGTATTTGAAGCACTGCAGTGTTTCAGCAATGTCTCGGACGAGAGTTCACGCCGGAACTCACATCGAGACTAGCTTGATACTTGCGTTGATGCTTGTATATGATTCCGAGCCGGAAATAGATCTCATTGGCCTTGTCAAAGTCTGCAAACTTGTCAGCTCAACGAGCTGACAAGTGGAGAGCTCACTTGGATCGTTCTTAAGCACACTGCGGAAAGCTTCTTCTGCGTGATCAAACGAACCGTATCGATCGTAGAGAATGCCAATGCCGTACCACAGCTTGGGCTCCTGAAGGACGCAGTCAGGATCTATCACTGTCAAGAGAGCATCAACCTCACGTTAGGGTTCTGCAAGTGGTATAGAGCTTGTTGATACGCCGTGTAGGCCTTTGGCAGATCATCCTTCATGAGAAGACAGTGGCCTGATGAAAGGGATCAGAGCTGCCCCAGTAAAAGACCAATTTGACCCACCCATAGAGCCCCAAGCTTCTCCGTTGTCCTGCTTGATATTGAGTATTCTTTGGAAATACTCAATGGCCTTATCAAAGTTGTCTCTGCTTCTCGCAATGGATGCCACGGCATTGAGGCCAAGGACAGAGCTGGGGTTGTGCCGGAGGGCGTTCTCAAAAGCCTGCAATGCTCTGTCCTGATCTTGCATTTGTTCAGCTACGGCACCTGGAAGTGATGAGTCAGCTCGAGCCAAAAGAGGTGTGATGCGTAAGATGTCCAGCTCACCGATCAGCATCCAAGTGTTCTCATTCGCGGAAGCCAAATTGGCCAATACACCATCCATCTTCTCTCTCGCCGCTCGGACGGTGGAGCTTCCGGAACTTGGACCGGGTGGTCCACTGACACTTGCATGTCCTCGATGTCCATGGGATGCATGAGTGGACGAAGCATGACCATTGCCTAGACTGTGTGTCGGATGAGGTGCAGGCTCTCCTCGAGGTTGTGGTCGACCATAGGAAGGAGGGATCGATTCTTCACCACGGGGTGGTCTACCGTAGCTGGGCAGAGGCAACGGGTTGAGATCGTCTTGATGATGTTGAGGTCGACCCTGGGGAGGTCCTTGAGATGGAAGAGGATAAGGCTCGCTACGATCATCCCGAGAAGGTTGTACGTTTGAGCCCAGGCCGGGTGGACCATTGCTGTGTCTGTGATGTGAAGGGTAGGAGGGTTGTGGCTGCTGCTGTTGCTGTTGTGGTTGCTGATGTGGATGACCCGAGTGCGAAGGATGAGAATGATGAGATGGATGAGGTGGATGGGAGCCATGGGATGCGTGAGAGCCGTGAGAGCCGTGGGAGGCGTGAGATGGGGGAGGATAAGGAGATGGGTAAGGTTGAGTCGGGAGTGGGTGATGATGGGACATGGTGAGGTGATGAAGCTGAAGGTGGCCAGTTGGATGTCAGTTTAGTCTATTCGCGAGTTGAGTTGAGTGGACAGCAGTCAGGGGCGAGACACGAGTAGGAGTAGACGCTAGTGGGCCCTGATTTGTGTTTGAGCGATACAGTTCGCGTCGCCGACAGTGATCGCTGTGGATCACCTCGCCGAGAGTGAGAGTGAGAGTCCACAACGACTACTGGCTGTCACAGATGGGTAGCAGATATGCCTTTGGATGACAGGGCATGCGCTGCAGGTAGGAGACAGAGTGGATGATGATGGTTGTTTGGAACGGAGGGAGGAGGGAGAGGCAAAGGCAGTGTGAGGGGAGTGGCGGAAGATAAAGGATGATGATCGCCTTGGAAGTCACAGCGTGTGTGTGTGTGTGCGTCTTTGTCGGTCGGGAAATAGCAGCTGGTCTAAAGTGATATGGGCGTGGACATCCTTTAAAGGAATGAAGGTGGGTGGGAAGGGGCGATAGATAGAGAATGAAGAAGCTGACGTGGTAGAGTGTTCCACCGCAAGGGGTCTGCGTGATGAATCGAAGAGATGGTGATCGTGGTGCTGGTGATGTTGACAATGATGGAGATGATGATGATGATGATGATGATGGCTCAGAGCAGGGGGGGGGGGGGGGGGGGGGGGACAACACTCACTCGGTACAGTTACTGTCTTCCTCCGCTCCAAGGTGTAACCCTGTGAGATCTTGCTAGGGCCGCGGAATGCACTGCTCTCCAGGGACGGGAGAGGACTGAAGGGAGGGCGTAGGTGTATGATCTGCGACTAGGCCCAGGAGGATGGATGCCAGCTTTGGAGGGAGAGGCAGATAGAGATAGAGAGCGAGTGATGAGGTGCTGCATATATCAGCACAGACCAGACCTTTGGACCACAACCCCCCCAAACCAAACGGTGGAAAAAGGCGGACGAGGTTTTATAATTTGGACTAGCTTTCTGCCACTTAGGCACGCGTATTTAAGCAGGGGCGGTCCATCGGACTCTTTTAATGATTGAAAGGTGGGGGGGTTTGAGAGGGACCTCTATCACTCACGTATAGACAGGCAGTAGGAACTAGCTCAATCTAGTCGATGCCCCCTCCACAATACTCGTCTCAGCAACTGTGAGAACGGTCGGTCCAAATTCCCCCTCCTCCCCTTTTCGATTGCTTCTCTGTAGCACACGAGGAGGCGTCGTCTACGATCCACGTCGATCACCGCGGCGTCAGGGATTCTTCGGTAGGGTATTATCCGTGTCGTGGTTGAGGGTTATAGGGCAACGGTGCGCCGCGCAGGTGTTGCCATACGAGGATGTAGATATAAAGACAGCTGGTGAATATGTAGATTGTATGCTTTCACCTGATGGAACTGTGCACCCCTGTATGAAGATCAATGACACCACGCCAGCTATCAAAAGAGAGAATTAAAGAAAAGATGATGGAAAAAGTGGAAAGTGTGAGAGAGAGAGAGAGAAGGTGACAACATATTTTCCCTTTCACGCCACGCCCTTTTCCCCCTCGCCCCTAAATTCCCCCCTCTTTGGCTCCTCCTCCCCGCCGCCGCCCAGGTCGCTCCCCTCTGGCCCCCCACCAGCCCGCGCCTCCTGACCCTCCCTCGGACCGTACTTTCGAAGAACTGAGTTTCCACGACGCTCATTTTGGGAAGGAGTACATACTATTCTTGCAAACCCATTCGTTTGTGTTGTTCTTTCTTCCCAAAAAAAAAAGGAGGTGCCGTCGTCCCGCCTCTTACCTCCCCCTTGCCCCGTGCAATCTGTAAATTCCAACTGACGTACAGCCCTCCTCCCCCTCTGGCTCTCTCCGCTGTCCAGGCGCATGGCCATGTGGCGTCAAGCCAGCCCATGATGAATGACCCTGAATAGTCGGCTAACGTGTTCCTGGGGGAGGGAGGATACTCTGTTCCACCCGAACGAGAGGGGATCTAGGCAACATAGACAGACCACCTATACGCCAACGAATCAGACCACGCCAACGGAATAGGTAAGGGGAGGGAGAGATACGCACTCTCCCAGGTTGCCTCTTTCTTCAAACATGCTTGAATTTTCTGCCCCCCCCTGTTCATAGCATTCTCTGTGCTCGCCCTCACCCTCGGCGCACACCCCCCCCCCCCCCGTCATTTTGAGAAGCCTGGGCGATCAGGCGGGTCTGGAAAGTGGGAAAGACTTGCGACACCCCCCTCAATATTGAGATCTCTCTTTCGGTTCAGATCATCTTTCGTTTCCTAATGGCGTATTTTTTCTAATGGGAGGGGTGTTTTCCTCCTAATCATTAGGAATTCGGAGGTTACCATGTCCGGCGCACACCATAATTCCATCAGCGGCTTCATCCGCCGTTTCGTCTGAGCCCTCAAAACCCCCTCCTCGTTTTGCCTTATCCTCGGCTCGGCGCTCGACCGAAAAAAGCCAACTTTGCACACTCTTGTCACAAAAGATCATCAGCCAGCGAGCTAAGCGTTACTCGTCGAACTCCGACTTGACTCCTGCTCGGTCCACCTGCCCACTGTCCTTTGTCGCTATCTCTCTCTCTCTCTCTCTCTCTCTCTTCACGCGGTGGTCAAGCTGTCCAAATCAGATCATATCCGACTCGATCATCTGCCCAGCAGTGCACTTTCCACTCGCTTACCGCCCAACGACCTCCCTCCACTCGGTTCTTCCGACGATTCAGATAACGATTCCATATCTTCCAACATGTCGTATGGATCTGTAGATAGAGGCGGAGCGAGTAGCAGGGATGCGAGGAGGAATCGAATCATCTCCACACGATCCGTAAGATCCACGAGGACAGTCAGAGACGTCCATGCGATGGGTCACGCCTCCATCCTCTCGTCCGTGACCAATCTCGCCAATACAGTCATTGGCGCTGGAGCACTTGCATTCCCATCGGCCTTTGCAGCGATGGGACTGATACCTGGGATCTTGTCCTGCATCTACAGCGGATGTGTCACCAGTTTCGGATTGTACCTCTTGACGAGGTGTGCCACAATGGTAGCGAGAAAACCAGGTGACGAAGGCAGGAAACCGAGTTTCACAGAGGTTGCGAGGATAGCGTTTGGTAAAGGTTGGGCGACGAGACTGTTCGATGTGAGTAAGATTACAGCTGCGAGGCCGAGTCCGAAAGACGAAAAATTCACACTGACGCCGACACCCCTTTTCACAGTTCGCCATCGCCATCAAGTGCTTTGGTGTGTCTATATCGTACCTGATCATCTGTAAAGTCAGTCCAGGAGGCCTATTCCGCCTTCACTCTACTGACGATCGACTCGTCTCAGACACTCCTTCCGCAAGTCACATACACATTCGCCAAAGCCATACATCACCCTCTACCAGAAGACTCTATTCTCCACTCGCAGGATTTTTGGCTCGTCGCCATGATGATCGTCATCGTCCCACTGTCGTTCCTCAAAACGTTGGACAGTCTGCGGTTCACCTCGCAGATCGCATTATCCACTGTCGTTTAGTAAGCTGTCCCCCTTGTGCGGCTATACACTAGTGCCTGACTCTCCTGCCCAGTCTCATCATCGTTGTGGTCGGATCATATGCCCTCAAGGGACCCTCTGCCAATCGTGGAGAAGTCGTCTTGGCCAGATTTGGTAGAACAACATTATCGAGTCTGCCAGTGCAGGTATTTGCATTCACGTGAGTAAAGATCCGCACGCTACCGTGGATACGGAGACTGATCAGGGGACAACCCATACATAGATGCGCCCAGAATGTGAGACAGACTGCTCGCATCCTACCTATCTAGAGCGATAACTCACACCTCTTCCAGATCTTCCCGATCTACTGCGAGCTCAAGGACAAGACGCAGAAGCGCTTGAACACTGTCATCGCCGTGTCTATTGGGTCTTCAGCCTTGTGTTACGAAGTGGTGGGTAGACTGTCGCCGAGATGTAACTGTTCGCTGATAACTGCATTCGCTTAGCTCGGTATCGTGAGATAGTCCTCAAGCGGAGACTCAAAAAATCTTCTACTGACCTGCATTCCAGATAGGATACCTCACATTTGGTGATCGCGTTGGCAGTAACATCATCGCCATGTAAGTAGAGGTGTCTGGAACAGAAAGAAGCAAGACTGAAACCCCGCCCTTCACCCCAGGTACCCCGCCACATCTATCTTCATCGCCATTGGTCGATTCGGTATCGTCCTCCTTGTCGGATTCTCCTACCCTCTTCAACTCTTGCCGTGTAGACAATGTGTCCATGGTTTGACTTCTGGATTACTCAAATCAGCTTCGCCCGATATAGCCACTGCCTCATCATCGACGACCAATCAGCCGGAAGCGGATGAGGATGAAGAAGAGTTGGACGAGGATGATTCGCTTTTACGGAAAGACGACGACGAAGAGGAAGAGGAGGAGCGAGGACCAGGCGATATGAGCAGGACGAAATTCATCACGATCACCGTCTTGATCGTTATTGTTTCATTCTTGATCGCTGCAGAGGTCGACGAGTTGGAAGTCGGTGAGCCTAAGCGGGTTCCATTAACGTCCTTCACGGGCATGAAGCGTGACCTGACCCTTCTCTCCATAGTCCTCGGATTTGTCGGATCTACAGGATCGACCATCCTCTCTTTCATCCTGCCTGGTTTCTTCCACTTTGCCCTGTTCCGTCAAGAAAAAGGTCGCGTCAAGTGGTTCGCATTGGCTTTGGGCATATACGGTATAGCCGTCATGTGTTTCAGGTGGGTTTGGGGGACCTCCCCTCCCTCAAGCAATCGCAGGCAGTGACTGATGCCGTCCTTCACGCTTCACAGTTTAACATACAATATTGTCAATTTGCAAACGCGCCATACTGGAAAGCCATAGGCCTCTCCCGGGGAGGGGTCATGCGGATGCATTTGCCGCAAACTTTTCGTTCACCGGCGGGGCCACAGTTGCATGCGTCTACTGACATAAATCGCTGATCCTGTGTTTTGTTTTTTACTCTATATGGGCAGGCGTATTACTCTCATCCATTGTATGCTTTTTGCGACTGGGCGGCTGAAATGCACAGACCGGTTCGAGGGTGATTTTGACGCATCTATGAGGGGTTGGACGCATGGTAATGGACAAAATTGTGAACAGGGTGTTAGGCGGGCTCTGAAGGGGACGCGGTTCTCGGTCCGACGACTTTACCCACAGGGATAGGTATGTGATGTTTCTCTAATGTAATTTCCGGCGTCGACTTTTGTGACGACCACGAGGGGAAGCCTCTAGTCTCGTGAGTATTTTACTGTGATGATTTGATCAGGTCCATCGGTGATATATGAGCTCGCAGTCCTCGTAGTCTGGCCCGGTCCATTGCCCGGACTGGACCGAGGCAACCGATCCTGCTGTGAATACTGTGCAGGGGGCAAATGTTTTGCGTAGTCTTTCAGATTCGACGGTACAGGCCCGACAGAGATATACTGTGGCTCGCTTAGGTCTTGTCGTAGACGCACGTGTGATTGCGTCGAGGACGAAGGCGTCATCATGGATGTGTGAAACCTTGAACCATCAGTATCGGGGGAACTCGCGGCAGGCGGGGCCGTAGGTAATTGAGAGTTCCAGTCGTCTCTATCCGAGATCGGTCGAGGCATTGCCCTACGGTGCACGTGGATGCTCGAAGACGGTACCGCTATGCTGGGTTCTTGGCTCTGTCGAGTCGTCGCGTAGAATGGTGCAGGTCTCCTTGTAGGCTGACTGGGATCCAGCGTGGCACCATTCTGCTGTCGTAAGGGCGGCGGCCTGAGAGGCTTTGGAAATGCCATTGGCATGCCCTCACTTCCTGCTGCTGTCCATGATTGTGTCCCTTGCGCGGCGGGTCGAGACCTCGTGACGTGATTCTGAGTCGGCACGTTCGTTCGAGCCGTATCAAGCGTACGCATTGTAGTTCCTTTCCGAGGTGGTTCGTCAATGGTGAGCCAAACGGTGTCTTGTTCTCCCCTTGCTAACTCGTACGGGAACGAAATCATCTGCTTACTGGTATGAGGTTCTAGTTTCCCAGATGACTTTTCGACCACCATCTTGGGATGACCCGTGAATGAACGCATCAGAGTCGTCTGACCGACGTATCGAGAAGGCACGAACGCTCGATAGGGGTAGTTGATCGTCATCGCGTTGTCACTACCTTTGTCGTCGGTCTGTAAGATCCTCCGAGTGTACAGAGTCTGTACTTCTTGCGTCCGCTTGTCTCTCACCTCGTAAGCATTGTATCCATTGGCAAAGTCGATGGGCTAGAGTAAGAATACGGGGCTTCAGTTAGCATCTTTTTTTGAGAACTGGACTGAACGAAACGAAACGACACGACAACTCACTTCGGATCCTTTTTCAAAGGAGCTCACTCCCTCTCCTAGCCGTTCCAAAGCTGCCTTTGCGTTATTGCAAGCGGAGTGGAAATCGCCCACTTTCGTTTCTTCCGCAGCCCGCTCAAACAAGGATTGGGCCGTTGCGCTTCGGTGATATTCTTTACCGAGGAATTCCTTGGCTAACAGTTGACGCAAGTCGTCGAGGTCATCAGCATGCTCTGTCGATTCCAATAAACGTCGAGCGCGCTTTCGCAAATCGTCTACAGTCGCTTCGCCGTAAGATGGCTGCGCATCGGTATCCGAATCATCGGAACCATAGCTCGACATGGTTGTTTTTCTTGTTGGGTTGGCGCTGGATGATTTAGGGCAAAGAGTCTCTCTTGAGCTCGGCTTTTGGGAGGCACGACGAGAGGGCGAGTGATTTTGGGAATAGACGAAGAAAGTCTTTGTATAGCGCAAGGTGGCGAATGGTGTGGTATGATACAGCATCGAGTCTTTCGAGACCTCTCATTATATATTCTCCTCCTGGACTGAGAAGGCGAAAACTCAAAGGTCAGCGTCAGACCCGAGGTCAGATGGGGTGTCCCATGTCATGTTTCCCCTCGAACCTCCTTTCAAGCTGCGCGAGAGGCCAGAGGTCAGTTCCCGCCGCAGGTCTCTGCATGTCTCCTTTCATCTCTCCGAGGTGTTCTTTCGTGAGCCCCACGTACCAGGCGTGCTACAAGAGGAGGAAATGTTCCTCTGCCTTGGCGCACACGCTGGGGGCATCATTGAGGGTGTTCAAGTCGGAGTTTTGAGGCGTGAGTCCGCATGGGCAGCCTCAAATGTGTGTACTGCCCCAGTGAGTCAGTAGTCCTGTCCTTGAGCCCCTGTCTCAGTCGACCTGTCAGCACCCGTCGAGGATTCTTTGAAAGGAAGCGCTGGTGTGAGACTTTTCTGTCTTTGGCTCTTCCCACGCCAGATCAACGGCCGGATCATTCGGTAGGAAAGTAGGGGGTGACAGTAATCTCAGCGGGGAGAGAGAGAGAGACGGTGCACTCAGGCCGCTCCGGTGGCAGAAGAAGATATGTATGCGACGGCCCACTGATTATCCCAGGACGCCTCCCTGGATTCCCAGCCAAAGTTTACTCGTGTGCATGCCTCTAGGGAGTTAGTTATATGAGAGTCCAGGACTAGTCAAGTTAGTCTGGAGCCATTATCCTCGTTATCAGCTCATGCCGTGCCGTGCCGTGCCGTGCCCTTAACTCTATTCGGTAGAACGTCTGTATTGCACAAGTCAGTCGAGGGTGATGTATGCTCTATGGGGAGTAGGTAAGCTTGTCAGCGATTGGGACGTCCCTTTGCACAAGGGTGATGTGAAGAGGGTGATAGTCGTTGTGAGGGAGTTCGTGGTGCTCTAGATGTACTTTGGACTAGAGGGAGGATTAGCTATGCCAATGGTCACACCCAGCACTTGAGGGTCTAGACAACACGCCAACATCCACAGGGCTCGACGACAAGCTCGTTTCCGGCGTGTACATGTTCATGCGTCCAGACTTGATAGCGGACCGTGACTCATGTCCTGGGTTGTACGTCGCGTGGATCGGAACCGAAGACATGGTGGTACCCTGATATTTATCGGCACCGTCTGGTGGAAGAGTAGGAGAATCTTCGTATTTAGATCCGGTTGGTTGAATGATCCATTCCCGAGGTGGGTAAGGAGCTTGTGCACTTTGGTAAGCGTGTGCACTTTGGTTTCCTAAGGAGCTGCAAAACCCGGCAGTAGAAGCTGGTGGAGGCGGAGGAGGTGGCGGAGGTCGTGAAGCAGAGTACGTTTGTGAAGCCTGGTATGTGGAGGGGCCTGACGCCAGCGACGGCTGCGACGGCTGCGACGCGTACTTGACAGACTTTCCAGAGCCCATGCTTGTACCGCCAAGACCTGGTGGAGGACCGCCTTGAGTTGAAATGTGATTCGGAGCGAACCGGGTCGGTGCAAATTCCACATTAGGAGGCATGCTGGATCCCTTGGACACATTGTGCCACCCTCTATTGGGTGCCATCGAGTTGCTGGTTCCAGGTGTCGATCGCACCTTGCCAGGTCCGATTGGCATTGATCCAGGTTGAGAACTGGCAGCTGTCGATGTACCATACTCAGGGCGAGAACCTTGAGGTTTGATAATACCCGGCTTCGAGGACGCCACGGACGTGTCACGGACCATTGTGTTTGTCTTTCGCGACGTATTCGTCGGTGCCGAATTATACTTCCTCCAGTCGGCACCGGGAGGAGGAGGGTTAGGAGGAGGACCTTCCAACAAAGCGCTGAGCCATTGATTTGTTCCCCAATTCGACCCATTGACAACCTTGACAGAGTCAACGACGGTAGGACAAATTGGCCTGATGAATTGATCATCATCAGTGCGCATCATCGTGTTCGTTCCATCGTTGGTGGACATGGTGTGTAGCATCGCTGGACCAATATAAGATTCAACCCTGTAGGACACCTCTGGACTGAGGATCAAATCGTCGTATAGGGGTCGACCTTGATGAATGACGGATGGGATACACGAATTGGTATAAAAAGTGCGCACATCGCTGGGATTTTTGACGTCACTAACGCTGTATGCGTTGTACATGGTCGAAAAGTCTTGGGGCTCGGGATCTTTCACATCCTGTCAAGTCGTGTCAGTCTATCACGATACACTGGAGAAAGTTGTATCCCGAGGCTACTGGATGAAATGGACGCGCACTCACGCTCTCAGTGGAGTCCGAACTTGCCGGGAGGTAACGTTTTGCAGCTTTGATCTCTTCCTTGGCCCTGTCGTAATCCCCCACTTGAGCCGAACGACTGGCACTGCTCAGGTGTTCCGCGGCCGATCGACAAGAATCATAAGCTTGTCCTAAATACAGCTTCGAGATGAGCGTAACCGTGTCATCGACAGAACTACCCTTTTCCCGTCCAAGAGCGTTGAGCATGTACAGCGTGTCTTGGGTCGACTTCACCAGCTTTCGAGAGTTCCAACCCTGGTATGCTGCTTCACTTGTCTTGGGTTCGTAGGGGGTGTAATCCGATGGAGGCGGTGGAGGCGGCGGCGGATGAGACGGCATGGTATCAGTATAGACCCGTTGGTCACTCGTCAATGCAATGGTCAACAGAGGCTGAAGAGGGTGTTTTGGGAAAACGCAAGGAGAGGTGATGTTGATGATGAGGGTGGGGCCTGAAATCTTGCCACTGAGCGACCCCCTTTATATCCTTCCTGGGACCGGCGAAACAGTGCCCGGAGTGAGCTCGAGGGTTTAGTGCCTTCTTTTCAAGTAACGAAAAGGGTGAAGTATCATCGTGGAAAGGAGTGCTGTGTTGGGCTATAGCCAGAAGGGCAAGTACCTTGGGGTGTTGAGCGTTTCCAGGCTGGTCCGTTGCGCTCTCCCCTGGACCTTTACATTCTCAGGGTCTCTGGAAGACATGAACGCGTCTCGACAAGAGCTTCAGACAATGGATCGACGCTAGTTGTGAAGGGAATATCATTTCGCTTCTTCTCAAGTCGGTTGCCTTCAGTAAACCTTGGGGTGTCGGTGGGGCGGGCGAGGGGACCAAGGTCTCCTATCCACCATCTCACTGTCACGGTCGACCGGACAAGCCAAAAGTTCGAGATAAGAGATCGTTGCACACCTTTGTCCGACAGGATCGTTTCACTTCCTTTTCATTTCGATCGACTCAACTTTTCTTCTGACGTTTCGTCATGAAACTTCTGTACGTCCAGAGCTACCTATCTTGACGAAAGGGGTGTCGAAACCTCTAAGTTTGCTTGCGCTTTGAATGACGGGGTCAACGCAGAGGTCTGAAGTCGAGGTCAATTTAAAGGGGAACCTCAGAAGCCATCTAGGACCTTTGATCATCGCTATTTGATGGGGGAAGTCCAAACAGAACGCAGCCTAGCGAGAGACTGTGCTCACTCTGCAGTATCAAACGATAGAACAGCGACAGAAGCGCCCCCTGTCTATCAATTAGCATGGATTGAGCAGGACTCGTCCTGCAGCCATAACGAAGTCTCCACCACATGTCGCCATTTCGATTTACTATTTGGGATTGGGAGGACGCACATTCAATGAATCTAAGAATAGAGCGGCCGTATGATATAAATATATATACCTGGTTATCCCCGTTGAAACGTCGTGCCCCTGAACCTGATAGGATATGAGGCGAGATAGCCATATTTTGTCATGACAGCGGGACAGCAGCAGCAGCAGCAGCAGCAGCAGCAGTAGCAGTTAGCGTGAACCACCAGATCTGCTGCTCTCAGGAAAACCGCCCAATCATGTGCACATGCGGTCGTCGGTGATGTCCGACCTCATTCGGTGTGTTTCCACGCGGTTCCAGCATGAGAGCGGAATCAAAAAGAGAAAAAAAAGAAGGATCATATGCTATAGATAATCTTAGAAAGTGGCTACGACGCCGGCTCCTGTGAGAGCAGCGCAGCCGAGGAGAGAGAGAGAGAGAGAGAGAGAGAGAGGGGCAACACACACACACCACATCCTCCGAACAAACGACGACGACTCGAAGAACAAGAGTATCTGACTACGGGGCTGCATTATCATGTTACATCTGACACGTTGAGATCTATTACCCTATTCCTTTTCCAGTCACATCTCTCCTATCGACTTCGCTACCTGGCCTCCCACCCTCACTCTGTCGCCTCATCATCCCTAGTCCACACACCGTCGGTCAACGTGGAAACCCGAATCTCCCATTACCGGATTTAAAAATCAAATCCCAGTGGTAACACATGGTACACTCTTCGACCTAAAGCTTGGCCTCGGTGTGTCGTCTACTTCGTACCGTACTTTCCTGCGAGAGCTCTTCCAGTTCATCATCCCCTCCTCCTCAAGCCAGGTTGTCTCGAAATCCTCTCATTCCGTATCTGAATCTCTCATTGCACATCATCTCGACGCAGCCTTGACAGAGAACTCACATCACTATCCGCTCTCCCACCACTTCGGCATATTTGGCTCGACGCTTTGCCGCTTGGCACCAACCCCGACCGTTTACCCGATCCCCTTTCCCCCCCCATTGGATCGCCTCTACCTTTTGGATTCATCTCGAGGATCATTTTCGAACGGACACCCACCCATCCTTCGACACCCATCTCACCTCAGATCTGAGTAGAGGGAGCTAGCTCTGTAGACGGGGGTCGGACAAAGGATAACGAAATAGCTGCGGCTTCCGCCATTCGGAATCGGACAGCTCTCCACGTTGGCCCCTGTCTTGTCGGTCAACCTTCTCAAAACCCCTTCAATCCGGCTCTTTGCTGCGGTGCAAGCATCGGCCCTTGGAGTCCATAGACGAAGGTCCAATCCTACATTCGTTGAATCCACTCTCCCTGCCTCCTCCTCCTTCCCCCCCTCCCCCCACAGTACCTCCTTGGCTCGTCTCCATCCCGCGACGCGCAACAGAAGGATCAAAGGAAGTATCTTGTCAGTGGAGCACTGATACATCCTAGACGACGTTGGTCGTTTACCTCAAGGGTCTGGATTCCCTTTCCCTCTTCGTATAATTCTCTATCATTTGGTGAGTCCCCAGGGAGACAGGTCGTTGTCAGTAGAAAGCTGGAGCTGACCACGTCCTCTGCGACCCTTCAGACGTGACCATTCCGCCCTTATCTGTATTGCCAGAGGTGTCGTGAGCATCCGCGCTCACGCACCGGCTCCCTCCCTCACTCTTCTTCCCTTCGCCTCCTCTCCTCTCCTCTTCTCCTTCTCCTCTCAAATCCCCCCTTCATCCGCCTCCGCAGGCTCAGGCTCAGGCTTCCACAACAACCATGTCGGCGTCCTCTCCCCGTCGCTTCAACTCGCAAGATAATGTCATTTCTGTCTCTCCACGACCTCATCGACATGCTTTCCCACCTCGTTTAGGCAGTTTCTCCGACTTTGAATCGGCCTCTCGACCCAATGTCGTCGTTGGATTCACTCCTCCGCCATCGGCTGGCTTACCAAGTGTCGCGGAAGGCTCAACGAGCAACGCCACGTCGTCGAGTACTTTTCCAGTGGCCTCGCCGAGATCGAGAGGGTTGCATCTTCAAACTTCGACGCCGGCTCAACAAGCCGCTCGACTCTCACCTCAGTTGAGCACGCCCGTTGAGCAGACTTTCAACCTTGGCATGGTCAGCTTGACGACTTCTCCTCGACATCTCGGTTCCTCGCCTCGCGGGGTGACTTATGCTGAACTTCCACCGAGATCTCGCCGCAACTCGGCTGCCATCGTTTCCATCTCCTTGTCCTCCCGATCCCGATCTCGAACTCCTCGAGGTGGTGCCGCTGCACTGCCACAATCAGACAGTGGGCACGCCACTCCCAACAAGGACTCCACAACGCCGACACCTCGACCGGACGGAACACCGTCAAAAGGCATTCCGGTCAAGGACCTGGCAGAGGATGATTGGCAACCGACGGGTGGCATGCTTCTGGACGATGGCGTGGGGGATGGCAGGAACGATGAAGCCGTCGTGGATGATGATCTAGACGATGATGGACGACAATGGACTTTTGACGACGAAGGCGATGATGAAAGGGCCGTAGAGGATGTGCTCTCGCCAGGCATGTTGTTCGGTGAAGGTCAGGAATTTCAAGGAGAGATTGTGCAGCCTGCAGTCAGGCAGGTCGCTGGAGAATCTGGTGCACAAGGGTACCCACTTAGGCGCGGGGAGAGCGAGATTGGCAAAACAACTCGAGGCGATCCCGCTCAGAAGCCGAAAAAGGTTTACGAGGTCATCAGACAACTCGGATCTGGAAGCTATGCCGTGGTGTATCTGGTACGGGAGAAAGGCGGTCGCAAGCGAGAGTATGGTGAGTCAATTAAGATTGAGCCCTTGCTGATACCTTTGAAAAGCTCTCAAGTGTCTGAGCAAACAAGATCTTGAACCTGAACAGATTGAGACCCAGCTGTTTGAAGCTACAATCCACCTGTCCCTGCCCATCCACAAAAACATTGTCACGCTTCACCAAACGTTCCATACCAAACGATGGCTCTTCTTGATGCTGGAATTATGCCCTGGAGAGGATCTGTTCTACTGGCTGGAAAAGTCGCGTGATGCTTCACCACCCGTTGTCAATCATCGACTGCCCGAAGAATCTCATCCCATGTCTTCGTCTAAATTCTCATCTTCGTCCATCCCATTTTCATCCTCTCAAATGTTCCCCAATATCAACTCTCATTTTGGATCCTCCATATCCAACTCGCCCACCAACCACTTTACTGGTGCTTCTCATGGAACATCGCCTGCTTCTCTCTTGTTTGCTCATCACAACAATCACTCGCATTCATCTTTTGCCATGGCTCAGACTCCACCTACGCCCAGTCTCCTTTCTGCGTTCGCAGCCAACACTCTTCTCTCACCCCGACGACTTCGACTGATCGCGTCAATGTTCAGCCAAATGTGCGAATCCGTTGCCGTCTGTCACGACGCAGGGGTCAGTCACAGAGATATCAAACCTGAAAATTTCATCTGCTGTGACTCTGTCGAACTGGAGAGCGCCGTCACTGCGGATGCAGAGGATGACGACATGGATTTTGGACCCCAGGCGAAGCGCAAAGTCATTGTCAAGCTCACCGACTTTGGTCTCGCCACGGCCGAGGTGGAGAGTGGCGATGTGGAATGCGGTAGCAAGCCTTACATGTCGTATGGTGAGACAATCCTATTTCGCCAAATGAGATGAGACATGCGTTGAGCTAATCCCCCCCATCAGAGTGCCGAAACAATCTCGGACCGACTTACCTTCCGGCTCCGGCTGATGTGTGGTCGCTCGGGATCGTCCTCATCAATATGCTGTTCCACCGTAATCCATGGAAGGATCCTACACCTGGAGATCCAAATTTTGACAAGTTTCTACGTGATCCCACTGGATTCCTCTTGGCCAAATTTACGGGTATCGGTCGAGAAGTCGCGACGTACCTTGCCGAACACGTCTTGTGTACTGAGGTCGAAGACCGAGTCACCGCTAGGGAGTTCGGTAAATGGATCAAGGGTCTCACCGAGATGATTGCCGGGAGGAAAGCTGTCAACGCGCTCAAGCTTGCTCGGATCGAAGCTAAGAACGATAAATCCAACGGCTCAATGTTCGCCAAAGCACCTGTCAATGCGGCCCAATCGCAAGCAAAAAACAAGTCATCATCTGCACTCACAAACTCGGCTCCTATTCAACAAGCGGTGACTGCTCCTTCATTGTCGTCCTTGCCTCCTCCCTCTACGCTGGTCGAAAAGGCGCTAGAGACGGCACCAGATGAAGTCGAGCTCACTACACCTGATCTTGACAAAGACGTCGAAGGTGAAGAGCTTGCATCTGCTTCGACCGTCGATGGACAAATGACCCCCGCCGATTCACGAAACGTGGTATCTCCCGAAGTCCCTGATCCTGATACGACAGAACCGCCCGCCAATGTTATGGACTCTGACGCGCAATCCCTTAGCACCCACAAGCGACGGAAAAGAGGAGCTCGAAAGGGCAAAGCGGCTCAAGCTGCTGCTCTTGCTGCGGCTCAGACCGATGACGGCACCAAGCAAGGCCGCGATATGCTCTTGTCTGAATTTGCCGCTGCCGCGCAGTCTCTCGCTCGAGATTTGTCAAAGAAACCTCGACGTGCCGAAGTGGACAGCCCGATTGAGTTCCCACCACTGGGGACGACTCCAAACGAGATATCCGCAGTGAAAAAGTCCAAATGGAAGGATTTGATGAAGTTTTCATCTGATAATCCCGAGCTGCAGGCTCTCGCTCGACGAGTCGCTGAACGCGATGGGTCCAGTGGCGGCAATTGGTCTGCACCGGCAAAACTGCAGCAAGATGCCAATCGATACTCTGGAGCGAGTCGACCCGGTCTCAAGCAGAGTTACACGCAGACGGCGACCATGTCATCTGGCTTTAGCAGTGGCTTGTCATCTTTCGGTCCAGTGTCAAGCGCTACCAGTAGCAGCGGTGGCGTGGATGATGAGGACTGGAGAAAGCGCGTGCCAGAGGACAAGGTGGACGAAGATTCCAGTGATCGACAGGAAGCTGCCGATGCGGCCGATGAGAGACAATTCAGGCGACATCGAGGAAGGGAAGAAGATCTGACCCGAGCTCGACAAGCCGCTCTCGCTGCCGCTGCCTTGACTGGTGGTTTGGATACTATGGGTCACTTTGGCGCTGGTCCTGGTTCTGCAGGAGTACACCGAAAGACACCTGTCGGAGGATACAATAATCGAACGTCGATACCTATAGGAACGCAAGCTCGTCTGCCAGCTCTGATCCCGTCTCAAACGACACAAGGGATCTCGCACCGATTGACTTCGACATTGACAAGTGATGAATCGAATGATTTGCCAAATGGCGACGCGCCTCCTAAACGTTTGGTCATGTCAAGTTCGGTGTCCGCACCGATGATCACCAAGCATTCGATGGGAAATTCATCCTTGTCCAGTGAACCTACCACTGTCTCTCGACCGATCATTCCGAGCAAGGAGAGTAGTCAAAGTACCATCACGACTTCCATTTCGCCTCCTTCTACATCATCGTACGCGCATGGGTCGACGACGGCAGTGGATCAGAATGCATCTCCCGGGAGTGGAGGAGGACCCAACAAGCCGAAATTGAAAGGTCAAATTCAGAGTCTGGCCAAGATGCTGAGTGGACTCAAGACAAAGGGGAAAGATTGAGCGCGTGGCTGGCTCGTGGAGGTTGTATAAGGCTGCTGCGAGAAAGTGACGGAACGAAGGGAGAAATGATGGTCAGAAGGTCTCGAGAAAGATTCATCACATCATGTTGTATTTGGGGTTGTGGATGGATAAGGAAGGAAACAGGACGTGTAATAACATCAAAGCGCATGGGTTGGTGGGGAAGAAAGTGTGGCACACAGGAAAGGCAATGCGTGAAAGCCATCGATGGATAGAGAGACATGGGAAAGGATGAAGGCATCGAGCGAAGGTTGAAGGCATCCACTCCTCTCTCTCTCTCTCCCCTCTGTTAGTGTACCAAATCAAAATGCATGTAACCCTCACATCTGTACGAGTTTGACCTGGACGATTCGCCCAACGTGACGGGATCAAAATTGGGAAAATCGCAACGCGAGTGACTTTTTTCCAAAAACCCTGAGAACTGTGGGATGGATGGATGGATGGGGTTGGAATCAACAACATTAATCCGATCATCATCATACTTCTTCTCATTCTCATTCTTCGATCCACCTGTTACTGATTGTCTTCTTTTGGGATCTTGAGTCGCGAGTCAGAGGGCACTGAGACGACCCTGTCAGGTGTTTGGATCATCCTGTAGCCCGTGGAGATCCTCGGAGCGCAAAAACATTCTCTGATCGACCAGCCTCATTATTAGCGTTCGTCATCCATCCTTCCTTCCTTCATTCCTTCACCGGCATTCAATACAGCTCCGCGATATCGACAGAGGTGCTCAGCCTGACTCGGCCATCCATCATGGTGAATGCAGGATACGCTGCCCCAGGTGTCGCCAGGGCCGCAGCAGTACCACCTCCACCACCCCCCGCGACTGCAGCTGCAGCTGAAAAGGTCAAAGAGGGGAAGTTTGTTCCGCCTTCACCACCGAGAGTCATCAAAGATAGGAATGGTGGATGGAGATATACACGTGTAGGCTTCTTGGGCGAGGTGAGTCGGGCCGCACCGCAGAGAATGACATGGGGGCTTTTCTCAACTGACTCGTACCCAACCCCCTCAGGGCGGATTCGCTCGAGTCTACGAAGTCCAAGATCAGAATGGAAACCATAAAGCCATCAAAGTGGTCGCAAAACAGTCTATACGATCAAAGAAAAACAAGACAAAGGTGGGTTGGGCTGGGTTGGGTTGGGTCAATCGCGACCTCGAGCTGTTCTTCAACGACGCGATGTGCTCATTTTCACCTCTTAGCTCTGGGCAGAAATCAAATTGCACCAAATGTTATCGCATCCTCATATAGTGGCGTTTGAAGACTGTTTCGAGGACGAGGAGAACGTTTACATGGTACTGGAGTTGTGCGAACATGGAGTGAGTCGATGTTCATCCTAAAACATTGGGTTAGCTGGCTCGCTCACCCATGGCGCCTTCTCTTCCAGAGCATGATGGACCTCTTGAGACGGCGGAAACGATATACAGAAGCTGAGACACGATACTACGTCCTTCAAATCATCGCTGCGTGTCAGTACATGCACTCCACCAATGTCATTCATCGAGATCTCAAATTGGGAAACTTGTTCTTGGACGCAGAAATGAATATAAAAGTTGGGGATTTCGGATTGGCAGCTTTGATAGAGAAGCCAGGCGATAGGAAAAAGTAGGGTCTTGGCGACGCGGTAGATTCTGATGACGTCCTGACGATCGACTTCAGGACAATCTGCGGGACGCCAAATTATATCGCCCCTGAGGTTCTGTTTGATACGGCCAATGGGCATTCGTTCGAGGTCGACGTATGGTCTGTCGGAGTCATCCTGTGAGTCCTCCACATTCCGGCACGAGCATAGTGCACTGCCTGACCGGTACGGGTAGATACACTCTGCTCATTGGTAAACCTCCATTTCAAACAAAAGACGTCAAAGCGATCTACAAGCGTATACGAGAGAACCGATACGACTTCCCTGAGGACAAGGCCATCTCAGATTCAGCCAAAGACCTCATTTCTACCATCCTCAACCCAAATCCAGGTGAGTGGATAGAGGCATCGACAAGGTTGGAAACTGATCATGAGTTATCAGACAAACGACCCACCCTTGATGCCATTTTAACCCACCCCTTCTTCCTCTCCGCTCCCTTCCCCGCTCAGATTCCTCTCACAGCCAACGATGTTGCGCCTGAATTCCGACATGTATCAAGCACGCAAAGTCGCCGGAACTTCCAGATGGCACTGCAACGTTCCAAGGTTGGCGTGACCTTGCCAATTCTTACGGATGCCACACGTCTAAAGACTGCATTGGGTCCGTCGATCCTGCAGCAGGAACGAGACTTCAAAATGGCGGTCCAACCCAACAGTCCGATCTCTGCTTTACTCACGTGCGTCATCCGACTGCGCGCACAATGCCATACTGACATTGCGTAGATCTGCACGTCAACCCTTGGTTCAAGCACCGACACAAATCAAAGAGCCATCCCTATTGCGCAAGCTCGAAGCCGCTGGCGCACATGCTACACTCAGTCCAGCTCGACGCGGGCACGCCAGTGTCAAACCTGGGTCCTCGCTAGGTCCAAATCGTCGTCATATGGATCGTTTGGGCGAAGAGGAGGCAGAGGAGATCATGGAGGAAGACGAGGAGGACGAAGGTATGCCTGGGCCTCATGAGCGAGAGGGTGTACATGATGATCCCCTTGCGAGAGAAAGAGAGGTGGCCAATCAAAAGGCTCGGATCGTCTCTGGTATGACGCCGCGAAAGGCAACAGCGGCACGGACAACAGAGGCACGAGCATCACCGAGACGGCCAATGTTGGCGCCTGCGAAGACCATGTCTGCTCTGTCACTGGGCCCTCCGAATGGATACGACGCGAAGCCGAGTGCACCGCTCGCGAAGCCTGTACAGAAGACTAGCTTGTTCGATGTGATTGCTCAGACTCTTGATACTGCCATGTCGTCCGAACGTCCGTTCAAGTCACCGCGTGAGTGCTAGTATGTGTCCCTTGGGCCTGAGCTGACGGTTGCCATTCCAGACATTGAGCCGAATCCTGAGGCGCCTCGCGTGTTTGTCATCTCTTGGCTCGACTACTGCACGAAGTATGGTATGGGATTCGCAATGACGGACGGGACGGTCAGTGTCCACTTCAACGACTCCACCTCTCTTGTCTGGGCACCTGGAAAGAAACACTTTGATCACGTTGAACCTGCCTCGAACGGGGAGATCATCCGACGCAACTATCCCATCGAAGAATACCCTCGGGACCTCAACAACAAGGTCTACTTGCTCAAGCATTTCGAAGGGTACATGTTGGAGCGCTTGGTCGGAAACTACGACTATGTGTACAGTGATCGAGAGTTGACAAAAGGCATGGTGTTCGTTACGAGGTACCTGCGGATGAAGCACGTCATCTTGTTCCGGCTGTCGAATGATGTCTTGCAGGTGGGTCGAGAGGCGCGTGCAGCCTGACTTGCGCCGGGCGCTCATATGCTCGCAGTTCAACTTTTACGACCACACCAAATTGATTTTATCCCGCGAGGGAAACGTGGTGTCGATCATTGACAAGTCTTACACCCTCCGAACTTGGAGCCTGGAAGCTCTGCTTACTCCACTGGCAGACGATGTGTCGCCCAGGGAGAGAAAGAGGATCGAAGGTGTTATTCATAAACTCAGCTATGCCAGGTGGGTTGAACCTTAATTCTCCTGAACGTTTATTGATCTGTCTCTCTACAGGGACGTTTTGCTCAAAATCCGATCTCATAGTACGAGCAAGCCTCGGCCGGAGGGTGGGGTTGGATCCGCACCTGTCTCAAAGACTGGCTCATCGCCAGTGAAGGAGAGGGATCTTAGGCCTATTAGGGGATAGGCGTTGATTTGGGGACGCACATGATGTGTGTGTCCCGCGAGCGAGCTGTTGGAATCTTGGAAGGGACGATGGATGGGACCAACGAGTCACGAACGTCATGAACGTCACGGACACCGATACGTATGCTGTAATTTAATGTTCTTGGGCGACCGACTGCATTTGCATTGACTATTCTGGTTACCACCATCAGGGGGGAGTTTGTGGATGCCATTATAGCTTGTACCCAGAGCGGAATCAAATTTCCGGGAAAATCAACAATCGAACATGGTTTTTGGGTCACAACAAATCAGTCATTAGTTGATTTTGAGGTCAATCAACATTGGTTCTTCTGGTCGTCGTCTGAGTTTCTTCGTGCACTCAGCCCAACCTGCGACAAGAGTGAGTCAAGCTGCATAGCTACTGTGACTGCAGCAACTGTCTGAGAAGTTCAAGGAGTGGGTTCGTGGGAGTGCAGGGGTCAATATCGGAGAGTTGGCGACACGCGACTGATTTCCAAAGTCTGGTGAGACAACATACCTACCTACCTATATGAAAATTACATGATTGATCTGGATGTCCCCCCGCTTTCACCCTATCAGGATCTCCAAGCAATGTCTTTACCCTCATCGATATCATACAATACAAGAAGTTCATCCAGTACCCGACTTGCTCAGACTTCTCTCGTATCCTCCGCTCGGACATTGGGACCAGCCCCTCCTCCGTTAGCAGCTCGAACTCGATCAAAGACGAGGATATCCATCTACACTGATCAATCATCGTCTTCAACTCATCGCACGCCTGATCAGAAGCATCGAAAGTCGACGACAACTACGACGAGTACTACTACTACTACTACAGCTACTCGCGCAGCTCTCGGTGATATGCCCATGAATACCTTTACGGAGCCTCTGAGGCTTGCTGGAAGTATGGGCGGCGGCGGCGGCGGCGGCGGCGACGGCGGTGGCGGCGGGAAACGGAAAGCAGTCGACGAGGATGAACGACCAATGAAAATGGCCCGAAAGGATTACAGCGTATCTCTTGTACCTGGATCCACCCAACGAACCAAATCACCTTTGAAGACCAAGACGAGTACACCGAAACGGATAGCCAAATTCTTTTCCTCACTCACACCTGGCAAATCAAAGATCCAACAACACCAACAACCACAACCTCCACCTCAAGCTGTACCGATGCCTGCTCGAGTCCTCCTTATTCCGAAGAAAGCGAGCTTCATGACGCCCAGTAGACCAAAGCCGATGGTCGGTAACGAAGCGATGGACGCCGGGGACTCGGAGGACTCTGATGACGATATCGGAGAAGAAGAAGCCAATTCATACGTCCCTCGACCCCCTACTCCTCCTAGACCGCATATTCAGACGGCCCGGACTCCTTCTGGTCCTATACTTCCGCCCAAAACAGCTTCATTCGTGATCTCACCACCTGTTCTTGCTCGAATCGAACCTGGCCCGTCCCCCGAGACTGATCTGTTCAGCCCCAAAAAGGAGCCTGCGCATGTCAGGGCCTCTCCTCAGGTCGATAGTCGGCGAGTTATTGCTAGACTCTCCTTCTCGCCCATCAAGGACGCCGCTCCTGCAGTCAGCATCACCAAGCCGAGTACAGGTGTGGCGGAACAACAAGAGCCACAAGGTTATGAAGAGCCGCAAGCACATGAAACCGTAAACAGAGCGGAACAGGAGAAGCCGACGGAGGATAAAGCTTCATCCGAAGTCATTGGATCAGCTTCCTTCCCGGACACAATAAGGTCCGAGACTGTCACCGATGGACCCTCCTTGACACAACGCCCGACTCCTGCCATCAATGGTCCGCCGCCCAGCCGTATTCCATCTGCTTCCAGATTACCCCGTTCGTCGGCTCCAACTGTTACATCCCTGCGTGCTCTGTCGGAACCTACGAAACCGCTCATTCGAGGGAGCATGCCGCCGCCTTCCGCCTTCCCAGGTCATCAAGGTGTCAGTCGACTCCCCTCAGCAATTGGCAAGGGTTTGCCATCAACCCTGACAAGCTCCTCGGGTATGACAACGACAGCTGCTTCCGTCAATCCCAAAGCATCGAGCTCGTCAGATAGTGAGGCTCTGCGCAAAATATCCTATCCTTCATCTCTTGGTTCAGGACACCCCTCCCGTCCGCCTAGCTATACGATCCCAGACACTCAACCGACCAGGAGCATCCTGAAACCGTCGCACGAATCTCAAGAGAACATTCGCCCTCCGCCGTCCTCTATCCCTCGGTTGGCTATTGCTCCACGCATAGTCTCCGAGCCGGTCACGCGAACACCGACCCTTCCGCCTCCCCGTCTCAGTGCGTCGACCACAGCCACGACGACCCGCGAAGGCATATCTGCCGAGACATCGGAATCATTAGCTGGGCTCTCCAGTGCCCTCAGCAAGCTCAAGACCAAGCGAGCAGTATCTATCTCTGTACCTCCCAAGCCAGCTATATCCATCGCGTCTACCTCGACATCCGCCCAGGCATCCCCCGAAGAGAAATCGACAGTGGGCTTTCGATCAACTTCCTCTCGAGTCGCGTCTATCCATCGACCTCGAGGATCAATACTGGATCCTGGTCATGCAGGGGACGAGTCGATGGTATCTGCCAACGGTGAAGAGGGAGGCGGTGTTGCCGACCGCTCACTTGCCGCTTTGATGGTCTCGTCTGGAGGGCAAGGCTGTATGAAGCGCGTCGTGGCATTTGTCGACGTTAGAACGGCGGAGGGAGACGAGGCGGGCGTGATCTTTTCCGACATGCTCAGGTCTCTCGGGGCTCGTGTGAGTCATCATGAAGTAGCTAAGCAGTGACCTCTGGGCTGATCTCTCTTGTCGCAGGTCATTTCTAGACTGACGGACAATGTCACTCATGTCATTTACAAGTCCGGCAGACAGACCACTTTGAGCTGGTGGAGACGGCAGGACGAGGAGACCCGACCTTTCATTGTGGGTATAGGGTGGGTCACCAAGAGCAAAGAGAAGGGGGAAAAGCTGGACGAGGGGGCGTTTGCAGTCAATGTGGAGGATGAGGATGTGTTTTCAAAGGTGAGCAAGCGTGAGCGGATGCAGGAGGCATGCTGACGGTGTCTTGCAGAGGAGAAAGTCTATGGAGCCTAGGATGTTGTCAGGGAACTATCAGAGACCTGTACTAGGCAGTGGGTTGTATGGACTGGCTTGGCCTTGGAAACGTTGCTGACTCTGGCTAGGTGCAGATAAGAGTTTGAACGCCAATGCTTTGAAGAGACGGTCAATGATCCATGCTCGTAGGTGCAATGGACCCATCAGTGAAATCAGTCTGACATGTATGGTTCAGCTCTGGTAGGGTCGCCATTAAAAAAGGCGTCCATCGGAAAGATAGTTTGAGATTGCAGCAAGGACAGCAGGAGATCTTGTGTCGATAAGTGGTGCAGATTTCAGTGGACTTATGATCAGCATGCGACGAGATGATGACATGAATCGAGGTATTTCGATAGGGATATGCACAACGTCAAAGGGTCCAAGAATGATAACTGTACAAGAGCGCGTCCGTGTCTATGTGTCGGGTCGGGTCGTGTCGAGTCTCAGGGGGTAAGCTACCATCGTATCGATAAGAGGAATGTACTTCGCGGAGAGGTCAGAGAGATTCCCACCGAGTTCAAACCAGTCTCGAGGGGTCCAAGCCTAGGTATGGTAGTTCCAGTGTTTGCCTATACTGAGCGACCATCGTTTGCCTAATTGTGTATCAGCGATGTCGAGGGCAATGCGCTAAGAGGCGACACAAGCGAGCTTTGAATCAGAGACAACTGGATACTGACCATGTATGTTCAAGCGGACGAACTAGGTTCAAATGGTCAGAAGCTAATTCACATACGATCCAGTCCACCATCACTCACGCCTGGAATGATCGGTATGCTCTTGTTATCTGTAAAGAGGATTCAGAACTGTTGGTTCGAAGCTGAATACTCACATGTCCAACCCATGTTTTGAAGCGGCGAAAAGGAGACTGAAGACAGGGTAGAGAAAGTCTTGGGTCTTGAATACCGGCTCGAAGGTGCACAAAGATGTGTTCCTGCAATGACCTAAGTGCCGAAGTGGCCCCTTTCGGTTGCTCAGGCTGGACGAAGATGAAGGTCTCAATCCAACCTATATCTCAATCATCACAGCTTCCCGCCTGAAACGTTCCTGTCCTGAACAACAAGCAGCCACGTGGTGATATTATGTAAGAAAGTTGCCACTCGAAGCTGTTCGCTGGCTCAAAAGCCTTCAACGTTATTTATGCAAACGCTTCGTCTTGCCTTATTTGACTTCAGCATGACTGACCCGGGGACGAAGATATCCTTCGCTTTTGGCGGAGCAGGTAATCATCATGGAGCTTCTAGCAGCTCTGGATCAGCCGCAGCGCCCATGTCGAACATGGCAAAGCTGCTAGCACAAGCTCAAGCCAAAAGTAGTGGCTCGGGCTCTGGCTCTGGACAGAGCAAGAAGGCCGCCACCGTGAAGACTAAAGCTCCCGCCGGCAATCTGTTCGGAGACGATGATGACGAAGATAGTGGACGACAATCAGGACCTAGCCTAGCTGGTCCTTCGAAGCCTCAGGCAACGAGACCAGGAGAAAAGAAACCCATCTCTCGAGCTGAAAGACGCGCACAGGAGGAAGCGCTGCGAGTTGATGCGACAGTCTTCGACTATGATGGCGTATATGATGGGATGAAAGCTGCTGAACGAGAAATTGAAAGGGCAAAGAAGGAAGAGACGGCCGAGCGGAAACCTAAATACACTGAGAGTTTTCTGGCTGCGGCTCAGACTCGGAAGCTGGATCGACTGAGAGCGGAGGAGAAAATGTTACAGTTGGAGCGGGAGAAAGAGGGCGGACAATTCGATGATAAGGACAAGTTTGTTACCGAGGCGTATAAGAAACAGATGGAGGAGGTCAGAAAGGCCGAAGAGGAGGAAAGGATACGAGAGGGTGAGTGGGAATGTGCCGTATTCGAACGCATGGGTTGTGCTGACCGTCCTACAGAGGAAATCAGAAAGAGCAAGAAAGGGACTGGACTCAGTGCATTCTATCAGACAATGCTGGATGATGATTCGAAGAGGCACGCTGCCGCTGTGGCTGCGGCGCACGGGTCGACGGACTCTGGACCAAACCTGTCTATTCGACCCCCAACTCAACCGGACTACGAACCTGAAGTCGAGTATGATCCTTTTCTCGCTCAAGAGGCGAGAGCGAGACAGACCGGGACGGAGGCGTCGGGCTCCTCTTCGCAGAGGAACGCAGGGACGACCTCTACATCTGAGGACACTGGTAAAGAAGTTGTGATCAATGACGATGGCGAGGTGGTCGACAAACGATCACTCTTGAAAGCCGGTCTCAACATCATGAAGAAGCCTTCCGCCAACCTTCCAGACTCTCTTCTCACATCTCAACGCTCGGGACAGACGATGGACGGTCCATACAAATCACGGGCAGTGGGAACCGCAGCTTCGTATCAAGAGCGCATGGAACGAGAGAGAAAACGATTGGCAGAGGAATTGAAGCGGGATGCAGAGAGGAAGAAGGAAGCTGAAGAAGAAGCTCAACGGGCAGAAGAAGAAGCTGCGAGGAAGAGAAGAGAGGGTAACGATGGGGAAGCAATGAAGAAGAGAGAAGAAGCGAGATTAAGATTCTTGGAACGAAAGAGGGCAAGAGAGCAGGAGCAGGAAGAAAAGAGCAAAAAGGCAAAAAAGGATGAGGAAGATGACAGTTGAGCAGGAGATCCCAAGTGATGCAGCATTCTACACGGGAACGCAAAATTCTCGCTCGAAACGAATCGCCATTGTCCTGTGTACCGTACCCCGTCGAGCGAGGCAACACCTGCCCAGCAGTGATCCGTCAAGCGATGGACGACAAGGGTATTCAGGAGAACAGAGAGATATAATAAGGCATGTAACGCCTTTGGCATCGTCCTCGTCCGTGCATTCAACCTTCGCTAGACCAGCATGTTGGAGAGCAGTCATGAAAAGATGCAGGCAAGCGAAACCCCAGTGCTTTGTCTGTGACCCGTCTGTAGAAGCGATCTGCACGGACGCCGTCATGAAGTCAAAAAGAAAGTGCTTTCAAGCGCCTGAGATTCCATATAATCCTCCTCCGCGATGCCTTCGTCGAAATAGCGGTAGTATCTGCCACATCCAGCAATCGTCACGTGTGTGATAAGATCGCAACAAAGCGCCACGTCATATCCGAAGGGGGCCGCTGCTCTCCGATCACCTCAGCGTTGGAAAAAGAAAAAAGTTGTGAACGCCAACTCCCCCCATAATAAATATATATTCCACGTCCATCCATCTTGTTCTCTTCTCCATTCTCCCCCTTCTCTCTCATCCCAAAAGTACCATCCATACGTTTTCAAACAGCAAGAATGGTCAAATCAGCCGTCCTCGGATACCCACGTATCGGCGTGGGTAGATCCATGAAGAAGGTGCGTCGATTCTAGTGTTGCCGGCACTCCCGCATCTCGATCCGTACTCATCTGTAACGTCAGATCATCGAGTCCTACTGGGCTGGAAACGCTTCTGCCGAGCAGCTCCAGGAGACTGCCAAGAGCGTCAGGAAGGAGCGATGGGAGACCATCAAGAACGCCGGTGTGGACATCATCCCAAGGTGAGGCAGATCCTCGCTTATACTCGTTCCGCATTGACACGTTTTTCACAGCGGAGAGTTCACTCTCTACGACCAACTCCTCGACCACTCTTACAACTTTGGCGTCATCCCTGAGCGATATGCCTCTCAGCAGCTCAACGGTCTTGACACCTACTTTGGTGAGAGGTGTCTCTCGTTGAGCCGGATTGAACGCTGACTTTCACAGCCATGGGCCGTGGTCGACAGGACAAGGCCAAGGGTGTCGATGTCGTCGCTTGCGAAATGGGCAAGTAGTGAGTACAGCAGGTCCAAGGGTCTCTGTCCCGCCGCTGACAACTACCCAGCTTTGACTCCAACTACCACGTTGTCAAAGTCCCTCACGCCCCCAACACCGAGTTCAAGCTCAACCAAAACCAGCAACTCGCTGAATACGAAGAGGCCAAGGCTCTCGGAATCATCACTCGACCCGTCATCTTTGGTCCCATCACCTACCTCTCCCTCGTCGCCAAGTCCCGTGAGGCTCCCGCCGACTTTGAGCCCCTCTCCTTGCTCGACAAGCTCCTCCCAGTCTACAAGGAGCTCCTTTCTCAGCTCAAGGGAGCTGGTGTCGAGCACGTCCAGATTGACGAGCCCATCCTTGTCCTTGACAAGGCCGAGGCTTGGGGATCCGAGTACAAGAAGGTTTACGAGGCCTTGGCACCTGTCGCTCCTAAGATCACCATCACCTCTTCCTACGGCCGAGTTGGCAAGAGCATCGAGTACCTGAAGTCTTTGCCCATCTACGCCCTCCACCTCGACTTGGACCGTGAGCCCAAGCAGCTCGACGAAGTCCTCGCTGCTCTCAAGTCCACCGACATCAACATTGAGCTCGGTCTCGTGTCCGGACGAAACATCTGGAAGACCGATCTCAAGGCCGCCAAGGCTCTCGCCGAAAAGGCTGTCTCCGAGCTCAGCTCTGAGCGAGTCAACGTTTCCACCTCATCTTCCCTTCTCCACACCCCTATCTCCGTCAAGGTCGAGAAGAAGCTCACTTCTGAGCAATTGAGCTGGCTCTCGTTTGCCGAGGAGAAGTGCGAAGAGGTCGCCGCTCTTGCACAAGCTCTCAACGGAAAGGAGTCTTCCCTCTTTGAGCAGAACACCAAGGACATCGCCGCCCGAAGAGAATTCGAGCGAAGCTCGGACTCTGCTGTCCGAGACCGAGTCGCCTCGATCTCTGAGGAGATGCTTTCCCGAAAGTCTCCTTTCGCTACCCGACGAGAGGCTCAGAAGAAGCACCTCAACTTGCCCAAGTTCCCCACCACCACCATCGGATCTTTCCCTCAGACCAAGGAAATCCGACAAGCCCGTGCCAAGTTCACCAAGGGCGAGATCACCAAGGAGGAGTGAGTGACTTTAAAGTACGCTTGGCGTGAATTCTTGCTAACTTCCATAACAGGTACGAAAAGGCTATGGAGGCCGAGATCCAGAACGCTGTCGACTTCCAGACCAAGGTCGGCCTCGACTTGTTTGTTCACGGTGAACCCGAGCGAAACGACATGGTCCAGTACTTTGGAGAACAGCTCAACGGATTCATCTTCACTCAGGTGAGCCAGCTCATCGTCAATCTAACGCGCGCGCTGACCCTTGGCTAGCTTGGATGGGTTCAATCTTACGGTTCCCGATACGTCCGACCTCCTATCGTCGTCTCGGATGTCTCCCGACCCTCCCCTATGACCGTTCGATGGTCCGCCTACGCTCAGAGCCTCACCGACAAGCCCATGAAGGGAATGTTGACTGGACCTGTCACCGTGAGCTCGAGTGCAGATCAATCGAAAGAAAATACTGACGTTCTGCAGATCCTCAACTGGTCTTTCCCCCGTGCGGATGTCTCCAAGGAGGTTCAATCCAAACAGCTCGCTCTCGCCCTCCGAGACGAAGTCGTTGACCTTGCCAACGCCGGTATCAAGGCCATTCAAGTCGATGAGCCTGCCATCCGAGAGGGTCTCCCCCTGCGAAAGGCCGACTGGGACAACTACCTCACCTGGGCAGTCGACTCTTTCCGTCTCTCCACCTCTGGAGTCGGAGACGACACTCAGGTCCACTCCCACTTCTGCTACTCTGACTTTGGAGACATTTTCCCCTCCATCCAGCGATTGGATGCCGATGGTGAGTCAACACTTCACGCCTGCAGGGCTTCGTTGCTGAATGCTGGCAGTCATCTCCATCGAGGCTTCCAAGGCCGACCTCAAGCTTCTCGACGTCTTCAAGTCGTACGGCTACTCCAACGAGATCGGACCTGGTGTCTACGACATTCACTCTCCTGTAAGTTGCTCATCAGGCCCGAAGATACAGTTCTGACATCGTCTGTAGCGTGTTCCTGGTGAGCAGGAGATCAAGGACCGACTTGAGGCCATGGCCAAGGTTTTGCCTGCCGATAACCTGAGTGAGCTAGCTCCATTTGGCCTCGAGCTGTAGACAACAGCTAATAGTACTTTCAGTCGTCAACCCTGACTGTGGTCTCAAGACCCGAGGCTGGAAGGAGACCGAGGAGTCCCTCTCCAACTTGGTCGCTGCCGCTCGATGGGCTCGATCCAGCCTCGTCACTGCCTAAGTGCGCGAGTGTCCTTCCCGGAAAGAAATAAGAGGTTTCAACAGCCTTGTCCCAACCCAATAGAGTTCTGTGTTTCTGGTCACTCCATTCGATCACCCATCATTGTACATACCATCTAGTCCAAATATACCCTCTACAACACCACCCACAATCGAACCTTTTCTATCACGATCCTACTCCCAATATAACAAGGAGAATGACAACGAGTCTAGACTGCCAGCGGCGCAGGTTGTGAAGGAGGAGGAAGAGTAGCAGCAGTAGTCGCATAGATACAGTAGGAATAAAGCAAAAGAAATGAAAGTCTGTTCAACCGGAAAAATAATCACCGGAAGCAAAGTCTCCGAAACCAGTCGCGTCGAAGTTGTGTCATGTTGAGGACACTGTCTCCTTTCATCTGTTGGCAATGGACCAGACGTTGAGGAAAGGACGCATATCATGGCCACGGTAGTAGATCACTTCCCGTCTCGCCCTCTATGTCCTTCGCCGCGTTTCCATTGGACTCTGTCGGCTTGACGCCTCATCAGCTAGCGGCATGTACACGAGGTGAGATCGATAGACTTCCCTTCGAGTCCGCATAGGTTGTTTGAGGTCTTGGGAGGAAATTGACGACCTATGCTAGCTGGATTGTCTACCGCAACGGATATACTCACGCCATCGCCTGCAGAGCTCAATCGGAAGCTCAAATTCCACAAGCTTGAAGCGGTGCATGCGCTAGTGGATGCCGTTAGCCGAGGTATATCGCCGGTCACTGGGAGACTCGATGAATTGCTGGATGCTGAGGCGCGATTTGGGCTTGTGAGATATGGAAGTGAGGAAGCGGGACCTTCGAGGTCATTGAGAGATGGCCGAAACGAGCAGGAAGGCTTAGAGAATCCGGATTCTCTTGTTCTGACGTGGGGTCAAGGTGATTGGGTCGGGACTGGAGATGCGGAGTTTGATCTGGCTCTAGGTGGTGGTTTGAGAATAGGGACCATCACAGAAATTACTGGAGAGAGGTGGGATATCAATGAACAGCCATCGTGAGGCCACGACTGATGCCTGGTCCTGCAGTGCCGCTGGGAAATCTCACTTGACGCTCTCATTAGCCATCACGGCTCAGCTGTCGGCCTGCACTACTCGGCCTGGAGGTGTCTTACTGCTTGCTTCAGAGAGGGAGATCTCGACAGATCGACTGGTACAGTTGGCAAAGACGACGCTAGCGAAGAGCAATGACAACAGGGATCGCCCCAATGTGAAATCCTTACTTGACAATGTTCTTACTTGTCAGGTGAACGATGTAGAATCGCTCGAGCATGCTCTATCATACAAAGTGCCTATGATGCTGGAGTCGAGGTCGACAATCAACCATTCAGCCTCGACAGATCAGCGTCCTGGCGATACCGCCACGAGCGCTACCCGACCTAGCTCGCATACACCGATCCGACTCCTCATCATTGACTCGTTGACTGCGCTGGTCAGAGGATCCGATACGTATGGTCAGAACAGTACGGCTGGTCTTACACTTCGTTCTCGACATCTATGCTCTATATCGGACAAGCTCAAAGCCCTTGCTGCGCAATTCAAATTAGCCATAGCAGTCGTCAACCAGGTCTCGGACGTTTTTGCTCGACCCCCACCGCTGCCCAGCTCTCTCGCGAATGGATCTCAAAAATCTTCCCAATTATCTCAATATTATTCCGACTATCCTGAACCGCCTATGCTCTACGCTACCCAGGCCCGATGGTTCTCTGGGCAGAGTGACACGTTACTCAAGGAAGCCAGTCTGGGCATAGTATGGGCCAATGCTGTCAATGTCCGAATCATGATGTCACGGACGGGCCGACGACGATTGCTGAATCAGGAGGACCTTCAGCCCATTTCGAGGAAGAAGCTTCGAGAGCAGATGGTGCGGAAACAAGAGACCCTCGCAGTGTCTCAACAGAGTGGCTCCGCACTAGCTCTGGATGCACACGATATGGGCTTGATGGTCGATGTAGATGCTGTCAAACCGACCTTGATCAGGAGATTCCATGTGGTCTTTTCGCCATTCGCTCCGCCCAGTACAGTAGATTATGTCATCACACCCAGTGGGATACACGCCTTGCCGGAGAGCTATCGGTTGCTGCAGACACAAAAGAAGAGCAAGAACCGAAAACGGAGATCCGAGCAGATAGATGACGAAGATGTAGAAGAGGACGAAGAGGGCGATGGACGCGATCAAGTACCTTTAAATGCGACTAAAGCCGCTCAGGGTATCAGCGGCGACGTGGATGACGGTATAGTGCCCGGCTCAGATGACTTGTACGCCGAGGTATTCGATGACTTGGGAGACGTCCCGCCTGAATTCTGGGATGGAACGTGGGATGAGCGAGCGTTGGATTATAATGGTGTAGAGAGTCAAGATAGGGCCGCTGTGAGAGTGCTAGACGCTGGTGTTGTTGTATCTCATCCTGAGGGCATGTAGGCATTACATTGAAGATGGAGCGAGCGCGGTGCCAGTCCCGATTTTTTAAATGTCCGTTACCCGGCGAAGTCGTGTCGATCTCACCTCCATTTCTTATTCTGTAGTAGTATTGAGCATCAGCGATTGAAGTACATTTGAGCATGACGAAGCGCACTTGAGACATTTGGGCTGTCCTGATCGGAGCGATCGTGCTTGACGGTTCAAATGGTCAAATCAGGTAAGCGACAACGGACTATTACTGCTTCAAATGGTGACTAACCGCAAAACGCTCAAAAAGTCGTCCTTGTCACCGGCGGTTAGTTATTCATTCTTACCTCTGCGACAGCACTCAAGACTGAATCGACGGTCCGAGCAGGGTCGGGCTTGGTCGGATCAGCCATACGCCATGTGATATCTACAGAGCCCGAGGGGTCCACATTTGGCCAAAGACCTGACGAAGAATGGATCTTCCTCTCGAGTAAGGAATGCGATCTGAGGTGAGCAGAGTGATCCGCGCGGCATCTAGACCTTGTTTCCAGATTCTTGACATTGTAGTCGCTCGTATTTGCTGACGAAGCCAAATGTAGAGACTTCAACGCTACTACGAAGCTATTCGAAAAGTATCGTCCGACCCATGTCATTCATCTCGCTGCGCTTGGTGAGAGAGAGCTTCTACGCTGGGTCTCGCGACTGAGCTGATGCTTGGTCCTCCCGCTCTAGTCGGAGGACTCTTCGCCAACATGTCTAGGAAGCTCACATTCCTTCGAGACAATCTCCTTATCAACGATAGTGTCCTACAGAATAGCCATGATTTCAAGGTCTGTCCGCTCTCGGATTGTCGTCCTCGACATTGTAGCGAAAAGACTGACCGACCTTTGCCCTGAGCAGGTTCAAAAGCTCATATCTTGTTTGTCAACTTGTGTATTTCCAGACAAGGTTGGCCGATCCCCGTCCACTATAAGCCCCCTTGCGAGGTTCTCCGGCTGATCACAAATCCAGGTTGAATACCCTCTTCGCGAATCGAGTATCCATTTAGGACCACCTCATCAGTCCAACTTCGGCTACGCCCATGGTAAGCGGCTGGTGGATATCCAGAATCAGTGGGTTGAGAGAGAGGTGGGCGGGGCGAGATGGCCACTGACTCCTGAGCAGCGCATACCATGAGCAGTATGGTGATATGTTCACAAGTGTCATTCCCACCAGTGAGTTTTTGCCATCCGCGCTCGACATATGAATCCAGCTCACTCGATGTCCCAGATGTCTTTGGCCCCGGTGACAATTATGTCAGTCAGATATGATCGGCGAGCGGGCTGACTGACATTGGAGTCACTAGGATCTTGAACAGGCACATGTCATCCCTAGCTTGATCCATCGGTGTTACAAAGCAGAGAGTGAGTGCTTGATTGTGCACATCAGTCCATCTACACGCCTACCGCAAGACTCGATCGCCTGGTCGCGCAGCCGTGGCTTACTGTGATCGTAGAAGAGAACAAACCTTTTGTCATCGCAGGAACTGGCAAACCGCTCAGACAGTTCATCTATTCGAGGGATCTCGCCAAGCTGATCATTTGGACCTTGAGATATTACGAGGAGATAGACCCGATTATCTTATCAGGTAGGTCAGACGCTCACACATGAGAAAATTAGCTCAGACCCGAGCTGTGATAGTCCCCGAGACGGACGAGATCTCCATCAAGGGGGTGGGAGATGCCATCGTGAAACACGTAGGATACAAAGGCGAATACACAGTGAGCGCGACATGTCTCGCCTGCGGCCCATGTTTGCAGATCTGAATGGGTTCTGTTCAGTACGACACAACAAAATCCGATGGACAGTATCGCAAGCCAGCGAGCAATGACAAGCTGATGAATTGCATGAGGGCATCTGGACTCGATTTCAGCTTCACGCCCTTCGACGATGGTGAGTATCGAGACGTTCAGAGTTGGTTCTGACGACTCAGCACTGAGTGCATCTGTCAAGTGGTTCGTGGACAATTATGAGAACGGTGCGCGTATTGGTCTCCCTGATTCTTGATTGCTATTCGGATCTCGCCGCAAAGATGGACCGCGACGTCATAAGCGGGAAGTTGTCAGATTTAAGCGAATAAGCTCTTTACTAGGCGCAAAAGGTGGTCAGATGCGCCTCGTTACTAGCGGAGTATTTAGGTTTCTCGTGAGGCCATCTGGCAGCCTATTCCACTTGTACTTCTGGATGGAACATGGAGAAACGCTAATCTGAACCCGTGCGAGACTGTGTGCGATCCGCCGTGTGGCATCTCGAAGCGTCCTAAATACTGGTGACATTGAATCCCTCGAGACCACCTATCGCAGAGGGAGACTCATCCATGTGGAAAGCGCCGGTCCACGGACAGCGCCATACCGCAAAGGTGGGTCGATGACATATCAGTATCGCGTATCGGGAAGATGTCTAGGCGCCACCACACCCGAGGGACTATTGGCTGGATAGAATGATCCGCTCATTCAGAGTGATATGACCACCTGCAACTCAACGCCACGGCGTATTCTGATATCGAGGCCATGGTCCCGTGTCCATAAGGACCTGTATGGCGCCATGCCATGCATATTGTTCCCGAGACTCTAAATTCCCCATCTTGCCACTCTGAGTATTCGGTGACTGAGACAATCCTCGGTCGATCATTTTGAAAAGTCTAAAAAAAATGTCATTAAAAGTGTCGGCGGGGCGGGACGAAGGGGTCGACCACTGAGGAGTAATAATTGTCTTATGAGGGGTTTGCGCTAGCTCCCAGGCTTGCTGAGGAGCCTCTCCCCTCTTTGACTGCAAGAGGCACCATGGGAGCCAAGGGACTGGCCCAGAATGCAAAAAATGAGATCTGATTAGCTCGAGGGGGCGGGGCAAGGAAAAGTTGCCATGGAAAGGTAGACCCGCACAACTTTGCGAGTGGAGCCGGAGGTCAGAAGGAGTCATGGAGTTGCATACTCGCTTCCAAGAAGTAGAGAATGCTATTTATTACCCGGGGAGAGAGCGTGCCCCCCACCCCCTCACTCCACATATTCCTGTATCTATCCTAGATTCTACATACCACCATCGGAAACCACCTGACCAATCCTCACAATGTTCAAGGCCACCGTCCTGTCTCTCGTTGCTCTCCCTGCTCTGGTCCTCGCGGACGGCTTCCACCCTTTCGGCACTTACGCAGGATGTGTCAAGACCAGTAGCTTGCCGTCTGACAGGCAGCTCTTCGTTCCCAGTGGCTTGTTGGAGCCCTCACCTAATCCCGGCAAGGTTATCAGCCCATACTGGTGCTCGGTGAGTGGTGATCCCCGTTCTTGTATCTGCCATCGCTGAGACTGAGACTTGACGTCGAAACGTATGCTGAAGCCTTCCTTACCCAGGCCTACTGCCGAGTCTACGATTTCAAGGAGTACTCCTACTTCTCTTACTTTGGTAACAAGTGCTACTGCTCTTCCACTGGTCAACCCGCCTCTCAGTTGATTACCGCTACCACCGCCAAAGGTTACTGTCACGATTCAGACTTCAACGTAAGTTCCTAAGCGGTCGCTCACTTCGTTGAAAAGGTCTATTCTTACCTGGATCTTCCAGTTCGACCTCACTACGACGCCGTACGAGTTCTCCGATTGCTTCTCAGGATATAAAGTCTCAGGAGGTCAAGCTACCACTTCCACGCAGAGCGGTATCGGCGCCTGCTTGACTGCATGCAATATGCCAAGCGTCGCTTTCCAACCCTCTACCGGAAAATGTATCTGCCCTTCCCTTGGTCAGACAGTCGCTGGATCAGGTGAGTTAGAAGCGCCCGCCCATCAAGGCGATCACCCGCTGATCCTGTTGTGTCTCCTATAGGCACCAAGATCTGCACCGCTTCTACCATCTACTTGTACACCAACACACTCACTGACACCCGTAAGTCTTCCGACCGCCCGGCTTGACCGTATTTTTCGCTGACGAGATGGTTGCTTCGCAGTCGGCGGTATAGTCAGCAGTTTGTAAGCAGGCGCGGCCAAAGAGATTACGGTGCTTTCCATTGCTCAGGGTGCTTTGCCGTTCGTATAATTTGTCAGTCAACCGAATGTAATGAAGGATCGATCCAAAGACCTTCGGTGCCATGCGAAGCAGCTTCGGGCCGTTAATCTTTCATTTGACATCAGAGTGCTCGATTTGGAGCCGCAAATGCGTCCGGTTATGCCAAATGCATCTAGCAGATCTTGCAGAGCCATAGAGACTGCCATTCCTGCTTGCCCTGCATCCTGCGTGAGACCCACGATCTGTGTCAACGTTGAATACTCCTACGCCTCTGCACTTCCGTCATCATCCGAGATAATATCTACCTTGCCCTTAGCACTCCAAAAGTCTCGCTTAGCCCCCCGCCCCGCTTTCGCTTTCTTCGAGGTCGGCGGAGGCTCGATAGCAACGATGGAGTCGCTGTCAGAATCGGCATCGGGCCCAGGTCGATCTGCCTGCGCGAGAGTGCCGGAGGTGCGTGAAGTGTTGCCAAGAGCGTATCGCGAGTCATCGTCCTCATCCTCCTTTGCAGTATCGGCAAGCACAGGCGCTCCATCCAAATCGTCCGACACACTGGCGAATCGATCCGTGCGCTTTATCGGACTTGTATCATCGGCGACAACTTCGACATTGATATCAACCGCTCTCTCTTTGATCTTGGCCCCGTCAAGAGCATCGCCAACAGCCGAGTCGGAATCCATGTCGTCGATATCTATCTCGTCATCATTCACAATGATAGCTTGAAGGTTGCGATTATCCCGCACATGAGCCGCTCGTGGTCTCAAGGTTTCTGGAGGTGGAGAGGGCATGGGGACGTGTTGCTGATATCCTGACAGGAATTCCATCGGATCGGAATTGATCGGGATCTCCAGCATCCGTTGAAGTTGGCCTTCCTCGTGCAGCCTGAGCAGCTCGTGACGGTGTTTCAGAGTCTGAAAGATATGAGTGAGGGGTCACATTGCGGGTGAGGACGTATTTACCTCTTTCGTGACGCCCATGATGCCCGAGAGTATGCTCATGTCCTCTGGTTCACTCTTCCTGAGACCTGCACCATTCTCCCTAGAATACATGTTCTCCGCTCGTTCAAACAGCTTGGCCTGAAGCATCTCAAAAGCACCTGCCAATGTTGCTCTGACTTGTCTAATGCCGTAAGATCCGACGGAGATGTTGTTATCTGCAGTTCAAGCGCATATCAGCGTAAAGTTTGATGACGAAATACTGATCAAACGTACCCTTGTCCTGAGGATCTTCGATGCTCAAAGTGAATGGTTGTTGTGCCTTGTACCATCCCCTCGACTGTTTCGAGTAGTAAAATCCACCCCGGCGAATTGACAGTCCCACGTCTTCGTAGTTGAAGTTACGTCCGTAGAGTTCGAAGAATTCAATCAATAGCGTGCCAAGATTCTTTTCGGGGTCAATTTCCGATCGTCTGAGCTTGGGGTGTACCTGTGTATAATTCAGTGATGGATCTCAAAGGCTCGCTTGACTCACTTGGAGAAAGCTGATCACTAGACAGATGACTGAATAACTACCCAGACCTCCAGTGTATACTTCGTTCATTGATCGTTGGCTCAGAAAAGCTTTGACAACAACGATGAGTTGTCGTGCCCCGGGTAAGATCTCAAGATACTTGTTGATGATCATTCCTGCATTGATACCGTTTGTCTGGTTGAGGGAGATATCAACGTTCAAGCTCCCTGATGTACGGTTCAGTGAGCTTCCCCAAAATACGATCGCGGCTTGCATACCTTGGGTGGTAACAAATTTGATAATCGGGACGCGGGCTTTGGAGATGATGGCAACGACATCCGTCAAATAAGCCATTCGCATCGCTCGAGCAAGCTCAGCGAGTAGCTTTGCTTTGTTGGACACAGTGAGGCGGTTGGTTGTGACGACGAGGTCAATATCACTGGGCACTCAGTCAGCAGCTGCAGCGGGGGCCTGATTGCTTGGCTCCGGATAAGATTGAGGTCGACTCACCCTGAGGGAAGATACAGCTGGGTCTGCCACGATCCAAACGGATGTACTTCCGCTTCCGGCCAGGTCCTTTTGACTGTCCGGGATATAAGCTCGATGATGCAGAGTCGGACCTCATACTCCACACGAGTGGGAGACATGTATTGGTAAAATGCCTGAATCTCGCTATTGAGTCTGGGGAAGGGTAAGCTGAGTTCGTATCGGAGACTTCCCGACTGACATTTCCGCTGGATCGTTACAATTTTCCCAGTCAACCAATGTGACCCATGGACAGCCTCTCTCAGCTGCTCTTCGTTCCTCTTTCAGATTCCTAGGTCCCGTAGGCGGTTCGCGAGAGACTCCATTTGAATCGTTGGCTTTCCCTTTCCCCTTGTCTTTCTTGGCGCTCTCTGAGTTGTCCTTCTTCTTGCCTCTTTTATCTTTCTGCTTCGACGATGGAGTAGAGCTAGATGTATCCTCTGCCCCAGCCTTTCTCTTCTTGCTCTTCGGGTCGGCAGAAGTAAGTCTCGGAGAACTGGATCGAGATGCCGGCCGAGATGGTCCAGCAAGTGAAGGCGAAGGCGAGTCGAAAGCGATATAGTCTGCGTTGCTGGTGAAATTGCCCGCAGCAGCACCATCGGCAGCCACTGGCGCGGTCATGTTGTCCAAGAAATCCACCAAAGGGCTCTTAGATGACACGATACAGTCTGGTTCACCAAAAAAAAGAAGATGGAGAGGATCATAATTACAACTTTTGAGGAGAGATCACGTGACTTCTTCACTGGCCATGATCCTTCCAAAAGCTTGTGAAGCTATATGACATCCCCGGCACAGTCAGAACGGGTGAGAGCTTCTGTTCTGAGATCATGGGACCTGTGAGCTGGGCCCCATTGAGCTGGCCCCGTGAGCACCTGGCGATTTGCTATTGTCACGCCTCAATCTCCTGGGTGAACATAATATCCGACCGCCCAAAAGAGCTTATTCCACGTGCCATTTACGTAAAAATGTCCGATCGCACGAGCTGCTGTTTGGATTGGCTTGCTCATCTTGGCTCTACAATACTGTTCTGCAGATTCGACATTGAGAGCACCCAGGGAGGACAGCCTGCAGGATTTTCGGCACTCAAAAGAGTACTTCGCGCATTGTTACTATGTGCCAGATTTGCTCACGCTCATGAGCTCTGGTCGCAGTCCATCCGATTGACTCGACCTACCTCATCACACGCCTCCGATCCACCACGCCACCTCAAACCCTGAAACTGGATTTGGATTGTTTGATCAAGCTTTCAAGCGTTCATACGAGAGCACACGACTCGAATCCATAGACTTGCAAGATGCTTGCAGCTATGCGCAAGCGACCTAGATCTCCTTCGCCCGATACTGAGATCACATCTCCTTTGGACGTCTTACTAAAGAGGCGCCGGAAACGAGATTACTTTGGAAATATTCCCTCGGATGGAGTGGAACATGATTCAGATCACCATTTCTCAGATAGCGAAGGGTCAGTCTTGTATCCTCGCTTCAAGGAGAAGAGGAGGACAAGACAATGGGAAAGGCAAAATGCTCCTCAGCATTCATCTGCCTCTGGCTATCCATTCATAGGTCAACAACCGTACCCTCTTCGACCAAGCCTAGGTGAATCAAGATCTCAGCCTGAGATATCCTCCTCCTCTTCTCTTCCGACTGGATCTCATCCACCGACAGTCGATCAATCTCCCCTTCCTCGATGGCCATTCTCCAGCGGTCCTCAGGCCGAATCATCTCGTATCGCCATGTCGTCGTCCCCCATACGCCATTACTCACCTTCGAGCTCGCCTTGGCGCCCGGCTATTGGACACAGCAAGATGAACGTTGCGAAGAAGGTCGCAGAGCTGGATACGGAAGACTTTGAGCCGATGAACGAAGACGATATGCGTAGAGAATGGGGAGAAGAGTATTCAGCGCAGAATTCCCTTCTACACAGTCTGGTGAGCTGCCCGTATCACGTACATAACCCTCAGCTCACAAGTCTTCCAGCACAAAGCACGCAACACGCCGTACACTTCTTCCTTGCACTATGGCGGACTGAGCGCGGACGCCGCGGACACACCCGATCAGACTATCTTGCAAACTCCAGCGTTCGCGTCCCCTCACGCTCATCAGTATCCTTCTTACACCCACTCAACACCTAGTAATGCCATACGGACAGCCATGGGACCGCCTTCGTCGTCTCAGACGAAAGCTTGGAGTACACCCTGGCCCATCGCTTCATCTACAGATCCTACGCCTTACCGAGATAATGCGCTCCCTTCATCACCTTTTACGTCTGCAACTCTGCATACGACTCCGTCGACCGACAACGCGGACATGGAGCTAGATTATGGACCACACCCAAGGCATGAGATGTCAGATAGTAGGACTAGGTACGAGGAAGCAAATCGACTGCTGGCAGAGCTAGCATTTGACAGGGAGAGACGATGGGGCGATCCATCGAAACGACAATGACACAAAGCACGGGATCAGCAGTTAAGACGGGGCCCATACGAAAGCATGACGAGACTGACGTTGGATGGGAACAAGACATTTGTACATACATGACGACAGTGTGACAAGTACACATCAACAGTGGTTTGTGAGAAACCATGTACCGCGAGGGGTGACCTTCCATATGCATTGATCACATGTAAGCAGCTTCGAGTTCACTACCACGCTTCCTCCTCGGCTTTGCGCATAGCGAATGCCATCTCCGCTGCCATGGCGCTCTCGCCTACTCTGCCCAGAGCAGTCTTGCCATCGAGTTCCTCGGTCCATCCAGTGATACCGGTGAACGGAACGGCAGTCATGCCAGGTTTCAACTCGATTCTCCTCCTAGCGCATTCCTCACAAGTCTTCACGTATTGTTCAACGTCCTCCTGCATTCCCATCCACCAGAATGTCTCGTTCAATTCAGCCAATACATCAGTGGCCCTCCGATGAAGTACTTGATCGAGATCATGGAGGGCTTCTTCGAGAGGCGCGTGAGCATCTTCGATCAATTCATGTCGGATGACTCCGGCTGGAGGAACAAGCAAGGCTTGTTGATCCTCCGTTTCGGGTCGAAGGTAGACTAAACCAACATCTGACAGGAGGAAATCATCATTCTCCTGTCCGCTTTGCAGAGAGGCGATGAGCTCCACAAGCTCTGGATCAGAAGGGTAAGCTGCGAGCCATCGTCGAGTCTCATCATCCATCTGTCCGGGGTTCTCTGGGATTTCTACTTCGCCAAAACCTTGTGCCGCGCTATAGGTTGTCATGATTGGCACAGCGGATGGTTGACGAGCAAAGAAGGAGGACCGGTCGGATGTGGGGCGGACGTGTTCCAATCTGCCACGAGAGGGAAGCATGATGGCCGCTGCGGATGGCTCGGGAGGATGAAGGAATGTCGACCATGAGTCGGACTAGGGACCATTAGTTCCACGAACGACAGTGTGCATCCTCACGGCATGGAACAGCCACCTGAGCGAGGCTATGAAGGGGTCCAAACACAGTATCGTGACGAGGATCGGCAAGACTGCACCTCCCCTGTTTCGTCAGCGTTCGACTGTGCTTGCTAGCTCACCCCAAAGCCACTTCAGATGCCACAGTGGCATCCGCCACCTCCTTGTAGAAGCCAACAGCGGCCCCGAACTATAAGACCAAACTTAGCTTACACGCCGCCCAAGTTCGCCAATCTGAGCAACTCACACTGGACATCCCCATGACTCCTTGTGCCATACTGAATACGATGCCGACGGGACTCTTCCGATGAGCCCACCAAGCCCACCAGACCCAAAGATACCCTTCATATGGCGGTCTTTCGCACATGACTCGTATATCAACTTCGACCTGAACCGGGTCCTGACCTTGCGGTTCGTCAAGAAGCTTTCGCTCGACTTTCAGTCGTGCGCTTTGATCCAACGGGTGTGATTCATCGATCAGGTGCGAGAAAGGGACAGACAGCGCAAAGAAGAGGTAGAAATGTAGAAAGCACGCTGTCAGTGAATAGGCAGCTAGGAGCCAGGTCGTAGCTGCCAAAGCTGAGTAGAGCTCTCCCAGAGCTGGTAGCAGCGAGCTGGAGCGCTTGTCAGCAGTGGTCATTCCAGCACTGCGCTCAATTCACTCTCCAGGCAGCTGGTAACTCCTACCTGCGTTGACGAAATCGCCAGATCTGTACTCTCTGCACGTCAGACTTGCATGCTGTCATCAGCGATGTGAAGTCAAGGGAATGCTGAAAAGCACACCTGTCCCCTTCCAATTGACACCAGCCACTGGCCCCAAGGCCTACCGGCCGTGGGTCTGCAGCGCTCACATTGAACGCTCCGGCTTGTACCTTCACCAAAGGCGAGATCATTGAAGGCGCATTTTGCAGGCTAATGGTGAGTAGCAGAGCAGAGATCAGGGTGAGCGCAGCCGTCATAAATGGCCTCCAAGTAAAGTAGAATCGGACAATGGGATTGGTCATCCAGCCTTGGCTCCTTGTACTGACCCTGAGGCTGTTTCTCAGGGGAGACTTCTCATGTTCATCCGATCCTGTGGATTTCATCAGAGACCTCTTGCGCTTGCCCTTCTTCCTGCCCGTCGTGGAGTACCTTGCTGGAGCTACTGACATTCTGCCGAGTCTTTGATGGGCACCTGCCGTCATGAGGTTTGTATCGCCAGGTTGCTCTTCCACTGGAAGAGGAGGTACAGCCGGGAAGGCAGAGTGGCGAGGGACGCCGTGACGCAAAACCTGCTGTTGTTGGAATCGATCGGCAAATGCATCAGGAGAAAGCCCGCCTCCAGTGATGTGTTCCAGGTCCAAAACAGAAGGGAGCGTCGACTTGCGTTGCGCGATGTGTTCAGGCCTAGGTTCAGAGACAGGGGTCACCTGCCCCTGATGCTTCCTCGCCAGTATGGGCGTAGCGACGACTTGAGGTAAGGACGAGACGGACCTAGAGGGAGAGTACCTAGAAGACCGATTCGGGCCACTGTCTGAGCGCCTGTGTGCTGCGCCTGCTGTCCATGGAGTAGCGGGCAGAGGCGACATGATATCGGGCGAGGCGACAGGCCCGTCTTGCGTATAAGCAGGATATGCAGGCGATTCTTCCTCATCTTCCTCCAGAATCCCTCCGAGGGCTTTTGCACCGGGACCAGGCGTGAAACGCGAGGTGGTCATGTCCCCAGCGTAACTGCTACGAGACCACAGCGTACCTGCACCTGACGGTTCGCCATCTTTGAACTCTGAGGCAATTAATGCAGCCTGATTCTGACGAAAAGATGATGGAGATCGGACGAGCTGTCGTTCTTCTTGGTGTTTGTCCGCTCGAGGTGTCGCGTCATCTGCCCAGTCTGATCGTGCATAGAGAGGTGTTTCGCCGTCGGTAAATGGGTCTTCGCCTTGGACTGTATTCGAAGGGGTGAGTCTTCGAGGCAGCGGCGGGTTGGACGGATGAGGTCGGGCTGAGGTCTTTGCCAACCATGACGCTTCTGAGTAATTAGTTGGCGGCCGTGCGAGAGTGTACGGAAAGACGGAGGAAGCCCTGGTTCCCCGGGAGGCGGTTGGCGAGGTGGGAAACATAGAGGCATTGTCGGGGGGATATGACAGTCGAGATGAGGGCGGTGGCATGGTAGTCTGACCAGTGAAAGGTGACAGACCTGCTACAGTCGTCTATGATCACTGGTATGAGCCCGGCTACATGGTGAGCATGCTAGATGTGGTTATGCGCTATCGCGTAAGGGTGAAAGCCTGAAAGGTAATCAGGGAGAATCACAAAGGATGTGCCAGTGGGACAGAGATCGTGAGCCAAAGGCTCATCGAAATGCCGAGTTAATACATAAATCATCCTTGTACGTGTGGTGTGCTCCAATTGATCGCCATTTAGAGCGGCTCAATGTCCTCTTTTGGTCCAAGAGGCACAACTCGAGTAGGGTTGATGTTTCCGTGTGAGTAGTAGTAGTGCTCTTTGATCTCTGATTGAAAGAGTGAGTCGTGCATCATGCGCGCTTGAGATCCACTCACGGTCAAAATCGGTGGTATCTTTGAAAGCTGGGTTGTTCCAGTACAGGTTCTTCAGCCATCGGTTGATATGAGGGTAGTCGTGTCGAACTTCAAAATGCTGTCAACACCTGTAGACTGTGCAATACTGAGACTCACTGCTGCCGAGATTGCACTTGAAATGACCGTGATAGACAGGATCAAATCTGACGATAGTAGTGTAGGTCCTAAGAAAAGCTTAAGTGAAGAGTGCTATAGAGAAGATTCGGTTGCAGCCCACCTGACATCCGCCTCGGTGAGTTTGCCTCCGATGAGGTAATCTCGTCCATCGCTCAAGATCTTTTCGACTCTGTCGAGCGACTTGAATAGCTGAACGACGTTCTTCTCATAAGCCTCCTGAGTGGTAGCGAAACCCGACTTGTAAACTCCGTTGTTGATATCGTCGTAGACCCAGGTGTTCAACTCGTCAATCTCTTTACGGAGATCCTCGGGGTAGAGGTCCAGTTCCTTCTTCTCACCATCAGGTAGAGTCGAGTTGAAGGCCGAGTTGAAATCACGGATGATCTCTGACGATTCATTGTTGACCAGGGTGTTGGATTTCTTGTCCCATACGACTGGGACGGTGAAACGTTGAGAGTAATTGGGATCGGCTTTTTTGTAGATTTCTGACATATACTCGGATCCAAAGAGATGATCCTCGGTAGAGCCTGGGAAGGTGTCGAACGAGTGTTCGGAGACGGGTGCGGCCTGCTTCTTGGCATTGTCAGGTTTGACAAAGTGCCATCCACCCTCAAGCATGTGCGGGTGGACATAGGAGACGTCTAAACGGCGGAGGAAATGTCAGCTCATGTACCTGGTTTAGTTGTATTGACCCCACCGATATAATCCTCAAGGCCCTTGAGCTGCCTGATAATCAGAGCTCGGTGTGCCCAGGGACAAGCGTAACAGACATAGAGGTGGTATCGCCCTATAGGAAGCACACAGGGTCATGAGCGACTGAGCTTGCTGTCCGCGCAAAGGGCCACTCACCCTTTTCAGGCGGATGCTCTCCATTCTCCTCGATGTGATCTCTGAATGCACTGACCTGCCGCTTGAAGTGACCATCTTTGCCTGCCCAACCGGGGTTAGTGGCCATGTTGCTCTTGAGACGTGATCCGGAATTCAAGGGATAGAGTCGAGGTGCGAACGAGGACGTGCGGGTTGAAATATGCAATAGCTGGGTACCAATGCGCGAAGTGGACCTCAGAAGCATTCACTTCAGAGTCCGAGAGCTTGTCCAGAGTAATGGTCTGGTCGCCTTCAGCTCCTTATATATATATATGTATCAGCCAGATGCGTGTGGATGATGAATCACGCTTGTGATCGAGGATCCCGATGGAAGGGCTGGGCATTACCTCATTAGCTTTGGTTTCCGACGGCATTCAGGGGCAGTTTGCTTGTCAGATTAGGAGACGATTAGGAATCATGATGATAATAAGCATTATTAATCCGTTTCGAGGACTCTCTCCTGGGCTAAGACGTTCCACGGGATCATGGGCGGCTCGCCATCCAAGTCGCAGACTGCAGCGTCATCTTGGGTGGCTCCCGAGATAACCAAGAAGCCCGTGGGATGAGATGCTCTGCGACTGTGTATGTTTCAAAGCCCAGCGGGCATCTCAGGTCGAACGAGCTGAATACTTCAATGAATTCTGCCACGAACTTGCAATAGATTTGTGGCAAAAGCCTCAGCAGCTGGAAGACAATGACAATGTCCATCATAAAATATGATATGACGACCATAAAGGGGAATGTCCTGGTTTCATTACGGATCATGATCATCGTTCATCTATCTCCTTCGCCCAGCCATCTATAATCAGTGATTACCACGCAACAAGGGAGGTCTGAAGGGCGCATTGCAGCATTGTCTCGAGTCTCCAGCTGCGTTCAAACGATTAGCCACACTCGGCAGATTCTGAAGGTCCGGCCTGCTTACCGTTGGCAGCGTTGTGAGCACACGTTCTCCTATTGATTGCCAGCGTATAGTGGGAATCGGTGCCATAATTGAACACACTGGCGTCCTTATCGTCGTACAAGAAACAATTCTTGTGACCATGGCTCTCAGTAGGGTCAAAGGAAGCAGCGGTACAAGCTAATAAGAGCCGATCATCAGCAGTACCCGGCCGTGGAACCCACTCGATAGGGAACAGCAAGCAGCGAGACAATCCTTGAAGCACGACTCGTGTCGCGAATGAGCGTACCCAACCGTCAGAGGCGTGTTATAGTATACGGCATGATCGTTGGTTGTGAGTGTCGAGTGGAATCCTGAACAGTCTGGGTAGCTTGCGGTCGTACCTCGAGGTCGAATATCTCCGCGTTTGAGAGCTTCGCCACGTTTGACGATTCCATCTCGAGTGGCTAGTTTGAGATCTTGGGATGCTGCCGGTGATGGAGCATGGCCATGAGATCGTTTATGATATGCCTGAGTGCCTACAGCTGCCAAGCTGAGGAGAAAGAGTCGAACTATCTGTACCATTTGGTTGTCGAGGACAAGGATTGTCGAAGTCGATCGAGTGGAAATGAAAGCGAGAAGATCCGTCCTTCGAATCCATCTTGCGTTAAAGCCATCCTGCTGTTATACATGCTCTGATTGTTTATCATGTCTCAAAGCCTGGTCTCGAGGATCCAGATCTCACTCGCGGTCACCATAGAGAGGACACAAAGTCTCCGACCTTGGAGTCTAGACGCGACCTCAGATCATGTTTGTGTGGCTGCTCAAAAGCGAGACACATGGTTTCAGGATAGAGGTGGGTGCGACACGGTGGCATACCGTGTAGATAAGCATGTTGTGCCTGCTCTCATCAGATAGGGCTGCGAGTACACATGGATGCTATGGACTGCACTGCGAGGCTTCTGAGTCCGCTGCCCACCGGTCCCATGCTTGCCGGGCGTAGATTTTCCTGCGCCACACGGAGAAGCCATGTCGTAATTTCGGGGCTGATGACGATGGCCCATCAGCGAGCGAGGCGAGGGGCGATCGACTGATCAATCCCAATCCGTTGTAGAACAGCAGCTGACTCTTATATACGTCTACGACTAGCATAGCATTCCAGCAGCTTTCGAAAAGAACCATTGACGAAACATACACCATGACGACTATCGCAGACATCCCAGCCGTGACGGCCACGCATCTCCCCACTCCCACATCCACACCCATCGATCTTGGATCGGGCGAATTATCGCTGACCGTCTTGCCCCCGAACCCTCCGACTCAACCTCTTCAGGTCCTCACTTTGACTGTCGGTTCTCTTAGCTGGCCGTTGCTTCCAAATACCCCGGTCAGAAAGATTCAGGCGCTCAAGGAACATGCTGTGTACACTTTCAGTCCCGCTCCGGCTGACGGAGGAGCGGCTTTGGGCGAGGTCAGGCTGAACATGAAGAGCAGGTGAGCTCACTAGCCAATGGTTAGACGCTGATATTGCCAGCGCCTCACAGGGCGAATGGGAGGCCACAGAAGCCCTCTGTGCCAAATTTGAAGATGCACTGAAAACCAAGAAAGTCTGGGACGAGCGGGTCCTGTTTGTAAACGACGAGTACGAGATGGCCGGCAAGACTCAGAAAGGATGGGGAGAGACTATCGCATCGGCTGTCATCGGAGCGAGTAAGACGGCGACCGAGAGATTGACAGCGTACACGGACAAGTGGGTTCCATCGCCCCCCAACTTTGTCTGACGTTTTACCAGGCACGTCGCGGCAACCAATCCTTCGCACCCTGCTCCTCCTTCCCAGGCTGTAGCGGAAGCCGCTCGAAATGCCAACCTCAAGACACAGACCTGGGCTGAAAAGGCAGAGGTCGGAGCTCTCAAAGTTGGAAATTCAATCCACGAGGGAGGCAAGAAGGTGTGTTGCCCTCGTTACCTTGGCTCACCTTATTTCAGCTCGGATCCCACCTGCCCGACTCTATCGCCCAAGCTGCGAAACCTGTCCCTGATAATGAAAAGACCGAATTCAGACATCAGGCTGAATCAGCTTGGGAACAGGCTCAGATCGCCGCGCAAGGTATCGCTAGCGCGGCTGCTGGCCTCGCCACGAGCGTCAGCGAGAATGCCCATCGAGCTGTTGATCACAACTATGGAAAAGAGGCGGACAGTGTTGCCCATGGTGCGTTTGACTCTTTGAACCTGCTGACAGGTTTTTAGACATTGGTCAGACTGGCGCAAACCTAGGAGCTACTGGCTTCCAAGCTCACAAAGCGACTAGCGTCATTATTCAAGGTGCCAATTTGACGACAGGTATCAACGAGACCAGCTCTGTGGGAGCGACATCCGGAGCTGATGACATTAAGAAGTAATGGAGATGCTGAAGCTAGAGATAACAACGTCGTGTAGCCATAGTAGACCTGCCTTGAAATGATACATGCAGTCATGCAATTTCGAGGATCGAATCCAGAAGTCTGTTCGTCTCGGGCTCCTCCACAGGTCCTACCAAGAAGTAGAGGCATCCTTCACGGAATGCAGTAGACCGTAGGCGGTCGGTTCATCTGCGACTGCGTCCACCCTGTATCCCCTGTCTTCCAAGAACTTCCGGGTCGTTTGTCCAATCGCCGCTATACGGTATCTTGACGAAGCAGCCCCTGCTCGAGGAGATAGCTCTTGCCTTTGTGAGAGATGTGCGAGAACCATCTCAGCCGATGAAGGTGCGAAGAAGACTAGCCAGCCTGAGTGCAAGGCGTGAAGACTGGATCTCAAGTCTGGATCCTCCAAAGTGCGATAGACTATGACTTCTGTGACTCTCTTGCCCATACCTCTCAGCCCGTTGGCAACCTCCTCGTTAGATTTGTCGCCTCGTACAATAAGCCAATGTCCGGTCGGTGGCCTCCCAGTATCGTCCCTTCGAATCAAATCGACGAGGGCCGATCCAGATTTGGCTATGCGATATTCGGATAGTGATGGGAGGGCGGATGCAGGGTCCGAGTAGGAAGTCGAAGTCAGGACATCAAACGTACTCTTGCCGACGGCATAGAGCGGTGTTGTTGACCAGCTCGTTTCTGAGCCGACATCAGCGTGAATTCGGCCAAGAGATGGCTCACTCATTTGTCTCGCCTGTTCAGCCGCTCTGACCCATCCTTCAGCTCCACGCTTACTGCTTATCACCACAGCATCGTAGCTTTGTCCTCCTTGATTGACCACTGTGGCCAATTCCTCCAACTCGTAGATCTCTTGCAGGACTGAGATGCACTCTGGGTCAAAAAACGCGGAGCGAAAGGCATCAAGGTAGGCATCGGGGATTGATGGCTTTCGGAAGAGATACACCTTCCTGCTAGTCGGCGAAGTAGTTGTCATCCTCTACGGTCTGTGGAGACATGTTCTTCGAGGCATTTGCTTATTGAAGATTCCTAGATCCTCGGATGCAACAGTAACACAATCATGAATGGAAGAATGAACAACATGAGGAGACAGGAGCGGGTGCCGAAATTTCGGATCAGGCAGCGTCATGGATCCCGAGCCTCGCAACTCGGTCCTATGGTGCAGATGTCTCGGACAAGTAGAGCAAAATCATGCATTGATCCGCCATGAGCTTCTGCTTTTGGAAGGGTCGTAAAGGGTATATTACGATACACTTTTTGACTTAGACGTATAGGTGGTAAGCCTTGGTACCGGCGGTGTAGATGGTGCCGAAGAAGAGAGCTGAAGGGCAAGATCAGTGTGATTCAAAACCGAAGGTGCAAGGGACTCACTGAGGAGTCCAATGTATCCGAATGGTCCACCGGTCTTGTTCTGCCAGGATGACGCGTCAGTCAGTATATCAACAAATTGGGACCTGGACGCACCCTGGTAGCTGGGTCTCCGGTCTTGTATCCGAGCTGGACGGATATCAGTAGCAATTCTGCCATCAAGGAGCCTGATGCGACTCACAGTGTACAAGACTCTTCCAACGACCCAGATGAAGTTGGAAGCGGCAGCGACCTTGGGATGATACAATCCTTAAGGCCAGGGTTGTCAGTTTGATACATCAACAGAACTCTCGACGGAACTCACCAAGGAAGATGGTCAGAGTGACGATGGTAGTCACGTTCTCGAGTGTGTTGGCATGAGCTCGTTGCGTGCAGTTGTAAACCTGGATCAAGAGCTCAGCATCAATCTTTTATAGATTCTCTCTGAGATCATGACGCACGAGCTTCTTCTTGTCTGCTTTGGCCTCCGCATCGGTAGCGTACAGATTTGGGTAATGGACACCAGCCTCTTTCCTCGCTGCAGATACAAGCAGACCTTGCCAGAACTGAGAGACGATAAGCTTTTCAACCTGACACGAGCACACCGCTCTTAACTCACGGTCAAGGTCGCAGTAGCGACAAGACTTAGGCCGACGAGAGGAAAGGCGGCGGGGATGGCGAAAGAAGACAGCGTGCCGGACATGGTGCTATGCTACGTGTATAAGTGTGCGAGGAAAGACGATGTGAGCCAGTTGCTGTAGCTCTGTGGTTTCGTTAACGATGAGCAGGACGAGAAAGACTAGCTGCCGATGAGGAAGAAGGCTGGAGTTTTGACCGGCTGCATTCTTCGCCGACGGCTCTGCGTCACTCTCCTGTCTGCCAGCATGTTCCAATGGAATTTTCCCGGAAAAACCGGATCCTAACCGGGAGCAGGGCAACCGAATGCCACGTCATGGGAAGCGGCGATGGCCGACGCGGTGAGGCAGCTGGCGTATGATCATCAAATGCAAAGTAAAGCTCATTCACGCTCGTGTACCTTTTGGTCGCAAATAGGGAGGCGGGCTCCGTGACTCCATGTCGTTGAGGTTACGACAGGCTGTTGCTGGCAGACCAAGTAGAGAATCAAAGCAATGCCTGGATATCGTGAAGCACGATGACCAAGTATACATTGTGAGTTGGTACACTCGCCTCGGAACGGCTTCCGACATTCCGCACGGCGTTGCCATATCGTTCCCAATTGGTATATGTTTATGATGCTGACAGACCGGACAGGCATACACTTCGTCTTCTAATGTCGTACTCGTTTCACCTGAGCTAGTTCTCTCCGATACGCTTGATTTCTGGAGTGCGCTCCCGCCAAGAGCTGCAAGCTCATCGAATCAACGGGTGCAAGGTGTTCGATGTGTCGATGGATTGGTGGGCTCGAAGTCTCTTACAACCAACTCGAGGCTCACGAGTGATCTAGATCATCGCCTGGTCTGGCATTCATGTGGTAGCGTGGCAGCGTGCCATTCGGGGCAAACGAAGATGGGATGTCAGCTCAACATTAGTAGCTGGAGCGCCAGTGACCACATTGGACTTGCATAAAGGTCAGCTGCAACAGGTCCTGCGCTTCGAAAAGACACTTAGGCTGAAACTCCTAAGGTGCCCTCGTCCTCGGCACTTTATCTGGAATTGAGTGCTGGCACATGAATGAGAGCGATGCAATTGTTATTTGGGACAGGATCTGGGCAAGGTGAGTGGCGTCTATTGCTCACACTGATCGACCTTCAAAGGAACTCACGCACGCCAACGTATCTCACGATAGCTCCCAACACGGGCCATCTCGCTTGGTATCGAGATGTGAGCTTTGAAGCCATTACATCCAGCAATAAACTGACGCAATGACGCAGGGGGATCGATCTGTGCACATCCTCCCTCTCAACGGTAAAGCTGAGCCAATCGGAGTTCCGCAGGAGCTCAAGCACCCTCGAGAGATTTCGCACATCATGTGGAGAAGGACACAGACAGATTCGTGAGCTTGCTATTCTTGCTGTTTCTGCTAGAATTCGGCATATGCTGACGAATGACAGGGACGATTCTCACCTCTATACCATCACTGAATGCTCGGTTTTCAGGATCTATTCACCGGTCCTCGACGATCCATCTTGGTTCCAGCTTCTTCTGACGATAGACAGCCAATCCTTCGCCGCGCCGGCGCCGAAGGCTGGAGGGAAAGGCAAGATGCCGAGGCCCTCATCTAAGGGTGTGGTCTGGCCTCTGGATGCCCACGTTCTTTGGTCTGCCGTCCTCCACGATCTCGACAATATCACCTCGACTGACAACGCCAGCACTGTCAGCGAGCTATTAGAGAGCCTTGCTGGAGATGAGAGTGATGTCGTCGCCTGGATAGGGGATGACGGTGACATTGCCTTTCGGTCGATCATGGTGAGTGGTATCGCTTGAGCGATGCTGAATCTTGTCTGCAGAATATGGACCGAAAGCCTCCGACATTGCTTAAGACCCTGGCTTTGAGCAGGTTGAAAATCGATCCGAGTGTATCGCGCCGCCTCGCTCCTGGATCACGACTTCTGCTCAATCCCAAAAATGCTTCACTCCTGGCCGTCACCCAGCCTGATTCTGGAGATGACAACCAATGCCTCAAACTCACTCTCCCCGACATACTTGCCTCTCGTTCGCCAGGGATCATACCGGGGCATGTCTCGCGCACAGCACACCAGCTGTCAGATCCCATCTCTCATTTCGTTCGGACGCCGAATGGTCGGGGGCTCTTGGCGGTCAGTAGAGAAAACGAGGTTGCGGTATGGTATGCAGATCGCTTGGACAAGCCTTTGAAGTCTTGTGCCCAATCGGAAGTACTGCTAGGCCGAGGTATCTGGACTACTTCAGATGCACCAATCGCTATGGCCATCTTCGCCAAGGGACGAGCCATTGTGACCTACTCCAGGTCGGAGGGAAAACCCACTATTGTCTTACAGCATCTGGATGAAGGCAGGAGCTTGCCATCCGATGCAGTCACTTTTCCAGACTTTGATCTGACGGACGACGATGAGATCCAGATGCTACTGGCTGTTTCAGATATCGACGACGGATACTCGGCAAGAGGAAGGCGAACGCAAAAGGCGTACATCATGGCAGCTAGTCGACAAGGCCACGCCTGGGTCTGGAAGGTTGACTCTCGGCTCGCTGGATCCGCTCCGACCTCACCGGAAGCTACGACCCTCGTCTTTCCTGACCTTCATACGAGTCGACCAACCATATCTGCACCACCTGACATCGCCCGCTTGTCTCGGTTCGTCCTTCCGGTCTCTGGTAATCTGGCTCATGTCCTTCCCGTCGATCCGATGGGATGGCATCAGTCGGTAGTTGACTGGAAAGCCAACGTCCCACTGCAAGACATGATCCTGACGATCTCCAAAGATGGGACGCTAGAATTCTGGCGTCCAGCCTTGGGTCATCACTTTGATCATGAGCATTTACGGGCACGCTTTACGACTTCCAAGTCTGATTTGGAGGGAGAATTGTCGGACGACGAGAAAGTCCCTGGTCACACGCACGAAGCTTGGAGCAGGACGGGGTCAGTTCGCACGGGGATTTGTGATCCTATCATGGCGCGCTGCAGTTCTCGCAAGAAAACGGTTATCATACGTGAAAAATCGGAAGTGGAGCATGAGATGACCATTTGGGACTCTAATACGAGCGAATTCTCTACCGGCCTGGAATTAACTCATTGTTTCCTGTGAGTCTGACCTCGATGTCACCTTTGGCTGACATGCTGCAGACCCGGAGAAAAAGTTCAAGATCTCGATTGGACGACGACTTCAGACTTGCAGTCCGTTCTCGCCGTTGGCTTCGAATTCAAGGTCGTTTTGGTTTGCGAGCAGAGGATGAGCTATGATGGAACATCGGCTGGGTGGGCGCCGTTCATGCAGATCGACATGACTAGGTGCGCATGAGCGGAACCTGAAGCAGAGTGAGGCTGATCATTTTGGTATCTCACAGCTACTCCTCGATCCCGATTTCCGACTCTATATGGCTTGCAGAGGGCTCTCTGGCTGTGGGCGCAGGAAATCAGATCTACCTCTTTTCTCGATTTCTGGACAGGGACACACCGGCTCCTACGCCCGCAGCATCGCTACGCCGAGCCGAGACTGGTCCAGCTCCAGTCTCGACCGCAAAACTTGGCGAAGAAAGTGACGAGCCAGAGGATTTGTTCCAGCTCATCGCCTATGAGAACGGACCGTTATGGGATTATCACCCGACCATGTTATCTCAGTGCTTGCTTTGGAACAAGATTGATCTAGTCAAGAGGATCTTGCTGAATCTACTCGAGAATCTGAAGCATGCCGAGATTCTCAACAGCAGGAGGCTGCGATACAAGCGTTTAGAACCGAGCGAGTTTCTACACACCCACAAGGCTGTCGTCCGACAGGACGCCAAGGCGACAGTGGGCAAGTACGAAGGCCTGTTCGATACGACACCTACCCCTGCGGTCTCTGACGGTATCGAGACGAGCCATGACGAATTCGATTCTCGAGCCGTCAATGACCTTATCGACCGGCTTGATGGCCCAGTGCGCATTCCTCTAAACAAAACAGAGAAGGTCCTACTTGGGACAGTCGCTCGAGCCGTCTTGGAAGTCGACCGACAACGAAGGGCTTTGGACATTTGTGGGCTCAGGTATCTCTTAGCCGTGAGGATGTTTGTCAATCATGCTCGGAGCACCAGCGGGACATCTACACCAATGCCCAATGGGCGTCACTCAGCGCCAAGTCGAATCACCTCTATCCTAGGCATGAACGGGCTTTCAGCCATGGTCAAACCTCGTCGATCCCTCTTGTCATTCCGAAACGTCGTGTGGGCAATGCACAGTGAAAGTCAGGACATGCTTCTCTCTGCGGCGACGGAGACATGCGACAATGGCAAGATGTTATGGGAAGATGCGAGCTCTCTCGGCGTTTTCTGTTGGTTGAAATCGACCGAAATTGTCAAGGCACAACTCGAAGTGGTGGCTCGAAATCGGTTCATGAGTGACGACGATCGTGATCCGACGACTTGCTCTCTCATCTTTTTCGCGCTGGGAAAACGCAAAGTTGTTCACGGGCTTTGGCGGCAGGCTCCAGGACACAGGGAGCAATCCATGATGTTGAAATTCCTTGCCAATGATTTTGACCTAGAGAGATGGAGAACGGCTGCTGTGAAGAATGCTTATGCGTTGCTGAGTAAGCAGCGGTATGGTGAGTGGCTCGAGTCTTGCTCGTAAGGTAGCTTATTCGGTTCCCCAGAGTACGCCGCAGCTTTCTTCATGCTCGCTGGTCAGCCGAAAGACGCTACCAACATCATTCTTCGGCATTTGGACGATTGGCAATTGGCGTTCGCCCTCGCTCACGCTGTGGAGGGATCGACAGATGGTCCGATCGTTAAGAGCATCCTGCACGATGTGGTTCTACCGCGAGCCTTTCAAGGAGGACATCGATGGCTTGCAAGCTGGGGCTTTTGGGTTCTCGGCAGACGAGATCTATCAGTGAGAGTGTTGATCTCACCCATTGAAGATGTGGCTTCGTCCGCACCCTCGCTGGATCGTTCGCTCATCGTTGGTGATCCTGCAAATGATGATCCGAGTCTATTGCTTTTGTTCCAACACCTCAAATCAAAGTCTTTGCAAACGGCCAAAGGGACAAACGAGATTCCTGAAAAGACAGAGTTTGACTTTGTCTTGCACAACGCTAGGGTCTTTTTCCGATTGGGTGAGTTGTTTTTGGCCAATGGTCTGACTTTCGACAAGACTAATGCGTCTATCCAGGTTGTCACCCTCTAGGACTAGATCTACTCCATTCCTGGTCTTTCGACCGACCATTCTTCCCTGTGTCTCGGACTCAATCACAGATACAGAGCTCGAATGCGAAACTGCCGCTGCATTCGTCTGAAGGCACGTTGGCAGCACCACAACGACCGGGCATGTCACTTCGCGTGCCGGCTGCTCGTGCCCGGCGGACATCCTTCATGCTCAATCATTCAGGACGGGAAGCGAGTATGGTCATGGACATGGATATGCAGACGTTGACAGAGGGCGGATCGGGACAATCCTCAAGAATGCCTTCGCCCCCGCCGCGGCCCGAGGCTAACGGAGAGACCGGCGCAGGGGCTCTTGGGCTGGAAATAGGCAAGGCAACTTCGAGCTCAAATGGCCCAGAACAAGTCAGCGATCCGGATATTTCTGGAGATGGTGGTGGTTCTAGGGAGGGGATCGCGCCTGTGTCGGACTCTGTGGAACAGGACAAGCCGAAGAAGATTGGTAATCTGATGAAGGAGCTCCAGGCGGACGTCCAGCAGGGTGCTCAGGAGTTCAATATGGACAATTTTTTCTGAGAGACATGGGCCACGAGAGCAGACCAATAGGAGGCTAGAGACCTCGGCCTGTGGTTGTTGTGCTAGACTTTCTTGAATCTGTAGCGATACGAACACTCACTCATGATGCATTTTGCCAAGGCCCGAGGTCAATATTGACGCCACGCACGAAAGTCAAATGATGCATATGACGCGCGAGGCTCTGTTTCGTACGATATCGATTTTCGTTGGCAGCTGTTTACATTCCATCAGGTGATCTCGCCTCGCTTTATCGTCTTGTCTAGGGCCACTGTTGTCATCGTCGTAGGGATATCTTGATGATACCCTACATGCGCTAGGAGATGGTGCAAGCTTGTTCAACCCACTGAGGATCCGCCAAAGATGGAAGGTCGTCCGGCCGTGGAGACCATCAAGTGAGTTTCTAGTTCTGGTCTGAGAGCTTGTCCCATTGCGACTTCGCCGGAGGATATTGCGATGTATCACATTCGTTCTCAGAGAGCCCAGGGATTCACTCATACACCTTCTCCCACACCTTGCTTGTCTCGCATGCAAGCCTACATACCTCGGACTGGTACTGAAAATTCTTGCTTCAGGGCCAAATGGAATGAGGTATTCTCCGATCCCTTGGTCTCCCTAGACAGGCTCAAGAGTACCGCAACGTCTAAAGAAGGTCTCGGAAACGAAGATGAGAGTGGAGATGTCCCGCTTCGTTCTGTATACTGGAGGGTTCGTCTATCCCAGCTCAAATCGATCCCCGACCAGAGAGACTCACGTTATCATTTAAACAGCTCTTCTTTGGCCTTTTGCCTGACTCGATGCAATTGGAATTGTATCCTACCTCTTTGGCCGACTCCAGAGCAAGATACGACACGCTACGGTCAAAGTACCTGGTAGCTCCGGACGGACGATGGGCTGCAGATTGCTCAGCTCCCCGAGGAGCGGTATATTCGGCATCAACTGCGCATTCAGAGGCGGATCGGTCAACGAGGCAATCTCCATCACTACATCAAGGTCCTCCTGCCTCGCCAGGATCTTGGGACCCTCTCAGTCTTTCCTCGGACAATCCCTGGAAATCATGGTTCGCTCAGATGGAATTGAGAAATGAGATCAGACGAGATGTGGAGAGAACGTTTCCTGATCTGCCTTACTTCACGACAGAGTCCGTCAGGAAAACGATGGTCACGGTGTTGTTCATTTGGTCGATGATGCACCCGGACGTAGGATACAGGCAGGTCAGTGACAAAAGTTGGAGGCCGCTGGAGGGACGAATCGTTGACTCTCTTAAATGATCAGGGAATGCACGAGCTCTTGGCTGTTTGTCACCTTGTCATTGACAAGGATACTCTCGACCCGCCACAAAATGGCACTCATCAGGATGAAGAAACTTCTCCACTCGCTACAAAGTCCGAGCAGCAGATCCGGACCGAAGCCATGTTCACCGTGTTGGATCGAAGTTATATCGAACACGATGCGTTTGAGCTGTTCGAAGCGCTCATGAAAAGCTCCAAATCGTCCTACGAGTGGAGGGCGGAGGAAGGTCCGGTATGTTCCCCTCCCTAGCCTGCCATCTGAACGAATGTCTCGTTACCTGACACGTCATTCAGAAGTCAACCACATCTCCTCCGACCACCGCACCGATCATCCAGCGTTGTATTCGGATCCACTTGGAGCTACTGCGCAAGATTGATCCTCAACTCTGGGAGCGCCTCGAGACCGAGGGCATCGAAGCTCAGATCTGGGCCATGTGAGTTTGCGGCAGTTCGTCCCAGCTCAGAAAGTTCAGAATACTGACAGTCACACAAGACGGTGGATCAGATTGATATTCACTCGTGAACTGCCATTCACCACTGCTCTACGGTTATGGGATGGTATCTTTGCTGAGGATCCCTCACTGGCCATTCTCGACTTTGTCGTTCTTGCTTTACTCCTCTTGATACGAAACGAACGTGAGTGCCTTCAGGCGGGGATCATGATCACTGATGTGCCAATCTCAGTTCTCAATGCCGACTACACTGTCCTTTTGACAACTCTCCTGCATTATCCCGCCCCATCACAGACCTACACCCTATCCCCATTCTTGATAATAACGCAAGCTGTCTTTCTCCGCGATAATATCACTCCATCGGCTGGCGTAGAGATCGTCATGCAGAACCAAGATGTCCTCGGCGTCAAAGCTCAGCCTCCAGAACCTGAACAACGACCTCAACATAGACGACCCAATCAAAGCGGCAGGTCGGTAGGACGCGGACCGCCACCGGCCCAAGCCCCACCGCTAAGAGGTGTTCAGGGCTTCACAGCGGGCTGGTTCGAAAGGGCACAAGCTGCTGGTGAGAGACAAATCGTCGCTCAAGCCATACAGTGACTGATACCACTTCAGGCATCGACAGGGCTATCCTCTCGACCGTGGCTGACTTGCGGGTGAGGAAGTCGATGACGAGGCAGGTAGCGAGTGGCTGATGCGGACCACAGCGTAACCTTCCTGACACCGCCACTGCATATTCCTACTTGCCGACCTTGCCATTCACGCCATCGCCCGCTAGAGATCCATCTGGACAATTCTCAGCCATTCCTACCTCGCCAAACGTCTTGCCCAGTCACAGCTCGCCCTTTGGTCCCGGCAGACTCGGACCGCACTCAGGGCAGACTGGCGTCATCCCACCCGTACTCGGCCAAAGTGCGGTGTCTACCAAGAAGAATGCCGAGCTGGAGCTGGCTGAACTTCGGTTAGCAATGGTCGGAATGGGAAAAGTCATGTCGGATCTCCTTTTCGCCATCTCAAATGGGCAGCAAGACTCTGCCAGTGCGAGTCATGGGCTCGAACGTATACGAGATACGTTACTCGGCGCTGCGGGGACAGATATCGAAGACATTGTCAGGGAATGGGGCTGGCACGAGGGTCTACGTGCAAATGGTCTGCCAATTACAGCAGCAACGGTATCGGCAGGTACGATTCCTCTGGGGTTGCAGCCTGAGCCTGTACCGAGTCCAGATGAAACATCGGTGGTTGAGGATTCAATGATCGCCGAAGATGGTCGTGATCGGATGGCACTCAGACCGACGAGCTCGAGGAGCCCTAGATTGGGCGAGTCATCGACTCAAGCACCTACACGGCGCGTTACTCCAATCAAGCCCGACACTGCTGTGTTACCGGGGCATTTCAGACCGTCATCAGAATTGCCTAGCCGAAGTGATCGCCCATCGACCGGGTTGACCCGCGTCCCGATGCCGGCACCAAGCCCTCGGCTTGGTGCTGTCTCCGTCCCTCCGAAGCCGTCTCAAGGTGTATCCCAGTCTGCTTTCACAGCTACCGACACCGTGCCCGAGTCTTCATCACGTGTGGCGGCATCATCCGGTGACCTTGGACGGGAATCACTTCCAACAACGGGGACGACATTGCATGGCCGACATCAGAGTCTTAGAAGAGCTCCTTCTTACGATCCGTTAGGCGCGGGTTAAGTCTCAAATCTCTCTCACCAAGCATGCAGCCTGTGTAGCGATACGTTTTAACCCTTAGGGAGGAAAGCCCCGTGGGTCACTTGATTGTGGGGTCACGTGACGTTATATTTCTTTTGCTTCCGCCCCTTCCGGAAAGTGCTGGAATGCGGTGGCGAATGGTGGATTGTTCGTGTTCCTTCCTTTTTTCTGACCGATCACCGAATTGTCACCAGCAGCAGCAGATGTTGTTGTTCTTCAGCTCTCAGTCAGCACTTGAGGGGGGCCGCGTGTTCGTTCCATAGCTTATGAAGCAAATCCATATCCCTCCTCAAACCTGACATATATAAAGTACTGACATCGAAACACCTCCTCTTCTCATCATCCACTCACTTCGCTAGCTCTCCTCTTACTGTCTTCGCCTCACCACACTTTGTCCTCTACACCATCCACCATGTCTTTCTTCGGTCAAGGCTACCATCACCCATACCAAGGTCACTCGGGTCGACGAAGCTTCCTTCCCGCCACTCACCTCCCGCCTCATCTCCCTTACCAGGCATTCTCCCAACCCTCGGCACCAGTCTACGAGCCTGAGTACTATTACCACCAAGGTCCGCCTCCTCATCCCTACCACTCGACCTATGGCCACCCATCCGCCACGGCTTCACCCTACGAAGCCGACATCGATGCGGAAGAACGAGCAGCTCTGGCACACCTACAAGCTATTCGAGAGCGTCGACAAGCTGTTGACGCCCGCTTGAACCGTGAAGCAGAGATCAAAGCTGAGCGAGAGTTGGCTTATCAAGCTGCTCTCCAACGAGAAAAGGAAGCGGAGCTCAAGAGGGAAAAGTTGGCTCGACAGCGAGCTCAAGCCCTCGAGCGACTCAAGGAACGACAGAGGTTGATTGAACGCGCTCAAGCCGAACGAGAACAACAACGACGACGACAGGAAATTGCTAAGGCTCAAACTTTGGACGCTTGGCAAGCTCAACTTGTCACAGCCGCGAAAGCCAAGGCATACGCCTTCGCGCAGGCTCAAGCTGAGCAAGCCGCTCGAAACGCTGCCGCCATAGCTCAGGAGAAGAAACGACAGTACTGTCAGAGAATTCGAGAGGAACAAGCTAAACGAAAGGCTTGTGCGGAAAACTGTGCGAGACGACAAGTCGCCGATAAGAAGGATGACAAGGAGTTCGAGGGCGAGGACGGTTTGAAGATTATCAACGACTTGCTCAGTGGATTCTTTGGTATCAATCTCATTCGTGAGGACCCTACCAAGGCTACCGAAGCGACTCAAGACGCCTCTCCCGTCACTGCCGAATCTGCCACCAAGGAATCAGCCCCTGTAACCGTCGAAGTCAAATCTGCGCCTGTCGCCACGGAGTCGGTCCCCGCTACGCAGAAGAACACAGAGACTCCGACATCGAAGGAGAACGTCGCCGCACCCGAGCCCTCTACTGCCTTTCCATCAGATCTCAACGACCTGCTTTCTCACTTCCTCGGACTTCGAGTCGACCCTGCCAAAGATGGCGAAGCTCCCACTAGTCAACCCGACAAGAACATCATCGGTGGCTTGAACCAGTTCCTTGGTCAATTCGGACTCGAATTCGAACCTACCACCGAGCCCGCTACGGAAGCTCAGCCCCCCCAGGCGTCGGGATCTGGCTCCTCCTCAAAGCCCACCGAAACCGCCTCCAAGCCGGATGCGACTTCCTCCGCCACGAACGAGGAGATTCCCGCCAAACAAGCGACTACTCCCATTTCCGACTTCCTCAATGGTCATTACGAGATCCCACCTTTCGTGCGAGACATCCTTGCCAACGTCGAAGTCGCTTTGACCCAAGGACAAGATTTCAAGGCAGAGCCAGAGGTTAAAGGAAAAGGCAAAGGCGTCGCTGAAGGTGAAAAGCCAGCTGCTCGACCTGCCAAAGTCCCCGACCTACACTTCGAGTCTGCGACACCGGCCGAGACTGTAGAAACCGTCTCGTCATCCGCTTCCATTGACAAATTGGACAATATCGCTCATGAGCTCTACCTCGCCACTGAGTCGTTCGAGTTCCCTCGAAAGCTAGTCTTTGCACCTAACAACAATGCCGAACAACCTCAACTCTTGTTCAACAAGACAAATTCGGGGTACCACGCTCAGGCTCACAAGCTCCTCCAACTCCTTCTCGCTGCTGATGGAGTGTCAAGCGGTGGAGACAAGGATGTGCGACGAAAGCGAAAGGATGTAGTCCGAGCTGTTGAAGGTGCCATCGAGGCTCTGGAGAAGAAGCGAGATGACCTTTGGACTCAAGTCAAGGAGAAGAGGGAGCACGGGGAGGAGAGTGACCTCGAAGACGTTGCAGTCTCTTCTGGAGCTTCGACCCTCAGCGACATTGAACACGTCGAACTTGGTGATTTCGAGGAGCACGCTGAGGAGAAAAATGAAGAGTCTACACAAGAAGCTATCAAAGGGTTCGAAGCCACCGATGGTCCCTCTGAGGTGGTCTTTGACGCCCATGAACACGAAAAGGCAGACGAGGCCCAACCCGCTGCCGAATCGTCTTCAGACAAGGTTGAGGATCAGGCGACGGAAGTGACGACTGCCGATGACAAGGAGACGACGGAGACGGAGACGACGGCCCCGCAAGTTCAGGAGGATAAGGTGGAGTCTCTCACACCGCCTCCCAAATCACCTGCCTCTCGCTCTGTCACCGTCGAGGATCAAGAAGAAGGATATGAAGTTCTTTGATGGTTGGATCATGAGAGTCAAGAATTCCTGAGTAGACAGCAATGTATGTAGCATCTGTACACGGCCGCAGACAAGTCAAAGAATGAATGAATGAATACAATTAATAATTCACGCTCCTCTCTAGAGTCACTTGGCTCAAAATGACGATTTTTTCCTATCCCGGGATTCGGTCGATGAGTTCGGGGCCAGAAACGACTTGAGATTCCACACTTTGAACTATCTTTTGCTCTTTTGAGGTCTTGAGGCTTCGGTCGCCATGGCTGGTTATGTGCTTGGGACAGGCTCTGGACTCCTAGCGGCTGCCGCGGTCTACTATACTTTGTCCACGTCTCTGCGTCAGGCGACTGACTCATTACAGAATGAGTGAGTGTGAGATGATGATTTCATGCGTCATACGAGGCTACCTCGAACCTGCCTCAAGCGCTACGATTGTTCGCTATCTCTCTGCACGAGGAGAACAGGGGTCCAGCTCTGTGATGTAGATTGAAGCTGTTGAAGCTTCATCCCGCTGACTCTTCGCCCAGCTTGCACCGTTCCACGGCCCTGTTGAGCGATTCCTTTGACCCTCAAACTCCTCCAGCCCCATCCTCCTATGTGGGACCTTCTTACCCTTACACACCACGCTTCACGGACACACTCCGATCACGATGGAATGTAGCCATTTCCAGAGCATTTGACGGCGTCCGAGAGACGGACTGGGCAGCCATGGGTCTAGTCGTAGTGGACGAAACTGGCAAGGTTGTCAAACGTCTATCTACCCAATTGCAAAATTCGGAAACTGGTCAAGCCGTCGCCAAAGCTACGCCGACCAGTGAATCCGTATCGAGAGCAGCGGATAGAGTTTCTGAGAAGGCTCATCGCATGGTCGACGATATCTCATCAACGGCGCAAAAGGAAGCGTCCTCCGTATCTCACGGCCTCAAGTCTTTATGGCCTAAACTTACAGGAGCGGTCCAGGAGGTGGAAAAGGAAGCAGGAGTCGTCAGTGATGAGGTGAAGAAGCTGGTACACAAGGGGGAGCTTGAGGCGCAAGAGCTAGATCGGTTAGGCGCAGGAGTAGTGGGAGGAAACATCCGCGAGGAGAGTTTTACGGGAGGTACTGGAAGATGGGTCAGGGCAAAAAGACAGGTCGAGGGACATTTAGAGGGACGCCTGGTGTGAGACTGTCCATGAAAAGTGGCAGGCCATCTTGGAAAGATAGACAGGATAACGGAGAGCGTCGACATATGCATACTGACATACTTACCGTGCCACTCACGCTCAGAGACAGCCAAAGACCTCAAGCTCCTAATGGAAAGGGGGAGCGAGCTAGCTGGTACAGAATCATCACCTCATTCCGAAGTCGGAGACGACATTTCACGAATTGATCAAGCCGTGTTGGTCATGCACCGGACGTCCAATATGGTATGCTACAAAAAGGGATACAACAAGTGTGTTTGCGCTGAGGGCCACCAAATCTGTCGAACTTGCTGGAAGTGGTCCCGGTATGAGTTTTCGAGAGATGACTCGCCGATCCGCTCCGAACCGCCTGCCTCATCCAAAATATACAGCGATTGCGTCGTCAAGCTCGTGTAACGTTGTCAAACAATCGGTCAATCTCGTGAATGCCTGAAAGTACAGTTTTCGCCCTTGAAACAACTGAGAAGAAAGCCGTCAGCACCGAAATTCCAAGCTTGACTCTCTAGCTCATTCTCAATGACTCACGCATTCTTAAGCCAATGCTTGCACACCACCGTGCCATGTCTTCTGCCGCCGCCGCCGCTGCCTCCTCCGCCTCCACCACGTCCATAACGACCACTCTCCCTATCCCAATCACGCCGATCGCGATCACGATCATTCGCTTGTTCGTATCCGTATCCAGCGTATCCTCCGGTTCCAGCTGCAGAGGAGCCAGCATAGGTCCACTGCTGGTACGCACTACCTCCTCCGCCGTATGGCTGTGCGCTGGCAGCAGGCTGAGATTGTTGAGAGTAATAATTGTAGTTCGCACCTGGCGCAGGCTGCGATTGACCATATGAATAAACTTGTGGCTGTTGAGTCGGAGGGACAAACAGATCTCTGTTCAGAGATCCAAGAAGCTCCGAGACGGAGGCGGACGTTTGAAGACCCGACAAGATGGCTGCGTTCTGGGCTGCAGGTGGGACAGCCGATGTATCGTGATGGATCGGGTACCATGTTCCCGTTTGAAGTCCTCGTTGAACGATTCGAACTCCCGATTCGTCAGGATCAGAAGGCACTTCGGCGGCAGTGTATAGGACGCCAAGGATACCCCGTTCTCGAGCTTCTTGTTCTTCGACTTCTGGCGTCGGTGCTGGAATCTCTGCACCTCCTTCATACACTGGAGGACGGGATCAGCGGGGACCCATTCCATTCGGACAGCCATCAAGACTCACGCAATGGCTCGTACCAATCAATCTCCGCCTCTATCGTTTCATGTGTTCTCAGTGCTCTTCCCTCTGCCATGTCAAGCTGATGAGCGGTTTTGCCACCGAGATCCTCCTGCAGTCGAGAATGAGTAAGGCATCCAGCCGTCCAATGAGAAAGACTCACGTCCTGTTGCCATGGCGCTTTTTCGAGCTCCCAAGCTTCCTCTTTGAACTCCTTGACCATGACAAGGTCGCCTGAGTCAGGAACATTGTCTCTGAATCGTACAACGTGGCCCTTCTTGTTCGGTTTCGGACCAGCAGGTTTGACTTCTGCAGGTGGCGAATCGATAGATATAGCTGCGTTGGCCGATAGCACAGCTTGGTTCGACGAGGGACGGACAGCACCTTGCTGTCTGAATGCATTCAGAGTGCTCGCAAGCAGACTCGCAGCTGGAGCCATCGGCGGCTTCGGAGTTGGCGGACCAGTTGAGGCAGGCAGCTTCGACGGGGCTGTTTCAGACGGATCTCGCTTTTTGATATCCGGTAGCTTTGGCCTGGGTCGAGATGGACCTGCGAGTGTAGATGTATTCCCGAAAAACGACATATCTGCAGATCCGTGCGATGTCTCTGATTTGACTGGTCGAGCTGTACCATCCTCTGACCGCTGCTTTTTCGCTAAAGGCATGGTCAGGTTTGACTATAACTCTGGCGTCCAGACTTACCTGAATTTGAGTCTACGACTTTGTTCCCTTCTGACTCTTCGTCCGCCTTACGCTTCTTATCCTCATCCGCAATGGCAATTGCGGCCTTCTTAAAATGTTTCCACGCGGTCTCCATGTCTTTAATCCCATCCACACCCGCCTCTTTGGCCTTGTCTATCATATTGATCGCGAGTCTACCGAATTTAAAGTCTGTCAACGTGTCATATGACATCTCAGTCCTTGACAAGACTTGGAGTAAGGGAGCTATACATTTGCCCCACTCTTTGGGGTCTTTGCCAAACCTGATCAACCATTTTTTAAGTACAAGAGCATACTTGTCATCGCTTGCCATTCTGAGCAAGTAGATCGGCGGCGCGTGGTTCTTGAGCTGGACAAGGATCTCGTGTAACTGCGCAGCATCGGGAGTGAAGAGTGGAGGGTGTTGGACATCCTTGATCGTTCGATTGCGAAGAAGCTTGAATAAGCCAACGGGTTTACCGAGTTTCAGATTATCCGGTGTGATCAAGCGTCGAATGTCCGCCATGGTCGTAGGACCACTCGGTTCGGAGGACGCGACTTCTGTACCGGCGGCAGCGCTCGATGATGGCCCCGGACCAGCTACAGCCTGCCTCGATACAATTTGTGCTGATGAGGGTTTGGCGCTGAGAGACGAAGAGGACCAAAGTGACATGATGCGCTTTGGGGGAGACGGGAGGCTTGGATCGAAGACGGATCGAGCCATGATAGGTCGTTTAGAATGTCTGACTCGGCGGACAGTAAGTGAGTGGTGGGTACGTGGAGACAAGGAGCCAGAAGGTGCAGAAGAGGATAGGTTGTCAAGTGGCGATCCGTGCATTGTTGACGGGACCGAAGAACCGCTGCTGCGTCTAGTGGCTTCGGGTCTGCACAACGAGACGTCAGATGGTTCGAGGATCAATCTCTAGAATGACTCACGCCTGTTCGTACGAAGTCGCCTGGGTAGGGTCGAGCTGTATGCCATATCCTTCGACAATATCATCACGAGTGGCAGGGTGTGGCACTGCCGAAACCGCTGATGGCATCGCGGCGAATGATGAAGGCGGCAGGACATTATGCATCTGTGAGTGTGCGTGTCCACCTTGTCGAGTATCCTCATCTGGGCCACCAACATAACCAGCATAGGCTGCAGTTGGGACCGTCCCGAATGATTGCGTTGGTCCTGCGCAGAGTGTCAGTACCACTGTCTCCCTGCCAAGTGCCACACCAGAACACAAGATGACGTAAGGGAGAACGAGAGAGAAAAAGGCGCGTGTGACACACTTTCGCCTATCTGTGTTATTGTAGCCGGCGCAAAGTTGCCTCTTTAGGAAAGAATGGTATATCTCGCCATATGCACGACCTTGGTCAATGATAGGTGTTTTCATACTGATATGATACAGGAATGAGAGCACATGCAGCTTAGCACGTTAGATGGGCACGATGTCCGGGAACGCAGTCCGATAAGTAGATGAGAGCTCTTCCGCTTACCTTGGAATTGTTGCAATTGGGCAGGATTAATCGTCGTCGCCGCGTAAGACGGCTGCTGCTGCTGCTGCTGTTGAGGATGATGATGATATGATTGTGGCTGCTGAGCCGCAATCTGATTCGCTTGACCCTCTTGTGCAGTCATACGCCGCTCATCCTCTAGTGCCAATTGCCAAGCCTGAAACTGATCCCAACCTTCTTCACATTTTTCTCTCCACAGAATCCAATGAAGGGGTGATTGACCCGGTTGAATAGGTCGTTTTGCAAGCTCTGTTTGAAGCCATAGAGCTTGTTCAGGACCTTGACTGATGGCGTGCGAGGGGTAAAGTGGGTCGGCAGCAGAGGAAGGGGAGACGAAGCGATTCACTCGTCAGCATATTCTTCTCCCTGTTTGGCGGTGTGACGGTGGACTCACGCGAGCTGCTGTAACATGCCGAGACCGTTATCGTGCTGAGAGTTGGAGGGCTGCACCAATCCTTGCATCTCGTGAGGTCCAGTGACTTCCATCATAGAGCCTGGAAAAGCTGAGAAGCCTTGAAACGACATTGCTGGCGCGCTCGAGCCAGACGCAGCGTACTCATGACCACTGTGGGCCATGGTTGCTGGCGTAAGCTTGGACTCGCCGCCGGAGAGTCTACCCAGACAATATCTCTCGATCCTCTACCTCGTCTCTGCCGGATCGTTCATCTGAACATGATAAAGCTCTAGGTTTTGCCTTTAATACCACTGCCTGATCAGGATCTTTTGAGTCTGACTCGATCGCCTCGCCTACAAAGACTACGTGCAAGGTTGCTGTGATGAGAGGAACGATGGGCTCAGGAGAAAGGGATGAGAAAGCAACTGGCGTGGAATCGCCGAATGTGGCACCAAACCACGTGGTGGCATTTACGCGCATTTGGGTCTGGAATCCTGCGAACAGCTGAAATACCGAAGCGTCGATCAGCTACAATTGAACCGATAATTCACCTACATGGCTGTGAGGTCTATCAGCAGTCCTTGAAGAGTTCTCAGTCACAAGTAGAGCTCCTCGCACAGAGAGGAGTGGTGCTGAGCACATCTACGCACTCATGTCTTATCCTCCCCCTCGAGATACCGGCTCAATCGCAAGGGATGGAAGGATCAATGAGGACCAGGCGGACAGTCCGTTGATGAATGGTGATGGCGATGACGACCACAATAGAGACGCGGGAAATGGAGACGTGGAAGACGAGGAGGAGAAGGACTTGATCCGGTGGGTTATCGAGAGCTCATATCATACATTTCCTCTCATCGTCACTCAGGCGATATGAAGATTTCAGCACAGTCGGTAAGACGGGACTTATTTCGGCTTCATCATTTAGCTGATCAGCACCCTCCAGATTGGATTCAAGACTCATTACATGAGCGGAATATCCGTGCACGACAACCGAAGAGGTCCACCGGCATCAAAGCAAAGTTGGATCAACTAGACGGGTTGCCCGGATACGCCTGGAGAGCTATCGACAAGGTGTTGGAGGAAGGTCAGAGCTGGGTGGTGATCTCAATTGTAGGTAAGTCGAGCAGCGCACTTGGCCCCTCTATCTGGCTACTAGACCAGCAGCCTGCTCACCCGCCGAGGGCCTTCCAACGTGGAACTGGAAACGAGAAAAGACGACCGCTGACCACCTTCGCAGGCATCGGTATCGGGCTCAGTTCGGCACTCATGTCTCTCATCACCGTCTGGCTGTCAGACATGAAGATGGGATACTGTCAGACTGGATGGTGGCTCAACCAAAAGTTCTGTTGTCTGGAATTGGCAGATGAAGGAGAAGGGTGCGCAGAGTGGAGGAACTGGGGAGGTGTCGAGCCATTTCGATGGATAGCGTATATCCTCTTTGCGGTGGGTCATTCCCTGAAGCCACCAAATTTGAGCGCTCATGAAGCTCTCAGGGGCTGTTCTCGTTCTCCGCTGCTTATCTCGTTCGATCTTTTGCTCCTTACGCTGCTGGTTCTGGTATATCTGAGATAAAGTGTATCCTGGGAGGATTCATCATCAAAGGATTCCTGAGTGTTGAGACGTTCCTTCTTAAGACGTTGACCATGGTGAGTTGAAGACAAATGGCTGGAGGAACGAGCTCATCGCTTCCAACAGCCTCTCGCTATTGCATCTGGTCTTTCAGTCGGAAAGGAAGGACCTTCAGTGCATGTCGCTTGCAGTTTTGGCAACATTGCTGCGAGGTTATTTTCGCGGTACGACCGGAGTCATCGTGTGTCATATGACTTCGCGTTGTAGCTGAAGCTGATCTGTCGTTCAGTGAAAATGCGCGAAGTCATCACTGCTTCTAGTGCTGCTGGAGTTGCAGTGGCCTTTGGTTCTCCAATCGGGGGCGTGCTGTTTTCCATTGAGGTATGGAGAACGAAAGGAGCAGGGGACACGAGCTGATGCAGATGCTTAGGAAATGAATCAAACCTTTTCTACGCGTACCATGTGGTACAGTTTCGTCTGTGCTCTGGTGGCGACATTTACAGTCGCTGTAAGCATGTTGTCTCGAGTCTGGTCGCAGTCCTAACGCGAATTTCCAGTCGATGGATCCATTCCGGACCGGCAAGCTCGTCTTGTTCCAAGTCTCTTACGACCGAGACTGGCATTATTTTGAAATCCCAGCGTACATCATCATTGGTTTGTTCGGCGTGAGTGTCTTGCTCGGGCCCCGTATATCTCTCGCTCAATCTTATTGCAGGGTCTATACGGCGCTTTGGTCATCAAATTCAATCTTCAGATGGCTTCTTTCCGACGCAAACATCTGGCGAATCATGCTGTACTGGAAGCGGTGACACTAGCAACGTTGACCGCCTTTGTCGGTTATCTCAACCGATTCCTCCGTATTGACATGACGGAAAGTATGGAAATCCTCTTTCATGAGTGCGAAGGCGGAGGAGATAGACGTGGTCTGTGCCAGTGAGTCGCATCGTCATTTATCTTTGATACCATTCTTTACTGATCAACGTGCGCGCGCCCAGGACGTCTGCTCAATGGCGTATGGTCAACGCATTGTTCCTCGCTACTATCATACGAACTTTCCTCATCATCGTCTCGTATGGTTGTAAGGTTCCTTGTGGAATTTTCGTGCCTTCCATGGCCGTGGGCGCTTATTTTGGCCGTATGATAGGCATTATCATGAAGGCGTTACACACGTGAGCAGCCTGTTGCACCAAAGCGCTCCCACAAGCTCACACATCTTAGCTCCTACCCTGGAGCTCCTTGGTTTGCAACTTGCGCTCCTGATGCGCCTTGCATCACACCGGGGACATATGCATTCTTGGGTGCCGCTGCTGCACTGGGGTGAGCTACCAAAAGTTGCATATTGCGTAGGGCATTGACCCTTGCACAGGGGCGTCACTCGACTGACGGTGACTGTTGTGGTCATTATGTTTGAATTGACCGGCGCACTGACTTATATTCTGCCGACAATGGTGAGCGATACCCTAGTAGGTAGAAAAGTGCTGAGAGAATGACAGATCGTCCTTCTTGTCACCAAGGCGGTCAGTGATTGGTTTGGTGGAGGTGGAATCGCAGATCGCATGATCCGCTTCAACGGATACCCATTCCTAGAGAAGGAAGACAAGGAGGATGGTGACCATGCATTTATCGAACCGAGTAAGTCCCAGTCTCTCGAGAGTTGGTACAGAGCTGATCTCAGCAGTTGCCAATGTGATGAAGAAGGACTTGACGTTCATGCCAGCGTCGGGTGTGCCTTTGCAGAAAATCAGTGAGCCTCTATCGGCCCTCGATCGATCTCACAACATCCAGGCGAGATCGTCCAAGGCACCTCGTACCAAGGCTTCCCTGTCGTACGAAGCGAGACAGACCGCACAGTCGTCGGATTCGTTCGAAAGACGGAACTGCGATACGCCGTCGATCGAGCGATGAGGACTCGCCACCTGTCAAACAATGCGACCTGTACATTCCAATGCATAGCTGAGGAAGCCGACAAGCCAAACGGTCTACTGGGGGAGCCAGATATCGTCATTGCTCCGCGGAAAGTCAGCACATCGAGGTCGAGAAGTCCTGTAGCGAGCAGGTCCGAGGCGCGGAGTAGTGCAGCTCAGGCGGATTTGGTCGACTTTGGGCAATATGTGGACGAGGTGAGTCAAACCCACAGGCCATATATAGGCGGCTTGCTGACATGTGCGATCTCCAGACACCATTGACCGTTGCGCCAAAAATGCCTCTGGAGATTGTCATGCAGCTCTTCAGGCGGATGGGGTGAGGCCGTTTCGCTCACTGCAACGGCAGAACGTGAACTTACCTTTACTAGGCCCCGGGTCATTCTCGTCGTCAACGAGGGCCAGCTTGTCGGTTTAGTGACTGTCAAAGATGTCTTGAGATACGAAGCGACTTTGGCACATCGATCTTCTCACTCTGGCCTCAATACACCCATCACCCCTTCTTCGCGTATGACACATCGTCAACGAAACGCAGAAGGATTCGGATCAACAGATAGCTGGGGTGAACGCTGGCAATCGATGGACGATGGCATGCGAGGAGGTGGCAATGGATTTGAAATCGCACTGGAGGAAGCTCTCTCATGGGTCAGAATCAAAGGGACGAGAGCCTATAATCTTGTTTATGAGCGGATACGACCTGGTCGAACGTCGAGGACGATGGACGAGAGGTACGATTATGAGTTGGAAGAAGGGACTGAATGACTGGGGTCTCTCGAGCCTTGATTCTTCACTGGTGTATCCATATGGGTCTTTCACATTTATAGAAGAATGCGACATTTTTGCATGCCAACGCAGACCCAGGTCTACCGGGCATCTATCTGTACCAATGCAGAATGATGGTGCATGCTGATCTGCCATTGGGAACATGTAATCCTTCTATTGCTCCATGCCCTCCATTCCACCTGGACCACCTTCCTCACCGCCCATACCTTCACCCATAGTCTGCACGCCACCCCCGGATTGCTCATCTGGCCGTTTGGCAGAAACAATGTCGTCAACACGGAGTAACAGCGTGGCGGACTAGAGGAGGGCACAACTCGTCAGCCCACTCTCTTAGAGACGAGACGTTGACCTGTTGCTCACCTCGATGGCCGTCTTCAGTGTCTGGATCTTGACGCTTGCAGACTCCAATAGCCCGTAGTCCCTCATATTTGTCACTTTGCCAGTGTCTCCATCAACACCGTACATGTGTTCTCCAGCTGCGTGCTTGGCCTGAATGCGAGCATTTCAGTGGAGGGGGAAAGAATGGGTCCAGAACGTCGACTCACTCTCAACTCTGTCAACGTCCTGATGGCGTTACCTCCCGAGTTTTGGACCAGAGTCCTAGGGATCACCTCGAGAGCGTCGCTGATGGCCTTGTAGGGGGCTCCAGCGACTCCAGGTAAGAGTTTAGCCTTTTCAGCCAGGGCGACGGAAATGGCCATCTCGGTAGCTCCTCCTCCAGGTGCGAGGATAGGATTGAAAACGACATTTCGGGCAACTGACATGGCATCTGCGAGGTTTCGATCGATCTCACTGAGAATGTCCTTGGAAGGTCCCCGGAGGAGGATCGTACAGGCTTTCGGTGAGACACATTCGTCCAGGAATGTAAAGTATCTTGAGAGGATGTCAGCATGAGACAGAGTCATGACCAATCCTTCAGGCTTACTCGTCGCCCATCTTCTCAATGTAAAAGACGCCACACCCTGTACCGACATCTTCGTCCCTCAGATCTTCAACACGGTTCACAATCGTCGCACCAACAGCACGTGCTATACGGTTGTTGTCGGATTTACGGACACGTCGAATAGTCGTGATATTCGCTTTGAGGAGGTAGTGCTGAGCGAGATCTGCCGACAGAGTTAGCAAAGGGACATTGATAGAGCTTGGGGTCCCACCTGAGACACCCTTCTCGGTGAATACGAGATCCGGCTTGAACTCTACAATCTTGTCACACATCGATCTGATCTGCTCCTCTTCAATTTGTAACACCCTGTTCCAATCTTCCTCTTTTGAAATCTCGATATTGGTCTGACTTTCTCCCTTTTTGTATTCCAACGGGCAATCCAACAAGACGATCCTGGGCTTTTCGATTCTTCGCCTCATCTTTGGATGAGTCACGTCCTTGTTCAACATGACTCCCTTGAGCACTCTGCAATCTTCGATTTCTCCGCCTGGGACTTTCTCGACTCGGGCATACCGTTTGATATCGACCGTCTTGACAGAGATGGAGGGTCCTCCAGAGCCCATGCTGCTGTCGGTCGATGAACCGATCATCCCGCTCTCCGCTTCGGCGCTCTCAGCGACAGTCTGAACGGCTTGAAGAGCCAAAGAGCACATCAAGTCGGACCATCGAGAGGAGAACTTTGTTCCTATTGACGTCTTGATAATAGCAAGCATATCAGCCTGAGAGGAGATGTCTACAGGTGTGGAGATTTGAGAGATGGTTTCCAAGGCATCATTGAGGGCTTGTTTGAAAGCTCGGATGATGACGACAGGGTGAATGTTTCGTTCGAGGAGGGGAAGAGAGTAGGCAAGGATCTCGCCGGCTACGAAAGATCAGCTCTAGATCCCAAAATTTGCCTGGGAGGTCCGAGCTTACCAAGGATAATGACACTGGTCGTCCCATCGCCGACTTCCTCGTCCTGCGTTCTGGATAGCTCGATCATAGATTTGGCAGCTGGATGAGCCACGTCAATCTCTCTCAAAATGGCATGTCCGTCGTTTGTCAGTCTGAACGGAACAGCAGAGTCAGCCAGGATAGCCTGCCACTTCAATTGAGGTCATCTAACTCACAAGATTCCACCCATAGGATCAAGAATCATCTTGAGCATAGCCTTTGGGCCAAGACACGTCCTGATAACATCGGCAACAGTCTGAGACAGCTTTAGCTTTGCATCTGGCCAGATACAAAAGCCGTGCCTACCTTTGCAGCGACAATGTTGGCCGTCTGGGCTTTACGTCCGGTCTGACGCTCTGGCCCAGTGTCTACGTGCGATGTGAGCTTGAAACCCAAAATGAACTCATGAGCTCACTCATGACCATCATTGGAAATCCGCCTGGAGCTGCCATCTTGATTTCTTGAGCTCTTGGCTGTTTTGTCGACTAAATAGTATCAAGTCACGGTCGTCGCGTTGAGCAATTGAAATGACCGTCGAACATTTCGCGGAGGTCAGTCGGATAATGGCCGGAAAGCCCATAAATGCCACGTCAAGATGGGATCGTTCAGAAATCACAGACGGTCTGAAATGCTCATTCTTTCAAAGGTCAGGTATAACTGGACCATCCTCATGACAAGATGAGACCTACTACAACGCTGCTGAGATCAGCGTGGAAGGGTGAGTACTGATCAGAATTGAGACTATCTCCTCTGGTCTCTTTCCTCCAGACATCTAGACGACCCGGCTGCAAAAGGTGTTGAGATACTGACCTTCCTCATCTCGATCTGCAGGACCGTTCTTTGTCGCCTTTCCTTCCCTACAAAGCGCACTAAGAGACAACACACCGATCTTCACCAAAGCCAGAGCATGCACCATCTTACCGAACCACATCGGTGTCCGATTCATGGTCCATAACGGACGGGACTATCTCCCCGTGACAGTCACGGAAGAAATGGTGGGACATAAGTTGGGAGAGTTCTCCGCGACGAGAAAGAGATTCAGCTACAGGTAGGTACTGAGCTGAGCTGTCCGGTAAGCTACGGATGGGACACTGATATATCTTGTGTACAGGCAAACGAAGAACAAGTAGGCAGTTTTGTCATACTTCATTTGCCCATTTGGAGGAAGAACCCAGAACGTCGGCATCCCAAATTCACACTCGGCATGGATTCGATTCAGTACAAACATCTTTCAGCTTCACTTTGTATACCTTGCATACATATACCCATCACAGTTTGCGTGGCAACTCAGCTCAACTTTGTCAAGCTTCACCATCGCGCCTGGTCCCGAGGCCGGTAGATAGAGAACATGCCATCAATGCCTGATAAACGTCTTTCGGATCTCACGGGATGCGCAGATTTCGTGGCTGTTGTCGTCGCACGTATGCATGCTTCGTCTGCGTATGGAGAACGATATACAAGCAGACAAACACATCCTCTCCCATGACCAGCCCCTCGTCCACAACATCCAAGATCAACTCCGTTCCACTTAGGCAGAAGCCTTGATCTTGAGTTGACCGAGGAAGGCGGCCTTCTCTTGCGCATCGTTGAACTTTCCGTGTCCGAACTTGGAGGTGGTGTCGATGTACTGAAGAAAGGAGTCAGTAACGGCTCAAGCAGCTTTTCTTAGACAGCATGCTCACCTTGAGTTGAACCTTCTCCAGGTGAGCTCGAGAGGTGTGTGTTCGGAGAGCCTTTCGGAGAGTAATGACTCGCTTCTTGGGTCCTGGGACACCTCCCTTGAGGACGATACAGTCTCCACGGATGAGACCGTAGTGAGGCCATCCTCCCATAGGGTTGATGGTCTTCTTGCTGATGTCGAACTCGGTACCTCCAGATCCCTCGGCGGAACCATCGCAGATCTTGTAGATCTTGTGGTTCATCGATGTTCGGTGGTGGTATCCGCTACAGTGGGTGTCAGAAGGGTTCTCCACGGAAGAAAGGATGTCTACTCACTCCTGACCAGCACGGGCCACAGAGAACATGACCTTGGAAGGGTGCCAAGCTCCAATACAAGCGACCTTTCTCAGACCACGATGAGTCTTTCTCGGCAACTTCTTGGTTCCCCATCTGGCAGTCACACCCTCGTATCCTTTACCCTTGGTAACTCCAATGACGTCGATAACTTCGTCTTGCTCGAACAGGGAAGAGACTTCGAAAGTCTTTTCGAAGTGGCTCTTGGCGAACTCGACCTTGTCGGCGACGCTTCCTCCGTTGACCTGAATCTCCATCAAATGAGCCTTCTTTTGTGACAGGCCAGTCTTGGAGAGTTGGGTGTGGGCAAGGACTCGAACGACAGTGCAGTACTTCTTGATTCGCTCAATTTCACGGGAAATGGATTGACCACTGGACTCGGAGTGCTTCTTGGCGTATCGGGTGAAAGCCTTCTTCTTTGATCGGTACCAGTTTCTAGTGATTGTGTCAGCATTCTCATGGAACTCTCTTTGCGACTGCACTCACTTGTAGAATCTCCTCTTGACCTCGTCGGACAGGTGCTCCGCCCAAACGGTGGTCAGAGATCTCAAGCCTCGTGGTGTCTCGACGTATCCAACCACACCAACAATGACCATCGGGGGAGTTTCGATGACAGTGACGGCCTCGACGACTTCACGCTTGTGCATCTCTGAAGAGGGCCGTGAGCTGATGCCGTGCCATTTCAGAACCGAAACCACTCACTGGATCCAGGACGGTCGAGATCACGGACAACGTGGGTCATACCGGCCTTGTATCCCATCATAGCGGTGAGGTGCACTGGCTTTTTGGGGTCGTCCTGGAGTCCAATGGGTCAGTCTCGTATTCAGCTGCCATTCCATTCCCAATTTCCCTCCCTATCCTTGCTTGTCTCCACATCCTCCAGATTCTCCTCGACAGATAATCGAATGATCCACAACTCACCTTGGGGAACGCCTTGACCTTACCCCTGTGCCGGGCAGCACGTTTCCTCGGGACTATGAGGGCCATCAGAATCGACGCTCGCGGAACAGATAGATGCAAGAGAAACTCACGGAAAGCAAGCGAACCGGAACGGGGCTCTTCGTACTGTTGGAAAGGCAATCAGCGAAGGCTCCAAGGGAGACGTGTGTGCGGACAGCCATGTCATGCCGATCCAGTACAGCTCAAGCACGTTCTACTTACCTTTCGGTGAGACATGATGGATGGTGGACTCTTGAAGGATGAGAGAGAAGGGAAAGGAGCTCGCTGGTCTTTGAATACGACCAGACACTATTGCAGCTTCAAAGTGGACACGGAAGCAAAAATGAAAAAAGTCTGCAGCCCCTATTGGAAAATGGCCATCGGCGTTAAACACTCGGCAGGGCGAAGGCTTTGTGTAAGGTCAATTCTTATCACCGATATATTCGATTTGTCGCGGAATGCTCAGTGGTAGTAGCCAGGATGGTGAAGATGAATCGGGCCTACTAGCCTCCGTTGTGACAATGGCCTATGGGGCATATAGAGAGTTGGTCACAGTACGACTGACGCAGCAGGATATGGAAGACATCGGCGTGATGCCATGAGATTCATCACCCCCTTTGGGGGGGGCGCCCGCGCGGGGGGGGGGGGGGGGGCACTATCTACACAGGATCGTATCTGACTGACCAGGATCAGGGTCGATGAAAAGTCTAATCGCACTTATCGGCCTGCGACCAGGATCTCTGGTACGTACTAGACCCGTAGTTGTCCTGCGAGCGCATCCCCGAGCGAGCACTTCAAACCCAACGATGCCGGGCAAGAATGTTTCCTCTGCGCTTGAGTGAGCGTGCGATGTTATTTGTCTATCAGGTTCGTTCAATGAGGTTCTCGTTCATGTCATATGCACTAGTCCTGGCGCTCTCGCCATAAAGCAGTGAGTGATATCACAGCATGTCGTCTCCGGGGAATCACCCGCTGATGCCGTAAGAATTCTCGGCAACTCGGTTCGGGAGCTTTATCATCCACAAGCATTCCTGGAGATGATGATACATTATACGCTGGGCAGACGTGATCCAAGAGCGACTTGACATTTTGCTTGACTAGGCAGCAGGCTGAGCAGCTGGCATCATCTTACAGAGGACCCAAAGTCCATGACTTCTAGTACTGGTAGCAGTGCCGGTACATTTCGATCGACAAGGACTGTACCGTGTTTGAGATGCCGATCTCTCCATCTCAACTGTCAATGGGGCGAATCGCAGGAAGGGCGAGTGACCTGTATACGGTGTACGGAAGATGATCAACAATGTTCTGGACCCCAAAAGAGACCGTGAGTCAAGCCTTCGGTGAAAAGCGGGTGAGCGACATGGGCGGGGCAGTGCGTTTTATAGCAAATGATATATACGGATCATCTCCGTCGTTCGCTCGCTCGTCTACGGCGATACTCGGCTGATGCGTCACCTTTAGACGGTCACGTAAAGGGCCATGTGACTCGTGCAAACGAAAGCGAAGTGAGTGCCGTGTCCCGCGTCGATCATGCACAACTGACAAACCCAGCACGATGTATCTGGACCGAAGGAGATGAGCTCTGCGCGAGATGTCGTGACAGGGGTCTTGGGGTGTGTCCTATCCCACCAAGGTCGTCAAAGTACAGCGCGACACCGGCTACTTCTGCACCTGATCTGAGTCGGCGGTCCAGTGATGATCTCAAGATACCGCAGAGCGAGACTTGGAGTATGGTCATGACGGACAGTATGAGACGAAACTTGATGGATCAGGGTCGGGTACAAATGACCGCGGCAGGTTTCTCGGGCTTACAGGGGTATCCGTGTTCAGTTGATTCGACGACTCAAACGGACAAGGTGAGGGTGTCACCGTGACCCATCCTTGCGCGTTTGACAACGCTGACCAGCGATGTTGCCAGTTCATTTCGATGATCCTCGCCATCTCCGGGTTGAAGTTTACGAATGTTTGCGTGAGAGGCTGCTTTCCCCCTCTGCACTCATCTTGACCCGTAGCTGACGTTTGGCTCCCAGTCGAGCCACAGCTTAGATTCAGAGGGTGGCATCCAGGCCTTCGATTCAGCAACTACCTCCTTTTGGCTCTCCTCTCCGACGCCAAAGGCTTCAGTCCAAGAGAGAGGCCTTCAGACCTTGTACCCCGGAGCGTGGGAAATCGCAAGAGACCTCATCATGGATTCTCCTCTCCAGGAACCCAACCTTGTCCGGATCGTCTCTGGTGTCAATACGTTGATCCGGTTGTCAATCGTTCCCACGACAGACTCAAATACGATCCGTATGGTCTTAGCATGCACCGTCATTGCGATCGCTTGCGAGCTGCAAAGTAGCTCGATCGGTCCAGAAGAGAAGCAAGAGCTGGCAGAGTCGGCTCTGACTCTGATGGTGAGGCTATGGGAGACAGAAGACACATTGAGCTTGAAGCTGACATGTCGCTTTCAAGCATAGAGAGCACCACTACGCGGTACAGAGTGGACTGTCATCATGGATGTGAGGCCCATTCTCTCGCACTAGCCCTACTGACTTACCTCTCTAGACCTCAAACAGCCTACGACCTGATCGTCGCGCAAATTACTGAACAAAGCGATATTCAAACCCTCCTTCAAAGCTGTATCGATCAATCGACGACGCAACCTCCCGGCTCTACCTGTTTTTTGAAACCATTCACCAAGCAGATATTCTCATCGACCGAAATCACAGCGCTCAAGCTCTCCAGACGACTGGCAAGCGTCTCAGACGACCAGTGCACCAGTACCGCGGCCATCTTTCAAGACATTTATGATGATTTGAACACATTGCATGCGTCGATCGATACGCTCGCGATATTGGGAACGGGAAGTATCGATTTGAACGATACGCTCGAGATGCCCATGCCTCTCATCAAGGATTTGAGGGTGTTGGAATTGAAAGCCGTGGAGATTGGCGTTCTGGTCTTAGTGGCCATATCGAGGCATATAAATTCTCCAACCTTGGATGTGGAGGCGAGGCAAACATTGAAAGGTCTAGAAGAGCTCATCGCGATGGAGGCTCTGCGCCGTCTCGTGAGAATCTTCAAAGAGGCCATAAGAGTGAGTAGTGAGGAGTAGAGTCCACCAGACTGCCAAAATTTCACGCTGATCAATGTCTTCTGCCCCATCCAGGACGAAGACTCACGGTTGGCCGACTTGTTTCCTCTCATGGACGCAACGACGTATATCCTCGGACTGGGCCAATCTCATCTCGCACCACGTATGAAAGATCTGCCGGTGTTAGACGTTGCTTTGTGAGTTGGCTATCCTGTCTTGCAAAAATGTCACACTCTGATTGGTGCCACTCTGACTCGACGCCTTTTGCAGCGTTGTTCAAGCATTGACGATTGGGAGATTTTGGGAATGTCGAGCTGCCGAATTAGTCTTGGCTTATTCTTCAAGCTATCCTGATATAGAGATGGGCGAGGCGTCTCGCGCGAGTTGAAGAACGGACGGTGGTCGGTGGATGGGGGCCGAGCGACATTCACCATTACCCACATCATTGTTCCTTCCACCCTAATATGTTCTTCCTGCTTGTGCTCCGGGGTGCACTAGGTCATACCGATTGTATCCAAATAAACGCTATGGCCCCTGACGATAGATACAATGCACTGTATGTCCTGAATCTCATTCCTCCAACATGGCGAGACCCGCTCTCCTTGCCAGTCAGTCTAACATAAAAAGCATTCCTCTACCCTAATAGTCATCATCACTATCACTACTTTCACTGTCCTCGGCCTCTTCCTCCTCCTCCTCTTCTTCTTCATGGTGTTGCCCTCCTTCTCCACTCTCCTCTTCATCGTCCTCATCCTCGTCGTCGTCCTCATCGGGATCAGGAGCCATCCTTGACCTCCCTGCGCCCGCGCCCGCTCGACTCATATTCAACTTGATTTTCGTCGGTACAGGTGTCGCCTTGTCCTGAGGTTTGTACATTGGTGTCGAGGATCCACTCCCGACTCCAGATGTCATTCCACTAGGAATAGCAGATAATACTGCTGGTCCAGCGCCAGCGCCATTTCCAGTGCCATGACTTGCTCCGTTCCCTCCGGGACCTTCGCTATCCTCTAGCTTGGGCACTTGCTCCGCCCACAGGTTATCAAAGAACGCTTGCATCTGATCGGCTGCACTGTACACCCAAGATCCATCTTCGTTGTACGTCCTCGCATTGTCCCAGATGAGGTGCATGTCGGCTGAAAGTTGAGAAAGACCATAGGATGTATCCTTGCCAATACGGCGACGGATCTGATTCATGGTCATGGGATTCTTGATAATGTCGTAATAGTCAAAGAACACCTAGAAAGGGCCGCATTAGTCTTGTCTCGAGGCGGGCTGCTCCCAAACTGACCTTGCGATCGACGGGTTTGAGGAAATACTGGTTCAAATCTTCACCAGCTTCCGACTTGAGCGCATTGGTATCGTTGTACAATTTCCACATGAGCGTGATTTCAGTGGGTGAAGGACCTCCAGCGTCCGTCTTGCGGCGTTTCTATAAAGCAATCAGAACTGGCCTCGGCAATACGCTAAAAACACTCACCAGAGGCATATCCTCCCCAGCGACTGACGGTGTGGCACTAGCGCTCGGTCTGCCCCTCTTCTTCGCACCAGATTTCCCTACCGGCGTCTCTGCTTTGCCACCACCACTGCCACCACCACCACCGACATCCAAAGTCAACTTGATACTGCTCAACGGTTTGCCTTCGGCCTCCGCTTTCGCCAGCATCTCATTGACTCTCTTTCTCTCCTGTTTCTTTGCCGATCGTTTCCGCTTCCTCTCGGCAGCCTCCTCAATATCGTCATCCGAATCTTCCATCGCGTTCAACCATTGATCATCTGTCAAGCCATCTGTATATCTGACTTGCTCTTTCGCTCTTCTGCCACGCCCTTCCAGTCCTAACTCTTCCGCTTGAGCTTGTTCCGCTAACTCTTCACCGATATCGCGTCGATAGAATGGCGGCAGTTCCGATTCCTGCATCAATGGCGGAGGTACCGGCCCTTTATGACCTTCCTCTTTCCATTGAGCCGCGCGGAGCTCTTTGCGCTCCTTGTCCATCTGCGTGAAGATCTCCAGTTCGTGATCGCCTCGAGCCAGCAGCTCGTTCAACTCTTCGTCATCAAGCTCATTGGCCTCTTCGTTATCATCATCGGCGTTCGTCTCGAACGCCTTGGCCAAGAGCTCTTCGTACTCGGCACCGGTCGTCACGTCGTCGAATTTACCAGCTTGAATGACCTTTCCGTCAATTTCAAGCTTGCGTTGCGCACGCTGCAGGACAAGTTCCTCCACAGTCTGAGATGAAATCAAACGAAGGACTCGAACTTCTTTCTTTTGACCGATTCGATGAGCTCGGTCTTGCGCTTGCAAATCGGCGTGAGGATTCCAATCGGTATCGTAAATGATGACAGTATCGGCCGATTGCAGATTGAGACCGAGACCTCCAGCACGAGTGGACAGGATGAAGACCTGATATGGCGAAGCAGGGTCGTTGAAACTGGACAAGAGGGCTTGACGATCATCGGCCTTTGTGCTTCCATCCAAACGACAGTATCGCCAACCACGGTAGTCGAAAAAGTCGGCAATGATGGTCATGATCTCGGTCATTTGGAAGAAGATCAGGACTTTATGACCCGTCTTGAATAGTTTTGGCAAGATTCGATCCAATAGCTCGAATTTACCCGCAGTTCTGACAATCTGCTCATCGATATTGTTGCCGACAGAAAAGTCCTCGTCGACTTCGCGAAACACGAACGGGTGATTACAGATCTTCCGCAGCTGCATGATGGCGTTTTGCAAATTCGTTCGGCGATGTTTGCTAAGGACGGCGTCAGCGTGATCCAATTGGCCAGGATCTCTCGGCTCACCTCGCACTCATGTCCGTCGGAAGCGTTTTGTACTTTTTGACGCTTTCGTACAGTTTCCACTGGAGAGCACTCATCTTGGTATAGATGACCTTTTCGACCTTGTCTGGGAGCTCCGACTCGACATCCTTCTTTAAACGACGGAGCAAAAATGGTCGAAGAACCTTGTGCAATCGTTTGATGACGAGTAAAGCCTCTTCTTCATTCATCTCCATCTTTTCACCTCCAGTATTGGCGAAGGGTGCGTTGAACCACTCATCGAAGGATTTGACGGAGTTGAATATTTTGGGCAGGGCAAAATTGAGTAGGGCCCAAAGTTCGGGCAGGTTGTTCTGAAAGGATCATCAGGCTATACCTACTGACGAAAGGAAGGGTTGACTCACTTGCAATGGGGTTCCGGTAAGAATCAACCGGTATTTCGTACTGTAATACTCGTTCAAGGTCTGACTCAGTTTACTCTTGACGTTCTTCATTCGATGACCTTCATCGATAATCATGTGGATCCACTTGATCTTGCTGAGTAGTGGACGTTCCTTGATGACGTATTCATATGTTGTCAAGCAGACTTGGAAATCGACGGCTCGAAGTCGTCCGTATTGCTCTCGACGTTGGACAGGCGATCCTTTGAGGATCACCGTACGGACTGACGGTGCCCAACGTTCGAACTCCATTGTCCAGTTGGTCAGGGTAGACAAAGGCACAATGACGAGGAAAGGTCCAGGTTGACGCTTCTTCTCAATGAGGTAGGTGATGAGGGAGATGGTCTGAATAGTCTTTCCGAGACCCTGTGAATCGTCAGCATGCGCTTCGACGCCAGATCACGCACCATTTCGTCGGCCAGGATTCCGTTCAGCCTGTTATTGTACAGACTGATCATCCATTGTAGACCCTTGACTTGATAGTCTTTCAATGTTCCACCCGTCAACATCTTTGCTTGACCCGTGACTTTCTCCTGGATGCGATGCGCGACAGCATAGTAGTCCACTTTGCCAGCCTTTCTCTCTGCATTCTCCTCTTCTCCATCCTGTCGACGAGCACCAAACATGGCTTCACTCGCGGGTCCATCCTCGGTCTCGAAAGGCAAAGACATAGGCATTTGATCCCGATGAACGACATCATTTTGTTGGTCCACCACGGCAGCTGCGAGCGTCTCGAGATACGAATCTGTTTGCTTGAGCAGATGAGAGATACGCGAGTCCTTTGCTTCGCCTAGCAAGGCCAGATACCCTTCTTCATCGTCATTCTTCAAAGCTTTCAGACGTTCCTTGGCCAATCGCTCGATTCGCCTCTGCTCCTCCTTTTCGATCTCTTGATGTAATCGCATCATAGCTCGACCCATCCGTTTGGCCTTTTCTGCTCCAGAACCACGAGATGTGCCCACACCAGCACCTATGAGCGCTTGACCGTGCTCGCAGATGGAATTAATATAAGCCAGATGGCGTTGTTTGCCTCGTTGCTCCCGTTCGGTCCGTTGTCGTCGTTCGGCCGTCTCCGTCTCTCTCGCATCCCGCAAGTGATGTGTTCGGAAACGCCTGAACTGACTTCTGTCGACTGGAATTTGAGTCGCGCCGTGCATGGCTCTGACCACGTCTTCGCGCAACAGTCGCTGTTTGCCGAGCAGGCGTAGTTGAAGCAGCTCAATACGAGCCCTGATGCCCAGATTTGATCCGTTCGTGGGCTTGTCCGTAACGCCTGCTACCTCTTTCGCGCCACTCTCTCCGGTGCCAAAGGTCGCATCTAGCTCTTCGAGTTCTTTCATTCTCCAAGCCATCCGGGTCTCAACGAATCGATTGCGCTCCTCCATCAGATAGTACGGGTCCAGACCCTTCGGCATGGCATTGGGAACAATCAATCTTTGCATCTTGGTGAGCGGATTGGAGATTTCAGCATCAAAGTTGCGATTGGCATAGAACCCGGGATCCGTGTAGGCGTTGAAAGGGTAGATGGCAGAAGACGTGTCGAACTCCATGGCATAGGGAGGATGCCTGTGACTGGATTTGCTGACGTTGCTCTCCACCACAGCATCCACGGTCTTTTCAATGACCTTGCTATTGAGATCTGACCCTATTGGATTCGGCTCGGCAGGTTGACCACCTGATCCTGGGGGAGGAATGCCGGCCGCCGCATCTTGGAGGTAGGAGGGGACAGGTTGACCGCGATTGAGGAGGCTGAATGAAGCGGCTTGGGAGCGCAGTTGAGCGATTTGCTGAGGTGTCATCGCGGTGGAATTGGCAGGTGCAGGTGTCGGCGTTGCTGAGAAGCGTGAGTAAGACGATACGACGGACGAGCATACCTGTACTTGGACCAGCTGGAGACGGTCCGTTGGCTTGAGCTTGGTTCTGCTTGTCACTGGGAGGACAGTCAGTGGACAGAACCTGCGAGAGAAGAGGTCGACACGCACTCTAGCTCTTTCGATCTTTGTTGAAGTTTCAAGAGATATAGAATCTTATGCAATTCAGAAGAAGAATCGACCGTTTGTCCAGCAGCAAGGAGCTCTGAAGCTCGCTGTGGCCCGAGTCAACAGAGGGCCGTTGATGTCGACGAGCAGAGGTTCCATACTCACCTGTTTCAGCGCATTGAACTTTGCAGGATCCATCCCTCGCACCAAGTGCAATGCCTGTTCTTCCGTCTGAATACCGATTGGACCGGTTGTCCCAGGTGCGGATGGATGGGAGGTACCACCATTGGCAGTGCTATCGCCATTGATTTTACCGTTGACTGACAACGAAGGTCCAGCATGGCTAGATTCAGACGATGGCCCGCTCGTCGCGTTGATGGGGAAGGCGTTGATGTTGAAAGAGGGTGAATTGAATGCGTTGGTCGAGTCGGCCGGTATAGCTGTCGAAGAAGCCGATTCGGGCATGGTCGGAAGGAGGGAAGGCAGGAAGGAATGAGGGTCGGGAGTGTAATGAAATGGGTCGTTCGTTACACGTCAAGGTGCCAGATTGGCCTTGCCGTGTCCTTCACGCTTTCTCCTCTCTTTGATCCTCTGTTCCCCCCTTCACTTCTCCACTGCCCCCTCTGGTGACTGAATGTCTGGCTGACCTTGAGCCCTTCACCCTTGTCAAGATCTCCTTTTCCGCCTCTCCCAAATGGTATCAGACGCGTCTGCCAGAGGTCTCGGTGGAGGTCGGTGGTAGTGGTCTCTGATAATTATTATTTTGCCGGACCTTCCCCCTTTGCAAAAGCTGTCGGTGAGAAGTGTATGCAGAGCAACGCCGCCCCGCTCGCTCGCTTCCCCTTCCTCACCCTGGAAATAGGCGTATCGGGATTAACCGGAAATTGGAGGAATGTGGCACTTTGAGAGTCGAAGGACTTTCAGCTCATAAGACACTGCAGCATGGCCTTTGAAGCTCAACAAGTTAAGCAAGCAAGCTTGAGTGGTGCGAAAGACAACCAACACGTCCTACACAGTCCCCCAACTCAGCGGTCCCCTCCTTCTCTACATAGTCAAAAAGGACGGGGGTCCAGGCTGAGTGGTTCCCATGGGTCTAGGAATGAGGCACCCCTTTGATGAGATTGACCTAGCTTGGGAAATGCTCAGGAGATTCATGCTGGGCTCTCCACTCTCCAGATCCTGTTGACTGACCGATGATGTCTGCTGCTCTCCATGGTGCGTAAGGGGAATCTCTCTGCAGCAGCCAATGGAAGCATATAAATGACTGACGTGAGATGGAATAGTCGCTGACGTTATATCTGCGCACTGACCCCCTCCCTTTTCCCCCTCCTTCCCTTGCGTTTCAAAAAGACCACCTTCAAGACCTACTCTGATCACACTGTCCATCTTCAAGCTTCACCGTATCATCCTCCCAGCGGTCAGTCGGTCCCATCTCAAGTCAAGATGGGGACACCCCCCCGCGCATCCGCATCTCAAAGAGACCAGCTCCTTCCAACATAGGTATCCATCCCTGATCAACCTTTGACCTGCTTAAGATCCTCCCTCTCCCGTTCTGCACCTGATTCCTCTTTCGCACACAGCAGTCCCACCTCTGTCTCAGGTTATCGCTCCTCTCGATCTACTCCGGGCCTTTCGCAGCATCCTCAACGCTATCACGCACCGACTGCCCATTCCCATCCCATCCCTTTGCGTCTCCGTACTCGAAACGCGTCTCCGGGAATCCTCATCCTGCAGGGCAATTTAGACCGCCGTCTCCTTGAAGCTTGGTCCTGACACCTTAGGTGAGACGAGATACCCGCCAAGGATTGGGCTCTGTACCCTTTCAAACACCTTGTCATTGTCCATTAACCCGAGGAAGATCTCAGTCTCCATCTCCGTCCGCGGCCTGCTCTGTTGGGTCTCGATAGCCTATTCAGTCCTTCTGAGCTTCTAACAGCGGTCCAATAACCGGTCGTTTTACTCCCCTCCCCATATGGAAGGTTCGACGGCCTAGACGTTTGTTCTGACATCACCATCTTCGACCCTTCTAAGCCACCTCATATATGGCTTCATCCCCTCTCGACATGCCGGATACTGCGAGTCCAGTGCCTCATGAAATGAGCACTCATCCTATCGCTCCGCGTGGTCTATCACCCATCACAGAGCTCACTACCCCACGATCTATCCAAGCGACACTCCCATTCGATGAGCGGGAGCGCGAACCTGCTCATCCGTCCTACGCTTCCATCAGAGAGGGAGGATCATCAGACACGTCAAGTGTATACTCCCAGCAGACCATTCATGAGAGTGGAGAGACAGTAACGCCCAGACCGAGGCAGATGAGCTTGCCTGAAATGCCGGACATGCCATCCATGTCGTCTGATCCGACCCTTCGACCATTTCTTCGGCCGTCAGACGATGACCCAGCGATTGATTCGCCCCTGATCTTACCTGGGCGAGTGGGCTCGACCCAACTTCGACGACAGATATCTCGGAAGCCTGTTCCTTTGGGTCAAAGATCAGTCGAAGGTCTGCCACCGCCGCCTCGTCGAAAGGGTACACCTCCCTTACTCAATTCTGAGCGTCCAGGAAAGACACGATCAAGGTCTTGGCAACCTCCCTCGAGTACCGCCTCGGACGCTGAGCCTGATGAACCGGTCCGCGGGTCCTCCGCACAAGAAGTGGACGTCACATCCATCTCGTCGGTCTCTCATGAGTCTGCGGGTCAAGCAGGCATAGGGGCTGGAAGTTCGCTGCAGCCTTCGGGTGATAATACTGGAGATCTAGACTCCAGCCGGGACGCTGTAAGCATAATCTTTGTCTCTATCTACCTCTCTCTTTCTCGCATCTCCTCCAACTGACCCCTCCTGCAGATCTCTCCCGCTTCTACCATCGTCGATCGACCGTATCTCCGACAATCCCGATCCCAACCATCGCTGCCACACCCGATCATGGAAGATTCCCTTTTCCCCCTTGGTATCCTTGCCCGTGCTCCGCCCATAGAGCTGCTCAGCGCTTCTCTCAGAGTATCTCCAGATGCCACTCCCCCTCTGTCACCCGCAGGCAGTATCCACTCAAAGAATGGCAAAAAGGGCAACACACTACGTAAACGGATGACGAGTCCGAACGGCAGGAAAAAACAACTCTCCGGGGAACGGCCGAGGTCCCATCTAGGATTGGAAAGCATCAAGATTAGTTCGAGCGCCTCAGTTGTGAGCCTTTGTCGAATTCTGGGTCGTGTCAACTCACATGTTCTGCTAGAATCGACGGCAATCACCTCCAAGGCAAAAATCTACACCCTCACCGCCCGCGCCACATCAACCACCTTCGAGCCGGAACAGTACTGTCGCTGATAGATCCAGACGAAGCCCTCTAACACATCGTGGACCCTCACGGAAGAGTCTCGTATCATCCTTACTCTCCCTTTTTGACCCAGAGACGAGGAGACATCGCTCCACACCTCGACAATCGCCCCGAGATACTCGGCAGTTGTTTCTCCCCGTCTCATCAGAAGAACGACTATCTGTCGAGCCACAAACAGCTGTTCGGACCTCAGGCACTTTTGGAGTGCGAGACGATGGGTCTGTTTCGGAAGATCCGAATAGAAGTCCTCTGTCTTTGGTCCGCCCCAGGACCCGGACTGAGTCGGGTCCTGATCCATCGGCTCTCTCTACCGCCACCAGTGGTCTCAGCGGTACAGGATCTGCCAAATCTCTGGCAATCCCAAGAACTCTCTTCGTTCAGAACCTGCCGCTTCAGGCGCCTATAGAAGAGAAGATGAACCCAATCGAGACGCTGCAGATTATCCCGGCAGCAACGGACAAGGCAAGGTCGGACCATGAGTCAAAGTCAATTCACCCTTCAGAACCTCTCTTGAGTGCCTCGCCTGAGGTCTATCTGGAGGATGTCGGAGACTTGAGCACCCCTCACCAACCTGGACGAACCCAACGCGACGTGTCGAAAGGGAGCTCGACATCTGATCATACTTTTGGAGGCGACAGTCCAGCGGGATTGCCCATTGGTGAAGATCGGACAGGACATGCCAATCCGGCTCTCCGTGTGCCGGTCGACTCGCGTACACCCGCACAGGTGGATAAAGGTAGTACTCAAGTCGCTCTTGTCGCGCCTTTATCTCTAGGCGGACCTTTGCCCGATGCGGAGCATGATAGTCGACGACGTTCGTCTGCACGAGTATCACCGACGCGTCCTTTGCCTCGTTCCCCGCCTGACTTGTCTACACACAGTGAAGTGCCACTCGCCGGTCAGCTCAACCGTCCAGATGCGCTTCGAGCTCATTCCGACTCCCAAGTACCGTCCCTCGTATCTCTTAGACCTGTATCGATCCAGTCGGGACCAGCAACTTCCATCACGCCTCGAGGGTCCTTCGTCTTCCCTCAGGCGGCTGCTCTCATCCCAGTCCCTGTGCCGACACTCAACGTACCCGGTCCGCCTGAATATCCACCTGAAGTCTCGAGAGAGTCTTCTTGGTCTGCTCAAGAGCCACACGGGTCTGTCAACGAGTCGGACGCCTCTATTCGATCGGATCAAGTGGAGGACACATCTACATCGCCAAAAACAGAGGAAGGTCGGGTCATTCAAGCTGGCGACCCGGAATCATCGTCAGATCAACTTAGCGAGCCACCCAGAGCTCTACCGAGGAGTAATCAGTCCCTCGACTCTCGATCGCGACATTCTCTTCCTAGGGCGCATCCTCAACCATCCTCTCACCATCCTACTCTTTCAACTCCCACTACATCGATCCCAGGCGCCGCGTCCCAGGGCGACTCGACTCTTCCCTTACTCATTGCATCTCAGATACTTTCAGCTCACGGGACTCATCTGATGCAACAGTCTTCCAATGTTCAGGACATATCCGAGACCATCAGACAGATGGCAAAGGAGTCTTTGGACTGGGGAGGAATACTCATGCGCTTGTCTGAAGAATCCCGAACGAGGCAGACAGATCGCCAGCGACCGGTCTCTATGCCTCAGCCTTATTCCCGATCGGCTCAAGACTTCCTTGGAACAATGGGCGAAGATGTACCTCCCGTACCCGGGCTCCCAGTCGGAAGTCGATGGGATCCCCTGTTCAGCGAAGAAAGAGCCCAGAGGCCATCGGATCACTATTACCCTCCCGATCCGGACCCCCTTCACGATGCCTGGCTCAGGTTGCATGGCAGTCGTAATTCCACGGTTCAAGAGCCATTTGCCGGATTCCCTGACCGTCAGCGATCTAGCGAGAATCATCGGCGCTTGAGTCCTCCTGGAAATGATCGGCGTCGGCCCTATCTCCAAGAGCGCTTTTATCCAGATTACACGCGTGACGGCTCTGACCGACGTGATTCAGCGGCTAGTCTTTCCCGGGAACAACGAGCTCGCCGGACGCAGTCCCTCGAGCATCCTCTTTGGTTGGTCCAGGAAGCTGATCGATTGGGAAATCGAGGCTGGTCAGACATTCACCGTGCGCAAGAGGCGTGGCGAACGGCCATGTCGTACTTGCAACGAGCTATTGTTGACAGTGAAGGTCCTGTCGTTGATACGAGGAGGGATGGTCACAGCGATCAGCATCCCGTTGTTTCGACACCTCCACGCGCGGCGTCGTTTCATCACCAGGCTCCCCTTGATCTGCAAAGTAGCGAGAGAGGGCAAATATATTTCGGTCCACCTGCGGACCGGAACAGTCGTGGCCCTAATCCCACCACGAAGCAAGGATCCACACGAGCAAGCACTCCAAGTCGATACGGACCCGAGGGAGAGTCACTGCCATTGCCTCTTTCCTCTCGTCCAATTCAGCCCATCAGTCCTATCCAAGAATCCTCCGAGTCTGCTTGCGGCCGACCGGGTGGTGTTGAATCCGGCTTGACTCGAATGATCAGTGGGTCGTCCTTTCTGCCTCGAGCGGAGGACATGATATCGCAGGAGAACAAACGATTCGATTCTTCAATCTTCCATCAAGGAAACACGAAAGCGCGTCGGGTCCTTGATGGTGGCGATCCAAGAGATCCAGAAGCACCATCTCTACCTCGTGCTCAGACCTATTCGCTACCTCTTCCGTATCTTCGTCCAGAACTGCAAGGTAACTTTCATGCCCAGTCTGTCGGACCCGGCATCCAGGCATCTCTCCGCAGAGCCGAGAACATCCGGTACGACGATTTTGCAGTCCCTAGATTCGCTCCAGTCCGTCCATCGCACGAGCGGACAGCCACTGCCACTTCAACAGCAGCGTCAAGGAATGGAACTAGGCGAAAGTTGCGTAAAGGCATGAGGCGGAGTCCGACAAGCGGTACGATGACAAGCACTGGGAGTGGGACGATCAGGGGGACGATGGCTTCCCGAGCCGGTGCTGGAGGCAGACTGCACCCAACCGCGCAATATGGATCGGTGGCTAGTAGAGGAGGAAGTCGACCGACTCTTCGGGTGAATAGTCAGAGTCCGCCTGGTTCTAGACCTGGCTCGCGAGCTGGGAGCGAGTCTGGCCATCGACGACGAAGTGTTACACGTACAGTCAGTGGTCAGACCAAGAAGCATTGGTGGTCTAGGCGAAAGTGACATTGTGGAATGGCACCACAACATACAGGGTTCTTCCTGCTGAAGAGACTGAGGGACGGCAACGGCTATGAACGGACATTACGACTGCTCAAACGACTAATCTCGACGACTATCACGATCTTCACGGCATAGATGTACAATACGTCAAATGCAATGCAAACTTGTAATCGATGATCAAAGCAACCATTCGATCGCCATTCATCCCAGATTGACCTCCCCTTGCGAGATGTGTATAGCATTGCCTTCCAGCATGACCACTCCAGCCTCGTCATCCCAAGTCGCTACCATCTCACCGCCCCTCTCACTACATTGTCTGATTCTGAGAACTCTGACAGGATCCTGAGATTTCAAATCAGGATGACAAGAGATCAGAGCGCTCAGTCGGGAAGTCAAGACTAGCGGAATGATTGCTGCGTGAGCTGAGCCGGTCTATCGGCGGCGGGGCGTGTGTCAGCCAGATTTCGAGTCAACTTGCAGGATGAGCTCACCGCAGCGTCTTCTGCAAATTCTCCGCTTGGATAGTAGTTGAATACTCTGGACCTGAGGTGAGGTCCGGTCTCAGAGGAGGGCGGCGGAGCGATCTGGAAGATTCTTAAATTGGGAGTTGGAGTCTTGGCTTGTTTCTAACGTTTGGTGCAGCACGTCAGGCCCGAAGAACTCCGGGATAGTACATGGTGACTCACCAACGCCTCGAAATCAATCTTTAAATTCTGCATATCCACCTCGCTATCCAACTCTATCATCGAGTACGCTCCTATAACTGAAACTTTTCTCGGTTTGACGTCTCCACCGTTGAAGATCTTCTTCATGATATGCTCGGTGTCCTGAGGGGCATCATCGAATTGGGTGTCGGCAGGTAATTGGATCTTGATCCCATTGACTGTCTGTTCAGCCTGTAGTACGGCATTGACAGTATGCAGTGTGATTGGGCTCTTGGTACCCTGACTCAGGAGTTGATGAGCCGCCGCGACGGTCCCATGACCGCACATGGGAGCTTCACCACCTGAGTAGAACCATCGGAGGGCAAACGTGTTAGGTGCATTGAGCGGAATGACGAAAGACGTCATAGGCAGGTCTAGCTCTTTAGCAATGTTATGCAGGTGCTCATCGGGTGGGAAGAGGGATTTCAAAGATCCTTGAGACGTCGGAATGGCTGAAGCAAGTGAGCACGACGGGTCATTCGATCTAGAAAGTTGAAGGACGGCCGCTGGATTGCCGGATAATGATGGGTTCGACCCGCTCGGGACGAACGCGTGAATAAGCTCGTACTTGACAGGTGGCATCTTGCGCTGAGGTTCCCACTCGTCAAGCTGAGATGCGAAGCAGACCTTTCTTTAGAACAATGAGCCAGCCAACCGTGCGGGTAGAAGCGACGGCTAGATCGACGTGCCGATCCGATCGAGGCATCCCTCCTTCGGTTTGACTTTATTATTACATTAAATAAATCTCCGAAGCCGCTTGGAATATTGGTCAAGGGTAGCATTTTCGCTGATCCCGGTGAATGGACGACATGGGTCGACCAACGCACATAGTCGTAGCCAGGGCCATCCATGGGAGAGAAGAAAACGCGATGCATACTATCACAAGCAGCTTATGTCGCCACATGAGTTTCGTCAGAATCAATGAACGCCACTAAGCCCCCACAGCAAGTCCACTCTCAACGCCCCGTCATTTGCAGTCATACGTCGCCCGCGTACCGGCCTGCTGAAGCCTATCCCGACATTTCGGAGAGACCACTTGCCCGTCAAGATCTCATACATGCATGAACACAGCCTTAATGTCCATTGGCTACCTTCAAGTCCAGCAAGCTCTCTATCTTGCCCAGACCGACCTCCAGATTCTCCCTCGCGACGCTGAATGTGATACGGTACCAGCCCGCTTTGGAATTATGATACGCTGTCCCAGGAGCCTATAGCAGGGCATTTCAGTCGGCATTCAATTGAGCGGATTCTCAGTCAACTTACAATGTATACTCCTCCATCTAGCAGTTTCTGGAAGACCCGCTTCTCAGTCACTGCGTCGTCGAAGCCGAGCGCGCCGCCCAGGTTGACCCAAACAAAGTTTCCGCTGTGATGCGCAAACGATCAGTGAGAGCGATACTCTCAGAGTTGACTTGACGTACGCGTTTGAGTTGGCCACATGAACGCCTCTATCCTCAAACCAATTGCGTACAAATGCTTGAGCCTCTCCGAGACGACTGCGATTAGTCTCTATAAATCGTCGAAGGCCTTGCTTGTCGTTA